CAAAAATTTTGAAAGGCATAATGATAAGGCAAGAGGATTATAGAGTAAAGGCATTTGCAGATGATCTGGTGGTTACCCTATCACAACCAATGGAATCAATAATCTTGATGAACGACATTATACAAGACTATGGTAGAGTTTCAGGTTTCAGAGTGAACTCAAAAAAGACTAAAATGATAGTCAAAAATATGACACAAGATCGTAAACATGAGTTTGAAAGGAGGGCAGGTTTTGAAATTGTACCTAAGGTAAAATATCTTGGAGTTCAGGTTGCAGAATCAAACATGAAATTGTTTCAAAATAACTATGAGGTGTTGTGGCGAGAGGTTCAGAAAGACATGGGGACTTGGAAAAAGCTGCAACTGTCTTTACTTGGAAGAATAGCAGCAGCTAAGATGAACATTTTGCCAAGATTTCTGTTTTTGTTTCAAATGATTCCGGTGCTTAAAAGTGATAAACAACTGAAAGTTTGGCAAACTGGACTTAATAAGTTTGTCTGGAACGAGAAAAAGCCGAGAGTGAAATTGAAAATTATGCAAGATGTTCCAGAAAGAGGAGGCCTTAAACTTCCAAACCTACAGTTATACTATGATGCAGCAGCTTTAACTTTAACAAGTGATTGGTTTGGAAGTAAAAAGGCTGGAATATTGAATGCAGAAAGTTTTGATCTTGAATTTGGATGGCATGCTTACCTATTTTATGATGACAAAGTTGATAAAGTATTTAAAAGTCATATACTTAGAGACTCTTTGATGAGAGTTTGGAAGAAGCACCGACTCAAATGGGATTATAAAATACCGCTATGGCTGGATCTTGGTCATACCTTGTGGAATACAAATATAATGTCACTCGGGGGGTTTTTATACAAAGAGGTTCTTTTTACAGATGCGGGCAGATGGCAGTTGAAGACATTGCAGACACTGTTGGACGAAGGGATTAATTTAACCTGGTTACAATATAATCAATTACAATTGAGATGGAAAGAGGACCAAAAAACTGGTATTATGTTGCATGAGGAAGAATTGGTTAGACATATAAGAGAGAAAGGTCCAATGCATATTAAAAGGCTTTACAATGTTTTGCTAGAAAGGGATTCAGAAACGGAATTAGTTAAAGATTGTATGATTAAGTGGGCACAAAATTTTGAAGAACCAGTGATGTTGGAAACATGGGAAAAAATTTGGGTTCAGAATGTTAAATTTACACAGTCGCAGAATTTGAGGGAAAATTTTTATAAAATGTTTTATAGATGGCATCTAGATCCTAAAAAGCTGTCATGTATGTACCCTAATGTTCAGCCAAAATGTTGGAGATGTGAATGTTTGGATGCTACGTATTATCATGTTTGGTGGACCTGTAGGAAAGTTAAGGCTTTTTGGATAAAAATATGGTGGGTCATGCAGAATGTTTTGAAGAAAAAAATTCAATTTTCTCCACAATTGTTTTTATTGGGCATAGTTAAGGGTTTTACACGGGATGAAACAAAATTAATATTGTATATGATAACAGCAGCAAGATTGTTGATAGGTAAATATTGGAAGAATGAAGCTTTGCCTACTATCGAGGAATGGACTTCGAAGATGGCTAGTTTTGCAGAGATGGCGAAGATTTCAGCATATTTAAAAGATTGTTCACAAGAGACTTATGAATGGGAATGGAAAAGGTGGATAGAATATGTTCAGAACAAATACCAAATTAGAAAGTATCAAATAGCTTTTATTTGAAAACAATGTATTAGAAATATTTTAATATAAAGAGACAAAGAGGGAAAATTATGTAGGGGGAGGGATGGGTTCAGGTATATATATCAGTGTTATTAGTTATGAGTACATAATAGGGAAGTCTGGGGGGGGGAGGGTTAGGGAGGGTTAGGGAGGACGGGAAGTTTGGGGAGGGAGGTGGGGGGGTGAAAAAAAGGGGTGAAAATGTAATTGTAAAACTTTTGCAATAAAAAAAAAAAAAAAATTTTGCTACCAGTTTGATGACTTTGGCCAAATTTCCACCAATGGTTCATGCGAATCGGTGTAAACCAGCTGAATACCACCTCTGTTACAAGGGGAATTCCATTAAAGTCATAAGTCAAGGACTACCTGTATAATATTAGGGGGAGTTTTAGATAACAAATCTTTTGCAAGAACTACATCGATAGTACTTTCTCCAATATTTTGGCTAACGTGCACTGGCAGGCTGCACAGAGTTCCCATGTCATTGAATGGCCTTAGGTATGCTTGAATGGGACCTGGGAATACAAACATGTTTTTTTTAAAAAACCAAAACTATAGACTTTATTCTGTATGGAATGATTCTCAATCTTTTTATGAAGCAGCATGGCTTGCTAATGTAATGGCCATTGGAGTGGATTGCTATACTATAAGTAAGGTTGCCATATGTAATGTGCCAATTTTTTGACCTTTAATAACGCCAATAAAGAATCATGGAAACTACTGTGCAATAAAAATAGATTGTAAGAATGGAAAATGCTGTTACTGTGATAAATAAATATGAATATGTTTATAGTGGTGCCATCCATTCCAATATACTTTGAATACAGAAATGCTGAATGTTTGTCTAGAGCAGAAGTTCTCAAACATTTTGGTCTCAGGACCCTTTATATTCTTAAAAAGTATTGAGGGCCCCAAAGAGCTTTGGTTTAGATAGGTTGCATCTACCGGTAGTCCTCAACTTACAACAGTTCATTTAATGAAGTGTTTCGAAGTTACAATATCACTGAAAAAAGTGACTTATTTATGTTTTTCACACTTAAAACTGTTGTAGCATCCCCTTGGTCATGTGATTTACATTCGGATGCTTCACATTTATGATGGTTGCACCTGAGTCTTGTGATCACCTTTTGTGACCTTCTGCAAGCAAAGTCAATGAGGAAACCAGATTCACTTAACAACTTTGTTACTAATTGTACAGCTGCCGTGATACACTTAACAAATGTGTCAAGGAAAGTTGTAAAATTTCCCACTTAGGAACATAAAACTTGGGCTCAATTGTAGTTGTAAGTCGAGGACTACCTGTATTAATATTTCCTCTATCAGAAATTAAAACTAAATTATTTAAAAATATTTATTTGACTTTGCAGACCCCTCCCCAGAGACCACTCAGGGGTCCCCAGATCATGCTTTGAGAACAGCTGCCTGAGAATATCATAGATATGTCTTACATTAGACCCCCTAATTCCACAGAGGCTGTTTTCTGTTGCACCCAAAGGACTGAATTCAGTGCTAGATTATGTGTTTACTGAAATCCTGACACCTGCTCCCAGACAAGAGAAGGCTAGTTATTTTTTTAGCAGATGCAGCTCATCTGTTTTCAGTTATACAACTTGTGATTTCCCCAGAGTGTTATTGAACTACAGTTCCTCTGCTTTCTCTGCCATTGGCCATGTGACTGGGATTGCTAGAAATTACAGTCCAGCTTTATCTAGAACATTGTCCCTCAATTTTGCAAACTATAAGACGTATGGACTTCAAACATTTTAAAATTGTAGTACCAAGATGGAGGAATGCTGATCTAGAAAGATCTACAGTAGTGGCCAAAATTGTGGAAACCTTTTGAGGAAAGTGTATTTTTGAGGTTTGATGGCTAATAACACCAAGGTTTTTTTGGAGTTTCAAGATAATCATATTCCACTGCTGGAATGGCCTGGGAATAGCCCAGACCTTAACCCAGTGGTGAAATCCAAATTTTTTTACTACCGGTTCTGTGGGCATGGCTTGGTGGGTGTGATGTGGCTTGGTGAGCGTGGCAGGGGAAGTATACTGCAAAATCTCCATTCCCACCCCACTCCAGGGAAAGGATACTGCAAAATCTCCATTCCTATCCCACTCCAGGGGAAGGATACTACAAAATCCCCATTCCCTCCCCACTCCTGGGGGAAGGATATTGCAAAATCTCCATTCCCACCCCACTCTGGGGCCAGCCAGAGGTGGTATTTGCCGGTTCTCCGAACTACTCAAAATTTCCGCTACCGGTTCTCCAGAACCTGTCAAAACCTGCTGGATTTCACCCCTGCCTTAACCCAATTGAAAATCTATGGAGCTGACTAAAGAAACTTGTTAGTCAGAAGCGACCCAGCCATAAAGCACAGTTAATAGAAGGAATCATTCAATCTGGGTTTCATATTATAACAGCTGCAGAACTAAAAGACTTAGTTCACTCTATGGGAAGATGTTGTAAAGCCGTAATTCATGCTTAAGGTTACCCAACTATTAACTGACGTGATAATTTTTGTATATCTTGTTTTTTTCTATGTGTTTTTTTCATCTTTATACTGTAACTGCTATTCTAATAGCAAATCCTTCATAAAAGTTATTGCATTACGTTCTTGATTAAATTATCTTTCCATTGATATATAATTTTTGGTACTACTCCAAAAAAAAGTGGTGTTATTAGCTAGTTTCAGAAAATACACTTTTCCCAAAAGATTTCCACAATTTTGGCCACTTCTGTATATTGTCATTCTGTGCCTTATCCTAATTCATGTACAGGTAGTCCTCGACTTACAACCATTTGTTTAACAATGGTTCAAAGTTACATTGGCCTCGGAAAAAGTGATTTACCACTTACGACCTTCTCATTACTACCCCACAATCATATGATCGCAGTTTGGATGTGGCAGCTGGCTCACATTTATGCCTGGTTGCAGTCAGACGATTCCAATGGGCAACTTTCCCAGCCAGTTTCTGACAAAAAATGTCAATTGAGGAAACTGGATTCGCTTAACAAATACATGATTTGCTTCATGAGCACATAAGTGATTCGCTCAACAACTGCAGCAAAAATAATAGTAAACTTGGGTCCAATCACATGGTGACTTACTTTATGACCACACCGACTCACGAGAGAAATTCTGGTCCCAATTGTAGTTCTAAATCTTAAACTACCTATAAATGAATGGTTGGCATTTATTATCTTAGGGAGAGAGAGAATAAAAGAGATTGTAATGATATGGTTGATTAATTTATTTTTCTTTTCTCTCTTCATTCTAGTATCCGAAAACTCTAAAGTACCAGACAAAAAGGCTGTCCCATCCAGCTGGCCCTCTTCTGCCCTTTTAGGACAGGGCACTAATCCTGCAGGAGCCAAGACAGGTATTATAATAATTTAACTCTTCCCAGTGTTTTCCTTGTACTGTTAATACAGTAAATAGTGTCAATAGATACTACTGTTTGAAATTCTACAGCATTTTATTTGCCCTGCAACTGTCTTCATGGTTGTTATTGAATTGATGATTCTAAACAGAAAAAAAGATAACTTAAGTGTCTGCCTCACTGATTACTCTCTCATTTGTGTGTCCCTGCAAAAAATGGTTGCATGTGCTAGCAGCTATGGCAGTAGAAGGAAAAAATGCCATTGCCTATGAATTCTGAAAAATAAAGTATTCAGAACCCAATGTTTTGGAGAAAATAATTCATGTATCCTATGGGGGAAAAAGTGAATACAGATTGTTTTATTTTAGTATAAGAAGTAATTTTTAAAGCGTTATAGGTAGTCCTCAACTTACCATTCATTTTGTGACATTCAAAGTTACAACAGCACTAACAGCCATCATTAAGTGCCATGGTTGGTGCAGTGGTTAGAATGCAGTACTGTAGGCTACTTCTGCTGACTGCCAGCTGCCGGCAGTTCGATCCTGACTGGTTCAAGATTGACTCAGCCTTCCATCCTTCTGAGGTTGGTAAAATGAGGACCCAGATTGTTGGGGGCAATATGCTGACTCTATAAACCGCTTAGAGAGGACTGTAAAGCACTGTGAAGCGGTATATAAGTCTAAGTGCTATTGCTATTACATCTGCAAGATTCACATGATCAAAATTTGGGCACTTGGCAACCAGCATAGCTTTACGATGGTTGCAAAGGCCTGGGATCACACGATCACCATTTGCGATCTTCTCACCTGGCTTCTGAAATGCAAAGTCAATGGGGTAAGCCGGATTTGCTTATTGATTGTGTGATTCACTTAAATAACTACAATGATTTGCTTTAACAGCCGTGGCAAAAAAGATTGTAAAATTGGAAGTGAATCACTTAACCGCCTTGCTTAGCAGTGAAAATTCTGGTCCCAGTTGCTGCCGTAAGTAGAGGATTACCTGTAGGATGGATAGGATTCTACAGCATGTCGTTGTGAATTAACTTTAATGCAAGCTACTTAACAAGCTCTCACTCAGAGGTTCCCCAGAGTTCCTGCAGTACTCTGCAACTGCAGACTAGGTTCATACCACTGAAAGAATCTCAATATTGCTGGACAGAGAACACTATGGAGTAGTTCCAAATGAAGCTTTTAATATAAAATTGCTTTGCCTCATTCACTTATTTTGAGAGCTTTAAATGACCTTGTCAAACATGTAAACTATTCCCATTATTATCTCTCATTATTTTTTCCACCATATTTTTCTTTCCAAGAAAAAAAAAGAATACTAAAGGGGAAAAATATGGGATAGCAACCCAATAACTTTTGATTATTAATATTTGGAAACATTGAAGATTTCAGAGAGAAATCTAGAAATCTTCAATAATATAGAACTGTACATGTTCCAGGGTATTTATTTTTAATGTAAATTTTCTAGCTGATTTATGGAACTAATTAAAATGATGATGGATATCCTAAATAATGATGATTTAAATGAGTCCTCTGCTTCCCAGATGTGTCAAAAATGTAATTCCAAGTTTCCAACTAATACCTGGAAGATATATAGTTGGGGAAGGTCTTGTAAATAATATTCACAAGACCGCCTGCTGCTACCAATAGCCTCCCACCGGCCAACTCGCTCCCACAGAGAGGGTCTCCTCCGGGTACTGTCGGCCAAGCAATGTCGGCTGGCGACCCCAGAGGGAGAGCCTTCTCTGTGTGGGCTCCTGCCCTCTGGAACGAATTGCCCCCCGAGATGCGGAGGATTCCCGACTTGCGCACCTTCCGCCGGGCCCTCAAGACGCTTTTATTTCAACAAGCCGGGCTGGTCTAATTTTTAAATTTTAATTGTTAATTCTTTTTTAAACATTTAAATTGGGTTATTTATTTTAATTATTTGGGCCAATCTATTTAATATTTTTAAACTGTTTTTAAATTTCATATTTGTGGGTTTTATGCTGGCTGTACACCGCCCTGTCCCTTTGGGAGAAGGGCGGTATATAAAATAAATAAATAAATAAATAAATAAATAAATAGATAGATAGATAGATAGATAGATAGATAGATAGATAGATAGATAGATAGATGCTCTTGAATATGGTGGGGGGGGAAAAGACTTCACAAGTTGTTAAATAAATACTCTCCTTTTTATTTTGTTACGAAATAAATTCTGAATTGGTTTTAGAATCCTGCAATTTTTAACATGACATTTTAAGAATAGATTTCTATGGATTGATGCTTAGAAGTAGGTTCCGTGGAATTCAGGAACAGCTGCCACTCATATAAGATGAATAGATTTGGAGCCTAAATCTTACATTGTTTTCACTAATTGTATACCAGCACTAAAAGTTGATGAAAGACAACGACTGGCCAGAGAACGAAGAGTAGAACAGGAAAAGCTTTTAGGTAAGTCATACTTACTAATAAACCAAATAGCTTCCTTGTTGATGGGTTGTCATAGCACAATATTACTGTCCTCTGAATTGTATCGCTCTCCTCCTCAAGGTTCAAATAATATCAATACTTCTGCCCTTTAAATGGATCTTGAAGGCCTGGCTTATTCCTTGTCTTGGGTTGGGTGGAATATATGTCCCCTGAGTGACATTGTATTAATGTGTTGGAGCACATTAGCTGCCTAGTTGTTTCTACTTTTTATTTTTATTTTTTGTTGTCTTGGGTTTGTTTTTAAATTTATATGATGCCTCAAATTGAGCTAAGCAGCCTTATAAATATGAGAGAGAGAGAAGTAGATAGGATTCTTGCATTTGATACCATGAGTTATGATAGGTGTAGAAAATAAGGAAGATGACCTTGACAAGAGATTCACAGGTGCCAAAGCATTTTTTTAAGTCCAGAATATCCAGATAATATTTGGAAGCACCTCAGACAGAGACCTCCCTAATTCACTGAACTGTAAGAAGGAGATCAGATTTTCATGGTTCTGTTATAGTAACCAATCTCAATAAAAGTAATTTTAACTATCCTGTAGAGTTGCTTTCATGGTCTGGTCTACCTAGTGGGGCTGACATGAGTATAATTAAATGTGTTATATGCATACTTTCGCATGAATATTTTTTTTGAAATTATAAACACAGATTCAGGCACCCATGCATTTAGCAGCGAGATTTTAGGTTTGCTGCAAGATAAATAGGCAGTAATTTTCTGCACTGAATTAATTGGTTGGTTATAAAGGCATAAATGGCCTACTCCAGTGATGGTGAATCTTTTCGGTACTGAGTGCCAAAAAGGGAGCGTGCACGCTCGTCTTGGCCGCAACCCAGAAGAGGAGCTGCCCAGGCTGCATGTGCGCCCCCAAAAATGAAGTTCCAGTTTCCAGCGCACATGCCAGCTAGTCTTCCGGGTTTCTGGCACGCCTGTACACGCAACAATCAGCTGGCCAGCTCTTCCAGTTTCCTGCACTGCCGCACGCAAAAAGGCTAGCTGATTGTCACGCGTGCATGCATGCCAGAAACCCGGAAGACGAACGGGTGACATCGCACGTGCCAGGTGACATGGCTCCATGTGCCACTTCGGGCACACGTGCCATAGGTTTGCTATCATGGACCTACTCCAAAGTATAGAATTCTGCAATTCTTTTCATAACATATAATGTGCAGAAATTGTGGTTATATTAAGGATTGTATGCATGGGGTTGAAAGCATACCACCACCCCCAAGTCATTATGCACATATCTGAGTTTGATCTAAATTGACACATGCTTTGGGATTAACAATGATATCTCTTGATTGGTTTCTAAGAGCTCTTTAGAATATTCATGTGGAAGAATTGAGATCCAAAGCTAGTTATAGGACAGAGGAACCTACAGACAGAGGAAAGATACTTAGACAATATGTGTCTTAAGAAGCAGACTATTAGCTTAATGAAAACTAAATAAATTTCAGGAGCTTTTTTCAGTGTGAATTCTCCACTCTATCTCTCTATATCTCTATAGATATTCTCTATAGAATATCTTCTCAGGATTATTCTAGATGACCATTTTTTAAACTTTATTCCTTTTCATTATATGCTTTATTACTCACTTAAAAGTGAAGGACTGTCTTAGAACTTCTTTTTTGATAAAACATTAAATGGACTTTTAAAAATCTGAGTTGTATTTTTTAAGATTGTATTTTAGTTTATTAAATTGTGTTTGGGGTTGGTTTTCAACTTTTAGTATTTATTTTTTAGATGCTTATCCTGTTCTTTTTTTCATTGGCAACTCAAGGTGGCAAATATACCAATACCTCTTTCTTCTCTAATTTCCTCATAACAATAACCCTGTGAAGTGAGTTGGGCTGAGAGACAGTGAGTGACCCAAAGTCATCCATCTGGTTTTTCATGCCTAAAGTTGGACTAGAACTCAATCTCCTGGTTTCTACGCCAACGCCTTAACCATTATACCAAACTGGCTCTCGTTTAATGGATTATATAATTCTATAATTATTTAATGGATTTTAGTCATAGTATCATGCATCTGTTCATTTATTTGATGATTGTTTATTTGAAACATTTAAAAGCCCCTGTAGGACATCTCCAGGTTATGCTCAATGCTAAAAATACATTAAATAAAATACAATAATAAAATATATTTTTACAAAGACTGTAATTATGATGACAACTGATTATGGTTTTTAACAATGCATTGCTATGTCTTTAACATATGGTTGAACTATGACCTACAATTGCAACTGAATTTGGATTTCTGAGTTGTCGCACGGTCATCCAGATGTTCAGACTTAATTTGGCATTTTTATCCACCTATCGAGTTCTTCCCAAGGACGTGGGATAGGCAGATATTGACGTTTGATGGTATTAGGTATTGTTTCAGGATGTAAGCTGTTCTGAGGAAAGCTGCCTTTTGCAATTGACCAATGGTGATTTTTGTCAATGCCAGTGGTGTTCAAGTGGTGCGCCAGTTGTTTGGGGACTGCACCCAGGACACCTATTACTAAGAGTATTACTTTCATTTTCTTTTGTCATTTTATTTCTATTTGCAAAACTTTATGTTTTGTTCTTTCTTTTCTATTCTGCTGTCTCTAGGTACTGCCATGTCCACTATCGAGACTTTTTTGTCTTTCTTATTGATACTCGTTAAGTCTGGGGTGTAATGTGACAGATGCCTGATGGTTTGAAGTCTAAAGTCCCAGACCACTTTAGTTCTTTATTTTCAATTACTTTCTCTGTTTTATGGTTCCACCAATTCTTGATTGCAGGGAAATGGTACAGTATTTCTTGCAGATCTTCCAGGGTAGCATTGTTGCTACTTTGTCATGCTCTTTGTAGTCAGTCTGTGTGATCTTCTTGCAGCAGCTAACCAAGTGGTCCACTGTTTCTTCAGCTTCTTTGCAGAGGCAGGACTTGCTGTCTGTTGCTGTCTTCTCAATTCTGGTTTTGTACGCATATGTTCTGCATTTGTTCTCTTAGCCCCTCTGTCTCTTTCTTCAACTTTCCTGCTCTTAGCAATTGCCAGGTCTTGTTATTATATACTTTTCCTGTAATTTTTAAGGTCTGGCCATGTAATACTTTGTCTCCCCATGTCTCTTTTCTGTTCTTCATTTGGACTTTCCTCTAGGCCAGTTTGGTCTTTTTCTGGTATACTAACTTCAGTCCATTTTCTTCGCTGTCCTTCAAATATTTTTCCAATGCCCCCTTTTCTTCTTCAGCTGTCCACATCCACCTATTTTCCTTGGTAAGTAAAGTCTGTCAATGTCACTGTGAGGTTTCAGGGCATGATTCTCTCTCTTTCTTTCTTTCTTTCTTTCTTTCTTTCTTTCTTTCTTTCTTTCTTTCTTTCTTCCTTCCTTCCTTCCTTCCTTCCTTCCTTCCTTTCTCTGATCCACGGCTTTTATCCCTACTTGAGTCTAGTCCACTACTCCAGCTATGCTTCTCATGACTGGAATTGCCCTGGTGGTATTTCTTCCACTAAGTTTGGACTTTTAATATCTTCTCTTTCTTGAAGTATTCACTTCTAACCTTTTTTTGACTTCAGTGTGCTTCATATTGTCATCTTGAAGGATGCCTACAAGGCAAGGTATACTTATTTGTCTTTGCCCCACAGGTAAACTTTGACACATTGAAATCCAATGTGATATACTATTCTTCAATAAATAAATTATAGATTAGTAATATTTCTATTCATGGCTAATAACACAATGCACATTCTTGTGGTAGGCTTTGTAGCCAGATAAGAATATTCTGAATATAGCTGGGCAGAAATTTGGAATGTATATCTAATGTTCTACTTAACAATAAACAAGAGGTAAAATAACTTACCATTTGCAGGCATTATGAAATAGAATAATTACACTTAACCCAGTCCAGGTAATCCTCAATTTACAACTGTTGGTTTAACAATTGTTCAAAATTGCGACAACTTTGGAAAAAGTGACTTATAACTTATGACCTGTACTCACACTTATGGCCTTTGCACCATCACATGATCTCAGTTGGGGCACATTTGCAACTGGCTCCTATGCACGATTCATACAATATCCTGCAGTCATGTAATCATGATTTGTGACATTTTTTTTGCCTATCTCAACAAGTGACTCTGGGTGGCATACATTCTAAAACATAACGTTTTAGAATGTTTAAAAAAATTACCGTAAATTAAAACAGTACAAAATAAATATATGGCACCAAATAAAACTATGGGAACAGGGCCCTTAACACACTCAAGCACATAACCAATCTTCATGGCCTTATGAAAGGCTGACAGGGTCAGGGTCATCGTATAGCTGAACAGAGAATATTCCAGAGGGCAGGAGCTAAATTTGCTTAACAACAGTGTGATTCACTTAATGACCATGATGATTCGCTTAACAACCTTTGTAAAATTGCTGTAAAACCTGGTCTGACTCAAGTTACAACCACAGTGATTTATAATTTCCAGGCCCAATTGTGTCATAAGTCTAGGACTACCCTTAGATCACGGGTGTCAATCTTGATGATCACGTCACGGGCCAGATCGTGATGAATCACAACATTTTTTGCCATTGAGGAACCAAGGTGGTTGTGGCCTACACATCAGGGGTGGGTTGTGCTTACCTTTACTACCAGTTCGGAACAGGATCGATGTTAATGATGACATCCGGGGCAGTGGGTGGGGCCTCCCACCAGTTTTATTACCGGTTCTTGCGAACCGGTCCAAACCGGGGGCAACCCACCACTGCTGCACATGATGTATCTGGGCCCCCAGTTTGACAGGCCTGCCTTAGATATTGATACCTCCCCTACCTTATGTGGGCTCAGAAAATACAGTAAGCCTTAATATACAGATGAATGACTACAATGGAATTTCAAAGCCAGAAGATAAACTGGAAAGTAGAAAAATATCCCAGAACACAGCACTGACAAATAATGTCTGTATGAATGCCATGAATATGTTCATGTAAATACCAGAAATCAAAGTCAATTTAGGGGAATCTTTACTTGTAGTTTGGTGGAGGAGAATTGATCCAATAAAGTCCCTCAACAAAGGGAATAGACGGAGAGATGTAGACATAAATAGAAATTTCAGTCACTGTTTGTATAAGGACCAGAGTGCAAGATTCAGGGTCTGAATAACATGTGACAGATTCATATGTCCTAGACAGCCAGTCTGGTTTAGTGGCTAAGATGCTGGTCTGGTAATGGGGAGACATGAGTTCTAGTCCTGCCTTAGGCATGGAAGTCAACCAGTTCACTATGAGTCAGACATTTTCTCTCAGTCATTAAAAAAAGAAGAAGAAGACAAACCACTTCCAAAAATGTTGGCACAAAGGCTGCATGGATTTGTCCAGGCAATTGACAGGAGTAAAAACTGACCCAAAGGTGAAAAACTCCTACCTACTTTTTGCTTGCTAATAAGATATTCCTTTCAAGAAGCATTGTGAGGATTCTTGCTGAAATGGTAATTGATAATGCTGTAATACCAGAATACTATGAACTTCTTTAAATATGGGCTATTGATAGTTAAATATTCATGTCATAGAAGAATATCCCCCCAAATGTGTGAAATTTCCTTTGATATTCTTTTAGCAGCGAGAGAAGCTGCTTGGCTAGAAAAAGAGGAGAGAGCAAGGCAACATTACGAAAAACATCTGGAGGAACGTAAAAAGAAATTAGAAGAGCAGAGGCTAAAGGAAGAAAGAAGACGAGTTGCAGTAGAAGAAAAACGGAAGCAGCGAATAGAGGAGGACAAGGTAGGAGAAGTTCCTTACAGGATCTTTTGGTCAATAAATTTCTATATGGAGCAATGAAAACAAGGCAGATAGTGGGTTCCAGTGAAAATTAGCCATCACATTCTGATATAAGTTAGCCCATTCACCCTTTTTTGGGGAACCAGAATTCTGCCACTTACAGGTCTCCTTTTTTTTTAACAGTTTATTTATACTATATCTATATCTATACTATATAATATATCTATATCTATCTATATCTATATCTATATCTAATCTATCTATCTATCTATCTATCTATCTATCTATCTATCTATCTATCTATCTAATTTATTTATATTTTCATTTAATATACCTAAGTGCTTTGTGAATAGTGTATTGTCTGGGTCAATTTGCTTACACATTAATACTTTCTCTCTCCTAATTTCTACCTCTGTTATCCAACCATTTATAAAATAAGTCCTATGTTTGAAAATATTCTTATCTTTTTAAAAATTTTATCTTTAATGTCAGTCTGTCCATTTCTGCACAGTCTAATATTTTTTTAATTATATTTTCTTCTCTCAGAATATTTTCCAATATTGTGCGAATACAATCCTTGCTGCTGTCAAAACATGTAATATTAAATTCCCCTTTTCATACTTTTCTGGTATTATACCTAACAAAAATATTTCTGGCTTATAGTCTATATGTAGCTTTAACATTTTTCCTAACCATGTGTGTATTTTTGTCCAATATTTCTTTGCTTTCACACATGTCCACCACATGTGATAGTAGGTGCCCAGTGTCTGGATACATTTCCAACACTTGGTGGACATTACAGATCTCCTTTTTGAATGTTTCTCATTTCAGCTGAGTAGAAAAAGAGCAAGGACCGTGGCAGCAAAGACAGTGGGAATATAGGAATTAATTGATGACCTCTCTTATTGGATTGCCTTAAAATCAACACATTTTATACAATTGATTGCATTTATCAGTTTAAGATTATTACAATGAAGGCAATGTCACTTCAAGCCTGTATAATTATTTGCTAACTCATTAGGAACGACATGAAGCTGTTGTACGCCGCACAATTGAGAGGAGCCAGAAACCAAAAGAAAAGCAGAGCAGGTGGTCCTGGGGAAGTACGCTTCATCGTAGCAGCAGCGTTAATAATGCAGGTAAAATTGGAGGCTAGGTATCTCACTCTGTCTCTTTTTGTGTGTCTGTGTGTACTAATAGATACATGGGTTGTTTAACTGAAGACACCTCCTTTTTTACTGAATTGCATTTTTAGACTTTAATTGTATATGTCTCCAGATGTGTGGTGCCTCTTTCTTTTATGCTTAACTTTCCAGTTTGAGAAACTGATTTAATATTTGGACATCTGAACTCTCCTTTCCAACTTCATTTGTATTTGTATTTGTATTGTTTGCTTTGTCTGTTTCTTTGTGCTAGCACTCTGTTTAAGACAAGCTTTTTAAAATTATGAATTTAATTAGATATTTAGATAAGTAATATGATTTCTGATAAAGTAATGAAACTGATGATATATTTTGTTGTAGCTGTGAAAGCCTTTGTATAGGGAGGAAAATCCAGTAGTCAGCATTGCTTATTAATTAATATTTAAAGCTCTTAGCCAGAATTCTCTTTCCTCTAATGAACTTGGCTTTGAAGAGATCCCCCCCCCTTCCATTCAGTCCTGTCTAATTCTCGGAGACCGGCTGGACAAGTCCTTGTAGTTTTTTAGGCAAGGTTTTTCAGAAGTGGTTAGTCATTGCTTCCTTCCTAGGGCAGAGAGAAAGTGATTGACCCAAAATCATCCAGCTGGCTTTGGGCCTAATGTAGGACAAGAACTCATAGTCTCTTGGTTTCTAGGCCAGCACCTTAATCATTACACCAAACTGGCTGAGAGATTATCAGATATGGAATAAATAGTTAAATTATGGCTTATTGCTTCTGTATTTTCCTAAACATATTTTTTTTAAAAATATAATATAGTAAGGTATTATAAATAATACATAACATCTATATGTACAGTCTGGTGCAAGTATAGATGCATACTATTAGGCCTGCAGTTTTCAAGATCATGCAGGAGGGATTGTTAAGACCTTGTGCATACACTACACCCCTCTGCTGTTCATTTCAAGCAGCCAGTGTCTTTTCTCAGGTCTCTGTGTGAGTTTTAGGCTATTTTAATAAATAGGGGAGAGGTACATGTTGATATCTGATTTCATTAAACTATAGGTAGCTTACTATATTAAAAACATAACCATACGTAAGTGTCCTCTTCCGTTATAGTTGAATTTTGAGGGAACTCCATTCCATACGTCCTGCAAAAAAAGGGTACTAATATTCATCTGTTTCCTAAATGTCATAAAAAAAACCCCTAGAGGAATTCCTCTGTTTTCACCCAATCGGGTCTTGGGGATACATAGGACGTCCTCCTCAATTGATAGAGAAGGAGGATCTTATTATAGATGGACCTGAGCTACGCAGAAATTGTGTTTCTATTAATACTTTATTTTCTTTCTTTGAAAATGCACTAGCAGACATTATTGCATTTCTTATGGGACAAAAACATTGATCATTGCTCTTAAATTATAAGTAAAATGGTAATGTCTCCTTTAAGACAAATTCAATTGTTAGCAATTTCATGGACATCTCAATTCAGAGCTCTTTTGGCAAAAGTATGGAAGTGGCTTTCTATTGTTGTTGTTTTTAATTGCCTAGTCTAACTGAACACATTTCTGATATTTTCTCCTATTCAAATACTAACTAGAACAACTTTATATATATTTATATGTTTATATATTTATATATAAATGAGTTAGATACTGCTACAAGATCAAATTGTTGTCTTTTTCATAACAACGTTCTACCTGTTATTTTTGCTTCTTTTTGTGTAACTTGACTGCTGCCTTTTAAGTTTTTCTTTACTTTTAAAAATCATTGTCTTGCATTCTGTCCTAGGTTATTTTGTTGAACCATCCTTCACCCTTCTCGATTTAGCAGGCTTGGAGTACCACTTCAAACCTCTGGGTGGTGCTAGAAAACTCGGTACATAAATCACTATGATTTGTTGAATTCATCACAAGTAGTTATCGCCTCAAAATAGGACCAGTATGCCAGTACCTAATCCATCTTTTTGTAGACTGTGTGCATGTCTAACACTGCATAGACTAGAGCTGATAGATAGCCCTCTCTTTTTTCTCAAGTTTACTGAATTTATTACTGGGCGACTTAAAGAATGTGGCACAACTTCTCAAAAATGCATTGTATAATTCTGAAGTGATGCTGCCTATTTGGAATATTTTTTAACCTTGAGAAATGTTTTCAAAAGTCTTTTGTATACAAGAAAAAAAACATTATTTTTGTTTTTCTATTACTTATTTTATTGTAGAGTTCTTTAAAATATGTGTTTATTATTATTGAAAACTATTAATTATTACATCTTCAGCATGGTTTTGTATTTTTCAGTGGTGCAATTTGTCATTGCATTTTTAAAAAACTATTACCAGCACTTTAAGAAAAACAAAAACAATCCTATCACAAGATTGCCCCATGTACCTACCTATTCTTCAAAAAGGTTCTCACCGGTTATCATTCAGGAACCTTTCCCACTATTTCCAGATCAGGTGGCACATAAGACTTCTGGAAAATATTTGCATCAACATCTTTCCTAGCTCTACTCATGGTTTCCTTTCTTTGCTCTGAATCCCTTTGTGTCATTCTTCTTCATGCCCCTGTTCATTATTTTTTTTGGAAAATAAAAGTTTGCTTTGGAGGAAAGTGGCTTTATGTTGTTTTGAAAAAGGAATGAAAGGATGTCAAATGACTGCTGGGTCACATCGCTGTGTATCCATGCTGAAAACTCGACTGCCCTCTAAAAACAAAACAAAACCCCAAAGTCATCAAGTTGGAGAGGAAATAACACGGGGAAATTACATTGTGTGCAGTGTGCACTACAGTGGAAATCCTTATTTGAAGGACATCATGCAGAAGATGAGGAACAGTTGAATGTTCCTCCACAAAGCTACAAGAAATGAAGTTTTTTAAAAAATGGTGAATTGGATTATATAACATTTATCCAGATAACCATTCAGTGATGCAGCTTTTTCTCTGACATCCACCAGATGACTTGGGGCAAGAATTCTCAGAATTCCCAACTACTGTAGCATCGTGTTTGTTCTCAGCTGTATTTGATCTGTGATCCCAAATATTTCCAGGCAGAATAGCTCAAAGCTGCCTCATCCTACCTGGAAGGTATGAGGGTAGAGAAGGCTGCAGAGTTGCTTTCTAAGATGTCAGTTGTAGTAAACGTTGCTATACTCTGAGGAAAACAATTTTATTTAAAAGCATCAAAATCTTTTCCACACCATGGCCTTTAAGGGGATTAACATCAACCCAAATAACCTATAACTGTGCTATTAAAAATCTGTAAAACAGTTGAGATTTTTGAAAATGGAAATAGGCTTGGCTGTAAAATTGCATGCATGAGCTGCACAGAATTCTGCCTATAGCACTTTCACAAGAAGTGCCTGGAAATAATCTCACAGGAGCTTCTTTAACTTGGAAAGTTCCTGACTTTGAAATTCCATAGTTTTCTTTCTGTATCCACCTTGTTTCTATATCTTTCCCATATGAACATACAAGACATGTAATACTGAGGGATTCTGGTTCATAGGACTCTCTTACCAAATAGTTAAATGTTCTTGGTTTTAAAAGATTTGGTTTTATTACTCATTTCATTCCTCATTTCCCTCAGGTTTACTGCATTATCCTGAATACAATGAATGAAATAACCCTTTTAAATCTCATTGCTTTATTTCATATTCTTCATTTGCATTTGTTTCATTAAAGAGAACATTGCTGTTTTAGTAGGAGTTTGGCTGCAATTTGAAATTAAGCATGCAATCCTATATTTATCTTCTAAACAGTAAACCCTCAATTGGACTTATCGCAGGATAACTATAGGATTCCATTTTGTGCCCAATCTTTGAGTCACCTAAAAAGAAAATCCCTTGATATGTCCTCACAAAGCATAAGAAAACAAATCTTCCGAATTATGCTCTGGAGGACTACAAAGTCACATTACTGCATGCGGGCTGTCAATTAGCATTATTTCCATTTGTTTTAGATCCAGACAGGCGATCTGTTTCAACAATGAACCTTTCGAAACATGTTGATCCAGTCATTAACAAGCGGCTCTCCTCCTCATCTGCAACATTACTAAATTCTCCAGACAGAGGTACAGTTTGGAAGAAAAGTGAAAAACAAACGACCCAAAAATGTTCCGTATGATAACTGTTTTGAAAATTTGAGCAGCTCTTAAGTAATTTCCCTTATATTATTAGAGGAAACAAAATGTGGCTTTGGACAAAAAGCCATCTTTTGGACAGGGGGAAAAAAAAACCACAAACGCATAAAGCAGTGCTTCTGTCAGGTTTTTTAGTAAATGATTTTTAAAAGAAAAGTTATAGAGCATCTGCTCATTTCTCCATTGTGCATGGAATATATTTTAATTTTTGTGCATCATCATTGGACTAGACCATATTCATTTGATTATTTCCCCCCCATTTTTACCATAAAAAGTGCTCTTGAACCTCACTTTGGTTAGTCAGTTTGATAATTTCTTGGCTAAGAAACCTATCCTATTGGCTTCATATCTTGACATGCTTATATGTCTTCCCAGAGATATTATTCTGAACTATATTTCAGTCTTTCAGCTGTTTAAAAAGAAATCAAGTTATTTTTTTCATTGTTCTTACTTTTAATTGGATATAGAGAGGAATTTTTTAAAAGCTGCTCAGTGGAAATCAAAATGTCTGAAGAATTGTTATACTTTGGTTGGATGCAAATATATTTTTTAAACCAAAGATTATTTAGGTTTTCCATTGTAATGTGAAACATGATTGGAAGGTCTCATCCATTTGATAAATGTACATATTTGTCTGATAGAAAATTTCACTAAATTGAATGAGGCATATTGTCAATTAGATTACTAGATTATGTGCATGGAATATCTTGATTGCCATATGATTGTTTATGTTAGTAAATTATTTGTTTTTCTCCACATATGGAAATAAGTACATCTCTATGATTTATAATTGTCAAACTGGCAATTCCATTTGCTTTGAAATTATTGTCTCACCGACAATAAAATACTATATATCAGAAAAGTAATTTCTTCTCTTTCTCAAAAACCAAATGCAGTGTTTCCATTTTCATATTAAAACAAAGGAGGACAACCTTTTTGTACTGTAGTCAGGGACCATACTTGTAGGGATGAGGCGAAAGGCAAGTTTATGTTTTTATGATTATGAAATGCAAATTTATATTACCTATGAGTCCTGGTAGTGCAGTGGTTAGAATGCAGCATTGCAGGCAAACCCTGCCCACAGCCTAAACTTCGATCCTAACCTGCTCAAGATTGACTCAGCCTTCCATCCTTCCGAGATTAGTAAAATGAGGACCCAGATTGTTGGGGGCAATATGGTGACATTGTAAACTGTTCAAAAAACTGTAAAGCACCAAAGTGCTATTGCTATTGCTGTTATGTTTTAAAGCAGGGATCACCTGCCCCCAGGCCTTGAGCCATTCAGAACTGGGCCATGGAAGTTTGTGCTTGCCCATTGCTCACGTGAAGCTATCCCCCCCCGCCGTCCCCCGCCGCCAGTCTGCAAAGCCAGAAAGGTTGGGGAACTCTGTTTTAAAGAACAGCAATAGGAATACTTTGAAAAATCAGATTCACTAAATTATATATACATATATTCATTTATTTTAAAAATTACATACTTCAAGTTTATCAATTATTTTCTGATTTCTTCATTCACATGTTTTTATCACGCCAAGTAAAAATAATTGTAGTAACTTTTATCACCTTCTCTTAAAATACAACAAATTATCTCTTCATCCCATGTCCCGTTAACCCTGTCTCTTTACTTGCTATTTCTTTCCTATCAAATATTTCTTGTGCTGAGCTCAAAAAGACATTTTTGAACAATAGTTTATATATATTCTATATTCTTAATATGGGACTTCTGACGTAGTCATTTTTAAAATCTACATTAAATGTAATTTTATTTTACCATAGAAAAAACAAATCTTATATCATTCTTTTCTAAAATTCTTTTATTTCTCAGCAACACCTACACTTTTATCCCAAGAAAACAGAAAGCTGGCTGAAAAATACAGTTTTAAATCCGCAATCCAAATACAATTTTAAATCTGCAATCCAAATATTTCTCATTCCTTAGCATCTTGGATAACTTTATATTTAATCCTTGGTTCTTTCTCTTGCCATATAAACCTAGATACAGTATATCTTTCTACCACAGCTTAAATGATACATTGATTGTCAAAATAGGTATTGTTTGAAAGAAAAATATCATTCAAGGCAATATATTGATTTTTACAACAGAGATTCTCCCCAACAATGACAGTTGTAGTTTCTTCCATCTTAACATGTCCTTCTTAATTTCATTCCATGTCTTAATAAGGAAAAGGGAAGATTTTGCTTTGTCAGAAGTCACTTTACTATGGAGAGCTGGTTCTACTCCATCAGAAACATCTAGTCTGCCATACAACTTCAGCCATTTGTATGTGCCTTTGAGTCAGTACGCCCAAAGGTGCTTTTCCAAGAGGCAACTGGATTTTCTGGTTTTTCTTTGAAGATGTTTCGCTTCTCATCCAAGAAGCTTCTTCAGAGCTCTTGAAAAAGCACCTTTGGGCACACTGACTCAAGGGCACACACATATACACAAACCAAACAGCTGAGGTTGTATGGCAGACCTCAAGTTTCTGATGGAATGGAACCCCCACTCCATAGTGAAGTGACTTCTGACCAGCAAAATCTTCCCTTTTCCTTATTAAGACATGGAATGAAATTAAGAAAAACCAGAAAGTCCAGTTGCCTCTTGAAAAAGCACCTTTGGGACAACTATGACCTAGATGATTGAGAATCTCCATAGACCTTGAGTCAGTGTTTACTCCTGGCCACTGCCTGGACAAATGTCTATAGAGTGGGTAGGGTGTTTTTTTTGGTAAGATTTCATAAGTGGTTTGCTATTGCCTGTTTCCTAGGGCTATGAGGGAAAGACTGGCCTAAGGTGATGCAGTTGGCTTTTTGTCTAAAATGGGATTAGAACTCATGGTCTCCCAGTTTCTAGCCTGATCCCTTAACCATTGCATCAAATTGGCTATCAGATGTGTAGTTATTATATTAAATTTTAAAGTCCTCCCAGAAGGAAGAAGAGATAGTGTTTTCATGCTCCATCACTCATTTGGTCCTTGTTATTCTCTTCTCATTGCTAGAGAACAGTTTATTGGATTTAATGTGTGTAGCTGAAGTGGCAGAAAATATCATCATACCCTGTTTCCCCGAAAATAAGACATCCCCTGATAATAAGCCCAATCAGGCTTTTGAGCACATGCGCTAAAATAAGCCCCCCCCTCGAAAATAAGCCCTCCCCAAAAATCTTTAAACGCAGAGCTGGAAATCAGGTAAGATGGCAAGAGGAGCCTCATTCTTGCTCCACGTGCCCCAAAATATTAAGACCAGTGGTGGGATTCAGCCAGTTCGCACCACTTCGGGAGAACCAGTTGTTAACTTTCTGAGCAGTTTGGCAAACTGGTTGTTGGAAGAAATCATTAGGGCAGAGAACTGGTTGTTAAATTACTTGAATCCCACCACTGATTAAGACCCCCCCAAAAATAAAGCCAAGCGCTTATTTCGGGGTTCAAAAAAATATAAGACAGGGTCTTATTTTCGGGGAAACACGGTAGATGTCCATTAATTATACCAGTCAGAGAGGAGAGATAATAATTCCAATAGTATTCCTTAGGATTTTGCTTCCTTATCTACATTGGTTAAAGATACACATTTAATGACCAATGATGTGCTTAATGGAGTCATTCTTAATACATTTTGTATTTTATACAATTTGCCTGAATATGTTTCTATTAACTGTAAAAGCTATTTTACAATAATAATTCATTACAGAATATTTTTTATAAATGCATTATATCATTACGTGGGATAATGATTTCTTATCTTTTCATACACACAAATACACACATAAAGGATGTTCAGATTAATGTAAAACATTGCAAAATAATGCGTCCAGGATTGAACTTTGCCTTTTCTCTTGGGAGGATCTACTCCTCTTGATGAAATACACTCTTTCCCCCAAAATAAGACATCCCCTGATAATAAGCCCAATCAGGCTTTTGAGCGCATGTGCTAAAATAAGCCCCCCCCCCAAAATAAGCCCTCCCTGAAAATATTTAAATGCATGTGCAGACAGTTCATACCATTTCCTCTGGTTAGGGTTAGGAAGACAGAGCTGGAAATAAGGTAAGATGGCAAGAGGAGCCCCGTCTTGCTCCACGCGCCCCAAAATAAGACCTCCCCCAAAATAAGGCCAAGCACTTATTTCGGGATTCAAAAAAAACAAGACAGGGTCTTATTTTTGGGGAAACACGGTATATGTAAGTTTTGCATGCAATTAATGAAAGGTTTTCATGTTTAATATAAATAGATATGATTTCTTTTGATATGTAATAACTTAGAATTGTTTTTATGGTAACATTGAACACATTCAGCTTTTGGTGCTGCTTGTAAATAAACATGTTGGATGTAGACTTAGGCTGACCATAAGGATTATGCCATATCAAAAATAGTGGTTTTTTTCACGAGCATCATGAAATTCTTTAACAAACAGCAAATCCATGCAAGCTATGTTCTCCCACTTATGGCAAGAAATAAAGGAAAAGTCTGCATCTCCTCTGCCTCAAAGGGAGGCAACTTCCATTCTTCTCCATGGTTTCATTTTCTGCACATAATTAGATGCAGTGTAAAACATCGGTGCTTAATCTGCTGCCTTTAGAGCTGCTGAAGTAGCTCACAGTAAATGATTTCTTTATGGTTATGGTTAATTATAGGAAATGTATTTGGGAGCTCTTTCTTTTTCTGTGAATAATAATTAACATTGTACTGTTGTTCTTTCAATACTTATATTTTTATTAGGCCCAATTAGTTAGGTTTCTGTAACATGTGATGTCAAATTGCTTGGAATTATTTTTGGAAATAATTGCTGAATATGGAAAGGCAAGATGAATTAATTAATGATCAGTTGTCTTTCCAATGTTTTTAATAAACGCTTATGTGTAATGAGGTCAGGGTTTAATTAAGCCCTCTAATGTGATTCTCTGTGAAAGACATTTGATCTAACATCTCACTTATATGATGACATTCAGCTCGACGTATGCAGCTAAGTCCATGGGAAAGCAACATGGTTAGCAGGCTTCTGACCCCAACTCATTCATTCTTAGCCAGGAGTAAAAGTGCAGCAACTTTATCTGGAGATGCAGGTAAAATTAAAACATCAATCAATTCTCTTCTCAGTTATATCATTTTAAAAGTATGCAGCCTTTAAAAATGTTGCTTTGGAAAATTCGGGGCTGGTTTGGCTATTGTCTGAATCTGCTATGTTGTCAATAATCTGCATTATTTTCTCTTCTTCCATTTTTCGAACTCTTCTTGCTTTTCTCTGTAAATCTTTAATAATTCAGCAGAAAATTATCTAATTTCAACAGCAAAGAGTGTCTCTGCCTTCAGTAACAAGCTGCCCATCATGTTTTAAAGAAATCTTGTAACCATACCTGTCCTACTTATATATTAAATTGACCATTTTATGAAAATGGTTTTAGATATAATTAGATATTAACATCTAAAATTACTGAGTCAGTAAAACAGAACTTTCAGTAAATCAAAATTACTTCATATAGTTCCCAATATGTTACCTATTACTTCAAAGTCAGATTCCGATTCAAATATGCCTCAATTTTTCATATATGTAGTTTAACAAAGAAGAAGTACCATGTTTATATGAATTTAGCTCAGACACATTTGACAAAAGTTACATTTTTATATGTATAAATTGAATGAATAAAATTAATATTGTCTTAATGGTCCTTTAGGAAATGGGTACTTTCATAGCTTAAGCAACAGAGTTAATGTAGGATGTTCCAGTTGCTTTCAGCTTAATTTTTCTTATAAAAGAAGAATTAGATTAGACCTAATAGAATAAGAATTGAATCTACTGTAGCAGAGATCTGTTAGGTTTTGGATGGCATAAGTGCAGGCATAAATATTTTTCTCCTGCAATTCTGGGAATAAATATCCTTGTGAGATTTATCCTTAAGTAGATCTTTGTTCAATTGGGTATTTTGGTAGACCATATTTCTGCCTAAATAGGAAGAAATGTAATTTCAGGCCTCTAATTTGTAGATAATGCCAGGATAGCTCTATGCATTCTGCCTTTTTCTCTGTTTGTATATTAATACTTTCCTTCCTTCGTTTCTTCTTTTCCTATCTCTGCTTCCGGTTCCTGCTCCTGTCTCTTGGGTTTCCTTCTATGTGTTTGGTTAAATATATACATGGGAAAAAAATAAATACCCTAGTTATCCCCATTTGTCCTCGTTCAGCATCTTGCAGCCCAATCAGCCCTCTCTCCTTCAAGGCCATAAGTTGCCACAGTCCAGCAGACCGAGCAAAACTGTTTGGCATAGCTCCTGAGGTTAGACGGCGAAGGACCACACATTCAGTTGGGGTAAGTTCCCAAATTGGGAATAAACTTGCACCTTTGATGAAATCCTGAATGCAGCTACCTTGGTTCTTTTCCTTATCATAGAAAAGTAGTTAATACAGAGGAAAAAAAATGTGGATATGGAGTCATACTATTTGCATACTAAAATTTGTGCATTAAGACTACCATAATGATTCAGGTTTATTAGCAAAATTGTTATGATCAAAAAGGATTTTTCACCTAGTAAACTGCCTACTGTTTGTGAATGTTTCACGAGAATGGGAAGTTAGTTCATTAGCATTACATTTTGAATTAACAGCTTTGTGTTTAAAAATGAACGAAAAGATTAGGAAGACATTTCCAGATACAAAGTTGATATAACTGATAGACCTTTAAGGGGAGGTCATAGAGCATTGCAAGTTATATGCTTTGTGCACAGAAGTGCTCAGACAAATCCCATCATCAGCTGTAAAAGGCTCATGCTTGAAATCAAGTGAGCTACTAAGTGGTGTCCATGAAATGGTGGTCAAAAAAAATGTAAGATGACAGTTGCAAAAATGTGACTGGGACATAGAGTGACAATATGACAACTATGTGTTGGATAACCCCTCTGGATTGCTGCTGGAGCTAGGTTGAATAGGACAAGGCAGTTCCTCTGGTTTTAACTTTGACCTTTTTAAATGTGTTATATAATCTGTAGAGTAAGGAAAATTGTCTTGATAGAGATTTGCAAGATCCTTTAGGCGATGTGGGCTGAAATATGTTTCATACAGTGCTCACAAGTGACTGGTTATTATAGCTAATGTCAATAAAAGTAGTTTTATCCATCTGTTTCATTTCTGGGTACAGCCTACCTAGTGGGATTGAAATAAACTGCAATCAAAAAGGATCATTGTCTTTCTTGAAAACTGTAAAAATGTTTACAGGGCCAGGTTAATATAGGGCAAATCAGAAACACATTTCACTGAACTCAAAAGCAATGTGTTTGGAATGGATGTATTGAATTGCTTGAATTCATCCATTATGGTTTGTGAACTGTAGCTTTTCATTTAGTGTCTGTGAGGATAACTCATTGTTAAGCAAAGCATTACCAGATGGTGCCAAGACATCGTTTATTCAATTAGCCAAAATTTCTGCATTCGTGGATAGTGCTAGATCATAAATAATGATTCATAAACCATAATGGTGGGACTTACAAATCAAATTGTAAACAAACAAAAATGGAATGGATTAAAATAATGTTTCAATCCAGATAATCAGAAGATACAGAATGCTATCCTCACAAAATGCAAATTAAAACAAAAACAAAAATTACATATCACGAGCCCAATCTTTTATCCTCGTTTGAAACTGAAGGATAATTAACACTTGTACAGTAGTAATTTGCAATAGCAAATCTTTATTTCTAGGTGCATTTAATAAGGTGTCTTTCTTTCTGTGGCTATGCAAAATGCCTCATTTGTTCTGTTTGTTCAATATTAGAGTAGCAGAAAAGGAAAGGAAAGAGGACTCTCATCAACTAATCCTTCATCTGGTAAAAGAAGAACTCGTTCACCATCTGCCTTCAGAAATAAACCAGCTGCTTGGTAAGTAACTTAATATTAGCCTTTATTTCATCTTAGTTGTATTTGCATCTTGTATAGAACCGGTAATAAAACTGGCAGGAGGCTCCGCCCACTGACCCCGATGTCATCAAAACACTTCTGCGCATACGCAGAAGCTTCTGCACTTGCACAGAAGAGCGCACGTTCATGCAAGCGAAGCATGCACGGCCCCGCTGCAAACCGGTAGTAAAGTCAGTGGGACCTTAAAACTGAGTCCCTCAATCTGGTAATATCCCCTTGGGAATAATGATGTCTGTAGGCGGGTACATTTACCCCAAATCGGGGGAAACTACCTTGGTCCAAATTGTGTCATCAAATATTTCTAGAAATCCTGTCTGCAAACAGAAATATTCATAGGGGCATAGTAGAAGCTCTTTTATCTAAGAAGTGTATTCTGTGATTCCCCTTTCTAGACACTGCAAACAGCTACAGTAAAGCAATAGGTATCTTAAAGACCCATTCATTGCTTAAATAGCCATTCTCATCTAAGCCCCTCAAATTATCTCAAAGTGTGTAGATTAGCAATTTCACTCATAGTTTTTGTGCAGACACAGGAATCATCTTTTTTCCCCCCTCTACAGCCTTTGCAAGATAAAGATGTTGAACACAAGTCTTATGGGCAAAAAAGCAGGCAATGATAAAACTAGGAAACACCTATCTTTTCTCTTCCAGTAGCCATTGTAATATCACAAATTGTTTTGAAAGTACCTCACTTTCAAAAGAGGATTACTCTGAGATGAGGCAAGGCTTCTGCTTCTCAAAAAAAAAAAAATGCCCTGTCAAAGTCATTTGGGGATTATGAAAATGGTACCGCATTGTTGATTTCCAGTTGAAGAGAACCTTGTTCTCTTTGAGAAAAAGAAGCAGATAAATTTTAATAAATCTTTAGCAAAGTGTACTAAACTGTGCCTCACTGAGGCATAACACCCTCTTTCTGTGGTCCTCTTTATATAAGATAAAATGATGTTTCTCAGGTAGATTATTTTTTTCCACTCCTCTCAAAGTTACTTCAGAAGGGTAGGAAAGAATGGATAGAGATGGGAAAATGTTTAAAAGCAATAAAATGGAGTAACCATAACTCAACAATATAATATAAATAATGTAAATGTACATATATACATCCGAACTAGACTGTATTGTTTCTCTGTGTCATATAATATATGTGGGTATGTAGGTATATGCATAATTTTTATTGTTTGTTTGTTTGTTTGTTTATATTTTTGACATGTTTATGTAGTATATATTGGAAGTGGTGACCTTTTGAGAGCTGTATACAATGAAATTTCATTTTAATGTATGCTGATTAGTGTACATTTAAAATGACAATAAAGTTATTCAGAGTCTAAATCTAAATTCTGATTACTGTCTCTCTGCGATTCAAATAGGCATGCCTCCAGATCAATGCCTGCCCTGCCAGGAACACCCAGAAAGATCATTTTGCTATCTGGATCTTCCAAAACACCTTCCATTCAAGCTCGCCCTCCTTCCCCTGGCAACATTCGTCCAACAAAACATGGGAAAAAGGGGACGTTGAAGGAATCTGAGAAGATACTGGAACAAAAGTCAGACCCTAAAAAAACAGCTTCAAATCCCAGAGTAGCTACAATTGAAGAGTCCTGTAAACCAGAGTTTACTCAAAGTAAGGATCAGGTTATCAGCCTTCCAAAATGTTCCTTACCCAATTAAGTGCTTTGCTCCCTTTTCCTTATGTAGCTTTCAGATATTATTTTGAATCAATGTGGATAATTGTAATAGGCTTATTTCCAAGGGTTTAGGTTGGGAAGCTAAGCAGAGTTGGTTAATAGTTAAATGGGAGAGCAGAGAAACTACCAGGATCACAGACTAGAATGGACCTAGATGTCTGTGTGAAATCACTTGGACTATTTGTTTAAAAATTATCTATAGGCCTTTTCTTTTCTTTTCTTTTCTTTTCTTTTCTTTTCTTTTCTTTTCTTTTTTTTTTAAATCAAAGTGGAATATCGTTTAAATGACTAAATTGAAATACTTGTCATAATATTCACATACACTACATGTTCTAACTAGTGATTATTTCAGATGTTAAGATCCCCTTGGGCAATAATTCATAAGTGTCTCTCTCTTGTTAATGGCAATTCTGACTTAATAGACCTACATCCTCCTCACTAAGTCATGGCCCATAGGAGTGCACAACCTGTCTATCACCAAAGTTACCTGTGGTCTCACTAAAGTATTGGGTGTAGCCTTCCAAAACTCTCCCAAAATTATGGAGAAATTGTAATTTGAGTACATGGGATTATTAAATCATAGGAAGTAATAACATTAATTGAGTTTCAACAATTAGTGTTAGTGTGGATAAAAAGATCAGACCCTAGGCCCCTGAAGTGTGGGATACCTTTAGGCGCAGGTCTCTTGCTGCTCTTCCGTAATAAGTACATGAAACCACTGGGTGAGGTCATTCAAAAGCACAGAATGCAATATCTGTGCTGCTGATACTCAGGTATATATTCCTACCATTGGCCAGCTAGCAGCTGACCCAGTGCCTGGGCAGGAACCAACACTGACTCAACCCTAGCAAGACAGAGTGGCTTTGTGTTTTGCCCACGCACAGGTCCTCAGGGCTTGGCATTGTGTTGTCTTTGCTCAATGAGGTAGCACTCCCCTGATCAGAGCTTGTATGGAATTCAGGACTCTTCCTAGACTCATTGTTCCTTTTAAAGAAGCTATGGCTAGGGTGCCTTTGTACAGATTCATCTTGCGCACACCAGTTGTACCTGTTCTTATCCTTGTTCACAATCATGCATGCATTGGCCACTTCCTTTTACAGCAATGTGCTGTACGTTGGTCTTCCCTTGAAGTCCGCTCAGAAGTTGCAACTGGTCCAGAATGCAGTAATGTGCATAATTCTGAGCACCTGGTGGTTTCCCATATTATAGTGCTGCTGCGTTGGCTTCTTTTTCGGTGCAATTCAAGGTGTTGTTTATCATTTTACAGTCCTGAATGGCACAGGGTCAGGTTATTTAAGGGACTGCCTCTCCCAGTGGATGCACTGTGGATGTAGTATGTTGTTAAACTGCTTGGCAATGAGTGGGAATAAACCAGTTAGATGTTTCAACCAAAAACCATGCAGTTCATCTTCACCTGGTGCTGACCAATTCTTTGGTCAGATCTTCTTGCTCTTTTCTCTTACCATTTCTGCCATTATTACTAGTTCTTTCATTTCAACTTCTTTTTTATTCTTATCCACCTCTTTTAACCAAGCTGCATCCTTGTTGTATTTCTTTGGGTTATTCCATATCTGCGCCCAGAACTGCACTGTTTCTCCCTTGTCAGGTATTGACTGATTCACTGCAGTTTCTCCATTGATGGATTGATAGAAACGTTTCTGATTGGATTGAAATTGGAGGTTCTGCCTATAATTTGCAGTTCGAGCTTCGTATCTGCTAATCTTCTCGACCATTGCTGTTATTTGCTGCTTTATTATTTCCAGTGCTTCCTTGATCTTCCTTGTTTCTAAGTGATATTTCTTATTAGGTATTCTTTGGTCTTCTTATTCTTCAGCTTCTTTCATCTGTTCTACCTTGCTTGCATCTTTATTTATTATATTTTGTTTTGGGTTTTGCTGTTGTTATTATTGTTGTTGTTGTTGTTATATTAATATTAATTTCATCAGTTATAATTTTTGGCCCAGGTCTTTTACATTTGTTTGCTCCGAACCCACACACTTCTCAACCTCAACTAGTAAATGGTATTTTAATATTTTATAATTTTCCTTTTGCAGATGTTGTATACTGTACATGGCTTTTCCTAAAAGATCCCAACTCTGATGGTATAAACCTGACTCTTCTTCTAGGTCCTGTTCCAGTTCTGCCCTCTGTTCCTTCAGCAGCTTCACCATCTCCCATCTGTAGCAAATCTTCAGCAGGGACAACAAATCCAGAAGAAGCAACCCGGGTGCTTAGTGAAAAAAGGCGACTCGCCCGGGAGCAACGAGAACGGGACGAGCAGCAAAGAAAGGAGCAGGAAGAGATTGAAAGGTGATCAACTCACAGTTGCCTAATGGAGAAAATGCACTTTTGCATATCTTCTTTGAACACACCACAGGCCAAGATTACAAAACAAAGCATTTGTATAAAGCTTATATTCTATTCATCTCCATGATTTAGCAGAAGCAGGCTGATAAAAGATATCTCTGTCTGGAATGGTGTCTGCCCAACAACATAGACCAGACCAAGTAACCAAGGCCATATAGGCAGGACTGTTTTTATAGCTGTAACTGCTATAGTAACAGATCCTTGCAAGTCTGAATGTGCTTCCCCCTTCCTCCCATTATCTTCATGTGAATTAGGGAGGAACTTGTCCAAGATGTTTTCTCAAATTATTTTCTTTGAAAAATTATTTGACCATTGCCTTGCTAGTGGCTCTTCCTCCTGTCTTTCTAAGCCATTCCTTCTGCCCTTTAAAAATAGAGATTATACTATTTAGTATAATGTGATAATTTGTACAGATTGTGCTGATTGTATAGATTTTATGCAATCTAGATTCTATAGATTTAATGTGATAATTAGTATAGATGATACTGATTAACTTGAGAGCAGGTGAGTATGTGGTGATTTTTTTAAAAAAATTATTTTTATATGCCGCCCTTCTCCGGAGACTCAGGGCGGCTTACAATGCGTTAAACAATAGCCTTCATGCTTTTGTATATTTTATACAAAGTCAGCTTATTGCCCCCACAAACCGGGTCCTCACTTTTTTACTCACTTTAGAAAGGATGGAAGGCTGAGTCGACCTTGAGCCTGGTGAGAATTGAACTCGCAGTAATTGCAGGCAGCTGGATGTTAAATGCTGCCTTAGTAGGAGGCATTAGCCTCCTCTGCCATTCCTGCTCAGGCTCCTGAGATTAAGGTGTTGGCCTAGAAACCAGGAGACTATGAGTTCTAATCCTACCTTAGACATGACAGCCAGCTGGTAATTTTGGACCAGCCCAACCCACCTCACAGAGAACTTGTTGGGGAAATAGAGAAATGAGTATTAGGTATATATGCCACCTTAAATTACTTATAAAGTAATAAAGGTGGATAAAAAAAATAAGTAAATGCTGGAGGGAAGCCTATCTGACGATCATTCTGAAAGAAGGTGCCGACCCGAAACAGATTTCCAACTATAGACCCATCTCACTGCTCAACGCAGATTATAAATTATTTATGACTATAATTGCGGAGAGATTTAAGAAAATTCTAAACCGATGGATACACAAGGATCAAAATGGTTTTCTCCCTGGGAGACAGATTAGAGACAACTTGAGAACAGTCTTAAATACTATTGAATACTATGAACAACACCCTGGAAAACAGATGGCTTTAATGTTTGTTGATGCCCAAAAGGCATTCGACAATTTAAACTGGACCTTCATGATAAATCAAATAGATTTAATGGGATTTGGGACTAACTTTAGGAGGATGATAGAGAATATCTATCATAATCAGAGGGCAAACATACTAGTGAATGGAGACAGAACTCGGACATTTCAGATCCAAAGAGGAGTCAGGCAGGGATGTCCCTTATCCCCCTTACTTTACATTCTAGCACTAGAGGTCCTGCTTAGAAAGATTAGAGCAAATGAAGATATCAAAGGCCTAAAGATTAGGAAGGAAATATTTAAAACCCAGGCTTTTGCGGACGACGTCGCCTTTATAATTGAAGACCCATTAGACACCGGCTCAAAATTAATGCAGGAAGTCCAGAACTATGGAGAAGTCGCGGGCCTTAAACTTAATAAGAACAAAACTAAAATAATCGTGAAAAATATGACAAACCTACAAATGAAAGAATTAGAAGATCTATTAGGCCTCCAGGTAGTTAAGAAAATAAAATATTTGGGAATATGGATTACCGCAAGACTATCTTCATTAAAAGATGATAATTATATTCCCCTATTGCAGAAAATCAATCAAGACCTTGATAGGTGGAGGAGACTTAAATTGTCCCTGACTGGGAAAATTGCGGCGATCAAAATGAATATTTTACCAAAATTTCTATTCCTATTTCAAAATATACCGGTATCATTGGATAAAAAATTCTTCCTAGATTTGAACAAATATATCAGGAATTTCCTGTGGGAGGGTAAGAAATCAAGGATCTCTCTTAAGACACTTCAAGGAAAAAGAAATTTGGGAGGGTTTGGGCTCCCTGATTGGGAATTATACCAAAAGGCGGCAAAAATAATTTGGATAAAGGAGTGGATTAAATTACAAGAAGGGAGAACTCTGACACTAGAAGGACATGACCTCCATGAAGGATGGCACGCTTACCTCTGGGATATAAAGGATAGGAGATCCTTTATATCCCAGAGGATATAAAACGTATTTTCATAAACATAAAATAAGAGAGACATTGATTTGTACGTGGCTGGAAATTAGACAGAAGATATATACCAAGGTTCCTAGTTGGTTGTCGATTATAGAAGCTCTAGTGGCCCCAAATAGGAGAGGAAACTATAAACTGGGCACATATAAGGATATCTTGGACGAAGAAGGGAAGCTCAAACCTTTGGAAGCATTGAGGGACCAGGGGTTCAATCTGGATTGGTGGAACTATCTCCAAATTAAATCTAGATTTCAAGAAGATAGAGATAGAAGGGGTATTGAAATGAAATATGGATATTTTGACAAAATTATTTGGGGTCCAGAAAAGAAAATGCTATCCAAAATTTATAACTTTATATTAGATGAGGATAGAGCGGAGACGATAGCTAAAAAACAGTTAAGCATTTGGGAGAAAAACTTAGGATATGCCCTCAATTTCAATGACTGGGAGACAGCTTGGAACAGGAATCTCAAAATAACAAAATCAGCAACATTCAGGGAAAACCACTACAAAATGCTGCATAGGTGGTATCTAGCCCCGGACAGGCTGGCTAAAATATTCCCAAACTCTTCTGCTTTATGCTGGAAATGTGGAAAAACGGTCGGCACCTTTTATCATCTTTGGTGGACCTGTCCTGAGACCAAAAAGTTTTGGTTAAAGATCCGACTCTGGCTCTCTGAAATAATGGGACAGGAGATAGTCCTGGCCCCGGAATCTTTTCTCTTAGGTATGACGGAAGATGGTCTCAACAATAATAAAACCCATTTGGCAATCCAAATTATCACTGCGGCTAGAATAGCCTTTGCGAAACTTTGGAAATCTAAATCTACCCCCTCTGAGGAAACATTAATAAATAAAATCCTAGAGTGCGCAGAGATGGCTAAACTGACAAACGAGCTAAAAAATGAAGAAAATTCAAAGCACTATGAAGTATGGGGAATTTGGTATAACTGGTTAAAGAATAGGATAAAAGTATGATAATAGGCTATAGTTGCTTAAACATCAGAAATGGACTCAATTGTATAGAAATGTAGAGAATTATATAGTATTGTATAATATAATGTATAGTGATAGTTATGGATGGAATCCATCCAATATTTGACTTATGAAATGTGTATACACCGTACCCCGGATCAAGATTGAGATTGTATTTTGTCTTTTTAAATACTAGAAAACTCAATAAAATATATTAAAAAAAAAAAATAAGTAAATGAACAGTATGATCCAGATGTTCAAAAGGACAGCATCATTTCTCAACCTGTTATTATCCAGTTGTATTGAGGTAAACTCCCATCATTTCAGCCATTGGCCATGTTGACTTGGGAGACAGAAATTGTATTTCAAAATGCTGGAGGGTCATCATGATAGAAAAAAAGCCACTCTAGTGCCTCTTAGGTTGTTCTGACTTCAACAAATGCCTGGATTTTGCATTCTCATAAACCCTTCCAGCAGTATCTCGAAGGTTGTGCCACCTTCATTCTGAAATTATATAGTGATGTTAGGAATATGAACACGCTTACTCCTATTCTCTACGTAAATGGCATCTTTCTGTCTAGAGAGAGAGAAAAGTAAAACCAGTAATTCAGAATCCACTTCTTTAGCTGATTTATATCCCACCTTTCATTCAAGAGCTTAAGGTGGAATACTTAAGTAGTTTTTCTTCTATTGTTTTTTTTCTCACCTCAGCAACCTTGTAAGGAAAGTTGAGCTAAGAGAGTGACTGGCTGCAAGTAAGCCAATGAGCTTCTATCGCTGAAGGAAGGCTAGAATATGGCTCTTCCTGCTCATAGCCCAATCCCTTAATCCCTATGCTACAGAGGATCTTGTTAGAGTTGCTCAACACAATCTTAGATATCCTTCCACACAGTGGTGAAAGCCTCCGGTTTGCCACTGGTTTGCTGCCCACGCATACACGGTATGCGTGCATGCATAGTGTGTGCCAAATGCACACTGCACGCACATGCGTAGTGCAGACCAAACACGTGCTTCATGCGGAAAAAGGAGGCTTAAGAAGGTAAGTAGAACAGTGAGGGGGGGACAGCTGTGCCATGCAATTAAGATTCACTAGAAAGCAGGATTTCCTGCTTTCTAGTGAATAAAAATTGTGTGGCACGGCTGATCGTTGGAAATACCAGTTCAGACGAACCGGTAGCATTTTTTTTACTACCGGTTTGCCCGAACCAGTAGCATTTCACCCCTGCTTTGACAGGAATACTGTAATTTGGTTTCTGGCACCAAGCAAGATTTCAAATTTTTCATGATTTTATTTAAAGAAATTTCCCAATTAATCCAAGAATAATCTTCAATTTACCTCAGATAAAGTGAGAAGAAAAAGCATTTCCTCCTTTTTCCATTCCATTCTACGTCATTTATTAATATTTGGAGGCAGTCTGACATGCTAAAACAGGTGTTTATTTAATTTTTTTTTGTGCTAGTTTTACCCATCCATGCGTTTGTCTAACACACAGCATTGTTTCCATTAGACAAAAGAAGGAGGCCTTGGCGCAGAAGATTGCTGAGGAAAGAGAGCGTCGAGAGGAGGAAGCTCAGAAGCAGGAGGCAGAAAGGAAGCAAAAAGAAGCAGAACAGGAGCAGGAGGAGGAAGAGCTACGCCGCTTGGCTGAAGAAAAGGAGGAGAAAGAAAGGAGGGAAATGGAACTCCTTCAGAAGCAGGTAGTGTAAACACCAGTGGGCTTTGCAGATTGTATGTTGTCCAAATGGCTCATTGTTCTGTGGAACTGCATGAAGAAAAGCAAGGAGATGCAAACAGTGGCATCTCTGGACAGGGAAGGAGTTAAAAAAGTTTAGATGGAAACCACGACTCCATGGTTGAAGTCCCTTCCATCCCATATATGTGTTGATGTCCCATAGATGGAGAAAGCTGCAGAATGTTACATTCTTGCAAGTACCATCTTGATAATGCTGGACCAAAAGCATCCTTACAAAAAAAAAAAAGTTTTCCATGGAATTCAATGCTGCTGTTCTGCTTATTCTAATACAGCTGGTCCCTCTGTCAGTGTAAAAGCATTTGAAACTCCTTAACCAATTCTGTTTTTTCCTGGGATCGTGTGACCTTTTAGAAGGGCAGTTGTCAGGCTTAGCCCAAGAACAATGTAAAACAATACAGTCAGAGTCTTTATTTCCTGACACAAAATAGAAAGAATCTCGTCAGACTAAACCTTTATTCTCATCCTAACAGACATATCCTGGAAGATTTTAGGGAGTGGCTAATCTAACTCTCTTTCTCTGTCTTCTATCCAGCTCCGGGCTGTGCTGTCTCTTGTCTGCCCCACACCCCTCGTAGGCACCATTCCTCAAAATATCACAGAAATAGATCAGCTACTTTAAGGAATAGTAACAGGATCTATGCAAGCCACTCCTCCACTGATGCTCCAAAACACATTTTTCTGTCTTTACAAGCAATATGCATTTGTATACAAAATATGTATGACTGTGGGTTCTGGAATATTGGTATTCTCTGGAAAGACTCCCAGCTATAAAAGGTTATACAGTATTTCCTTCCTTCTGTCTGTATATTTAGGACCTAGTCTTTCTGAAGTTGAATGCACTTTTTGATCTAATTTCCATGCTGTTTTTCAATGCAAATGAAATTCCCTCCCTGAAAAAAAAAATTTTTTAGAAGAGGAATTTTTACCAGGATTGCAAAGCATTAATTTTCCTCTTCATGCCTCTTCTGATCTTGTTAATTATGAACCATGCCAGCTGCTGCTATTACTTTGCATTTGAATGTATCCTGAAGATTAGATACAAAAATGCCATTAATATTTGTGACTTGGGCCTTAAACATACGACACATACTTCCCTAATATATCATGCAAAATAGAAAAGGGAGCCCTTAATTTTCACCATGCATAAAATCACGAACAGTAACAGATTATGTACAATCAGAAAGGCTAATGATTGTTGAAGTAATCAAGAAACACTGGTATTCTAATTTTATGGAGTGAAGGTACATAAGTACGCAGTATTTAATTTAGAATCTCATCACCTTTTCAAAATGTGTTTGCACTACAGAGAAGTAATTAAATTGTACATTCATTTGCAATTTTAAAAGAAGCTGCTCTTTGGATACAAAAGATACCTTTTGCGACTATGTTGGGACTATGCAGCCTCTTACCCTGTTCTTTTGGGATTACAGCAATTGAAAGCAAAAGTGAAAATAACTAGATAAATATATATTGATTGCCATAATATAATCGATGTCCATATTTTCTTTTTGTGTGCCATAATTTAGAAGGAAGAGGAAACTCGGTTACGAGAAGACCAGATTCGACTGGAGCGTGAAAAACATTTCCAGAAAGAAGAACAAGAGCGCTTAGAAAGAAAGAAGGTAATAGAAATCAGTTCTTGCAGACAACCACATGTGTATTTTCATGTGGCAAGTGACCCACCCAATGAATTCACTTTTGGGGACTTAATTTAAGGACTAAAATAGATTTAAAAACCTTCTGGAAGCATTATCTTCCATACAGTTGAAATCACAGTTACATTTGCTGCTTATAATGCCACCTTTGGATTTTTGCACATACCTGCTCAACAAAGCATCTTTTCTGATTTAGAACCCATTGCAGCCAAACTTCCAAATCATGGTAAGAACCTACAGGAATCTACATGAATCAGGTAGCCTCTTGCCTTCATGTATGATCACAAGCTTATAAAGAACACCCCCAAAGGGGTTCGTGATGTGATGGATAAGCTTTGAGTTATTAGTAGGTTGGTATACATCACAGGCAAACTTTCATTGCCACTTCTCTTTTGGCTCCAGTCTCACATGTTTGGAAATAAAAAGTGTTTACTTAAAGTGGAGAAGTTTACCCACCCATGCATTTGTCTAATGCATGGAGACAATAATGGATTGGAGGAGGGAGGGAACAAGTGTAAGTTGATTTGATTTATGAAAAAGGCAGGGGGTTGCAGGAAGCTTACAAAGAGGATGTTTGCTCAATTGCTCACTGATCACCTATAGCACCTATGACTTAGACTTATATACCGCTTTACAGTCCTCTCTAAGCAGTTTACAGAGTCAGCATATTGCCCCCAACAATCTGGGTCCTCATTTTACCGACCTCGGAAGGATGGAAGGCTGAGTCAATCTTGAGCCTGGTGAGATTTGAACTGCCAAATTGCAGGTACCCAGGCAGCAGAAGTAGCCTGCAATACTGCACTCTAACCACTGCGCCACCATGGCTCTATGCTGCTATTGTTGATGCTTCCTCCTCCAGCTGATTTCCAAGGAGGATGAGTGGCTCATTTTGTAAACATTTGTTGCAGGTCACCACCTTTTCCAAGTTGGTGGAGGAAGAGATGGCAGTAGTGAAGTAATTAGCATATACTGGAGAAGAATTTGGTTATTGCACGTAGTGTGCTCATAATTAATATATCCAAATCTGTTCTCCAGTGAAAACATATTATAAAGTGCCTGTTAACATTTATGTGAAGCCGCTGAGCGAGATCATCTGTGGTTTTGGGGTGGAGTTCCATCAGTATGCTGACGATACTCAGCTGTACATCTCCACCCCAGGCCATCCCAACGATGCCCTTAAAGTGATGTCCCGGTGCCTAGAGGCCGTGCGGGTTTGGATGAGGAGAAACAGGCTTCGACTCAACCCTTCCAAGATCGAGTGGCTGTGGCTTCCGGCGTCCCGATATAGCCAGCTGGTGCCATCGCTGGCTATTGGGGGCGAGTTACTGGCCCCCACGGAGAGGGCTCGCAACTTGGGCATCCTCCTGGATGCATGGCTGTCTTTAGAAGAGCATATGACTGCCGTGGCCAGGGGGGCTTTTTATCAGGTTCGCCTGATTCGCCAGTTGCGTCCCTTTCTGGATTGGGACTCCTTACACACAGTCACTCAGGCACTCATCACTTCCCGCCTGGACTACTGCAATGGTCTCTACATGGAGGTACCCTGGAGGAGCACCCGGAGGCTCCAACTGGTGCAGAATGCGGCCACGCGGGGGATTATGGGAGCGACGGGGGGCTCCCATGTGACACCCCTCCTGCGTGAGCTGCATTGGCTTCCGGTGGTCTTCCGGGTGCACTTCAAGGTGTTGGTTACCACCTTTAAAGCGCTCCATGGCATTGAGCCTGGGTACTTACAGGACCGCCTTCTGCCGCCGATAGCCTCCCACTGGCCAGTTCGCTCCCACAGAGAGGGACTCCTCAGGGTGCCATCAGAAAGGCAATGTCGGCTGGCGACCCCCAGGGGGGAGGGCCTTCTCTGTGGCAGCACCTGCCCTCTGGAACGACCTGCCCCCAGAGATACGTAGGATACCAGATCTCTGTGCTTTTCGCCGTGCCCTCAAAACTTTTCTATTTCATCAAGCTGGGCTGGCGTAACCCCCCCCCTTAGATATTTTTAATTGTAATGGATTTTAGTCAGGAGGTTTTAAATTTTGGGCCAAAATTTGTTTAATTCTGTTAAAATTTTAAATTTTGTATTGGGATGTTTTTTATTCTTGGCTGTGCACTGCCCTGAGTCCAGCAGGAGAAGGGCGGTATAAAAATTTAATAATAAAAAAAAGTCACCTCACTATCTGAAGTTAAGGGAACATGGAGAAGATGGCAGTCCTTCTTTGTAGCAGCTCCTAAACATTGTAACTCTTTAGCACCAAATGTTTATAAAACTTCCTCATTCAGGGCATCTAGAACAGGGGTGTCAAACTCACGTCATCATGGCGGTCTCACATGACCTATTGCGACTTTTTCCCCTTTTGTAAAACTGGGCGGGGGCATGGCCAACACGTGACGCATCTGGCCTATGGGCCAGGAGTTTGACAGCCCTGATCTAGAAGATAATTGAAAGTTTTATTTTCCCAAGTTTAATTAACTAATAGTTATCAGCATCCATTTGGGGGATTATTATTTTTCATATCATTAGCATAATATAACCTACCCAGAGCTTTTTGATTAAGGTGGCCCATAAAAATGTAAAATAAATTAATAAATAGTATAAACTATGGATAAATCTGGAAGATGTTCATTATTAATATTCTTTTTCTTTATTATGTAGCGTCTTGAGGAAATTATGAAAAGAACTAGGCGATCAGAACCTGTGGAAAGAGTATGTATGGAACTTTTTCCTTTTTCAGAAGTATATTTTCTATATATTTATTTATCTTCTACAATAGATGTTTACATAAAATCTTTTTTATTTTGCAGAAATCAGATGAGCAGCAGAATGGAGTGATAGCAAAAGAAATAGGTATTATTTTTGATGTATATTTAGCTTAACACTGAAACTTACTCAGAGCATGAATAAGAAAGAATTAAGTAATAAATCATTTAAACATTAGTAACCTGGTTGTATTTAATGAAAAGTAGGTGATTTGACATTTGAATACTTGTAATGGCATATTATTCCATTGTGAGTATAATTATGTACAAAATGAAACATATTAGCACTGTGATTAATTTTTCGGTGATACATAAATCAAGTTCTAGATCATTAATTTTAATCATTACCGACAAAATACTAAGTTATATCATTTTCTGATCTAGATTACAGTTTTGTTTACAATTGAGCTACTGAAATAAAATCCTTAGTTCCTTTTTATTAAACAATTGAAATGTCAGCTCACTATTTACCTGGCATGATTTCTGAGCAAACAAGGTATTAAAGGAAGTGTTTTATACAAGGCTATTATAAAATGAACCCTGTTATTAGTTGGATATTGCATTTTTCATTAGTACTAAAAAGGAATTATTTTTTCAGTATTCAGATAGAATCAGATCCCTGAAATTTCTCTTGGCTCTTGCCTTAGCATCATTCTGTATTAAGAAATAGGCAGAGGAAGTTGTTTTACAATGGATCAATCAATTAATCTAGCTGGTTCACTATTACCTCTATTGGAAAACAGTAGCTGCCCAGGATCCCATCCTATTTTTCCCCAACAGTATTGAATATTGTATTTAGGATTGCATGCAACTACTTTCCAAAAAACCACTTTTCAGAATGGAAAGGATGCTTTAAACTTTTGATGACCATTTATTGCTATACCCCCACCCCTACATAGACATAGAGGGGAACAGAGTAGGGGTGGGTTCTACTTACCTTTACTATCGGTTCGCAATGGGAGTGCGTGCAGATCACCAAATGTGACGTCAGGGTGGGTGGGCGGAGCCTCCCACCATTTTTACTACCGGTTCTCAAGAACCAGACAGAACCAGGAGCAACCCACCACTGGAACAGAATTTTGAGAAGCTACATTTCTCTATGCAATCTTATGTTCTCCATTCTCCTACATTAAATAAATACGGTTTTACAGACCATTTTGTTTTCCTTCTACCAGTGAGCGGCCCTACACCTCCGTTAAGCCCTGTAATGGGTTCTCAGGTTCAGTGTATGGCAGAAACTCCACGCAATGGGGAAATGGTACTTCACACACCTGTGCTCATTTCTCACCAGCCCAGAGTAAACTTAGACAGGTAAGAAATGTGATCCTTCCCCCCGCTCCTTCTGTTCAATTGTGTCCAGTTCTCAGAACCTGCCTGGAATATTCCCTATGGTTTTCTTGGCCAGGATTTTCAGAAGTAGTTTGCCTAGGGTTGAGAGAAAGTGACTGGCCCAAGGTGACCCAGCTGGCTTTGTGCCTAAGGTAGGACTAAATCTATCTATCTAGATAGAACCCATCTCCTGGTTTCTAACCTGGGTCCTTAATAAATCAAATAAATAAATAAAAATTCTGTCACAGTTTTATTATGCAGCATATCAGGAAATTTTGCAGAAGGAAAAGTAAAGATGTGGAAGAAGGCACCAACTTCAACCTACAGTATAACTTACTCTATACGTTTTCTATTTTTGCATTTTTTTACTATTATTGTACATTTTTTCTTGGCATTTAGTATGCTAATTCAAGTATAATTTGTATATTGACTAAATAATACCATTTGTATTTGTTTGATAATACGAACATAATACGAACAATTTTCTTATGTTATTTATGAATGTGAAATCACGTTTTATGTGTGAAGAAAAATCTACCACCTGCCAAGGTTTGGTTGGTATGTCGATTGAATTAAGAACACCTCCTGTTAGTATTCATTCATATGGGTAGTGGTATCGTCACCATTAGAATGCAAGATGAAGTTGAAAACAGATTTTGTTTCCAAAACATTTCTTAAATTTGCCTGCATCATGGCCTAAAATGTTTCTGGTAGAGGAAACTAAACCTACAATAAATACAGATATAATTTAAAAAGTATTGAATGAAAATAGTCATATATTTCTGGTTTGTTATCAGTAAATTATGTTACCTATCGATGTATTTCAGTAATCTCAATCCACGAAAATATTCAAATGAAAATGGAGTATCTACACAGGATGAAAACTTTGAAGAGCTCATCAGTTTACCCATGGGAATAAAACCTCCCAGATTGGATGCCATGAGTCCTGAAGAGAAAGATAGCTCTGATATTCCTTTGACTCCCATCTTGGCCTTTGAAGAGAATGGGGCACGAGGGTCATTGCCTCAGGTAGACAATGTTCAAACGCCTCAGAGAGCAGGTAGGTTTGCTTTAATCCTTCTAACTTGCATGCCCTGGAATGAATCTAGCAAATGCCTCATTTGAGTATATTAAGAGCAAAGAATAAAGGGTTATAAAATCTGCAATAAACATATTAATCCTGGTTCTTAGAGCAACCTGCATCTGGAATAGGACACAGAGAGATAGAAGCTTGATTATGAATTGCACTAGGCTCGTAGGAGAGGGCACAGATATGAATTTCAAACTATTTATTTAAAAAATGGTTTCAGTTATAAAATTTATTTCTGATACAAAAACAAGTTTATTAAGGGATAAGTAGACTTTTAATAAAAGTAGGAAAAAGCTTCTGTAACAGATATATTAAAATAGTTATTTCAACATGTGCAGCATTTCCTTCATTATAAGGTATTTCAGTGAAAATTTTCTATTCTGGTTCATAACTCCATGTAACAGGAACTTTGTTCAGTTTATGTGGGATTAGCATAGAATGGAACTATTCCTGCACTTAATAATTGGTGCATGGATCCTGAATTATTGTCCCATGAAAGAATGATCCAATGGTGGCATCACCAGCAGAAGGATAGACTGAGTGATGGGTGTGATTTTTTTTGCCAATTTCCCCTTCTCCCTGCAGGCCTAGCACCACCTCCCACACTATTTTAGTTACTGTTTCAACCCTTTCAACAGGTGTTCGGAACATATAGGAGAGCTTCAGAGGGAACAGGGAATTGGCAGATATTATTTCTCCTGTTCCACTCATGAGAATTTTTTACATGCAATTCCAGTCATTGGAACTAATAAGATCCAAGTCATCTCCCATCACCATGATCATCATCTGTGACAGGACTGTTTTGTACTTTTGTATAGGAACCGTTGCTAATGTTTTCTTTATTGGCTTTCCTTTGTAGAAGTTGTCTGAGATCTCATGAATTATTATCAAAGGCGAAGAAAAGGCCTTCTGAAGCCAATGGGATTCCTTCCATGCTATGAAGGAGTGTTATATTTTTTGTCACTCTTGAATTTTCTAAAGATTTCTTGGATGCTTTCCTTTTTTTTTTTTTTAAAGAAAACAAGTAGTAAAACCAGCAGAAGAATATATTGGAAATAGATTTGGATTGCCTTACTATCACTAGAACTCACTACTAGGGGAGAATTGTGTCTTCTGTTTCAAAAACTGCTTCATATAGCATAATTGATATTTTCAGCAATTCTTGAAGAAAAGGGTAACTAGATTAACAATAACAGGATGATTGGGATAATGAACCTGTTGGTTTTGTCTTGTTTTAAGGATGGGTAGTTTTAAAAGGCACACTGTAAAATCAGCAAAAAATCTTACATTTTACTGATTCAATACTTGAAAAGTAAACACCTCACTGCTCTACAGGGAGGGGCTTTAGGGGTGGTTTTTTTGTTTTGTTTTGTTTAAACCTGTTGGTTTAAATATTATTGCAGAGAACTATTAATTATGGGGGCAAAATATAGGCTTCTGTATCAGGTTCTTGTAAATGTAATTCCTAAATGGACATTCTGTATATTTAGCCATCACTATGCTCTTCTCACATTTTCTTTTACAAATAAAATAACATGACAGGTTTTAAAATGTGAAAAAAAAATTGAAAGCATTATTTTTTCATAGGTGAAATGAAAAAAAAAGCCTATTGTATCTTAGATAATGTATTTATTAATTTTGTTGAGTACAAAATAAACAATAAAAAACGTGGCTATAATTAACAATGCAAGTTTGGCTTTTCTTAATTTATCTAGTTAGCAGACAGTTCAGCAAATAAAACAAAGCTTTCTGGCTTAATGTCATTCTTTGAATTCAATGAGCTTTTTCCAGACTTGGAAAAATGAAGATGCAGCTAATGTACACATAATGCTCTCCATATCGTATAGGCTGAACAGGAAATGTTACTGAAGATCCTGTCCAGATGTCTGTAAGCCATTAGAGTTGGATAGGAAGGAAGAGTTTTGGCTGAATCCCAGCAAGAATGGTGTTGGGTTCAGAAGCCTCCCGATACTTGGGATATTCCATCTTTCATTCTAAGGCACTAAGACCTGGTCTGTTTGATATCATAGTGTTGCAGAATGGTGATTGCATGAAATAGATGATATTCAGTTATTTGAGAAGTTCAGGCATTGTCTAATGAGGGAGCTAAGAGTTGGTCTTCCTGCAGTCTAATGGGAGGAATAGATTCAACAATCCTTGAGGAACACAGCCGATTCTTAGAAGAAATGCTGGATATGGCTCAGATGACCATTTCCATCTCTGGAGGCAGTTCTTATTCTTCTGTGTCCTGCGACATTCTTATCTTCTAAAATATTATTTATAACACTTTATGTTGCTTCCTATAAACAAGATTCTAACAATTTAAAAATCCAATATAATAAGAGATGAAACACATGTGGGCATTTCCAGTTATAAACTGGCAGGAAGAAAGTATGTTTTGTTTCTTGTGAAAAATGTATTTCGCTGCCACTGAGTGTCCTGCAGCGCAATCTTCAATACGCAAAGGCCCAAAAACAAAAGCACAATAAGTTATTGGAGATCACGCTTATGTGCATGCTTTCATTTTTTTACTATGTTTACAGACAACTGCAGACTCACTCAAAACTAGATTAGATGCAAACTTTGGACATAGCTTCCAGACATTTGATTTTAGTAGCACAAAGAAAGCAGTAATCTTCTATGTAAGGGAAATATACAGATTTTTTTTCAATAGGATACAATAATCAATTTATTTCAGATGTAAGAGCTGAATTAAACTAAGAGCTCTTGAGCATATGCACGTCACGTATGTATAGAAACAGGTTCTGAATAGGTTTCTTTGTGCAACTAGGTACAGTATGTCCTCTTTGGTGAATAACCCATGTCATTCAGGAATCTTTCTACTTACAGAGCATTTTAACACAAATATGCACATACATAGAAACCTTTGGATCCAGCAACTGTCATTTACGGAACCACCTGTCTCCCATTATTTCTGCCTGTTCCACATGTTCTAATATGATGGGAATGCTTTACTTCCCTTCCTTGAAGTCGTATCCATTAATGAGCCAAGGATGTGATTACTCAATCATGGCCTATATACAGCATCTTAAAGCAGTCACAACAATACAATCATTTTACATAAATACATTTTTCTAAAAATGCCCATTTTAATAAAAGCTTCACAAATTTATCTTGGAAAGCTGCATATACATAATTGTTTGCTAGCAGAGATCCCCCCCCCCATTTCAAAGCTCTTAAAACAATCCAATTTCAGTTTATTAAAATAAGAATATTGCCAAAGTATATTCCAGGGCAAGATTATCTGCATCAGCAGAGAACTGCAGATTACAAATGAGCAAGGATGGTGTTAAATTGCAACATCTGTATGACAGAACTATGTTTAGATTGGTCCATCTGTCTTTAGAACTATAAGAGCCGCGGTAGCGCATTGGTTAGAGTATAGTACTACAGGCTACTTCGGCTGATCACGGGCTATCAGCAGTTTGGCAGTTCAGATCTCACCAGGCTCAAGGTTGACTCAGCCTTCTATCCTTCCAAGGTGGGTAAAATGAGGATCCAGATTGTTGGGGGCAATATGCTGACTCTGTAAACCGCTTAGAGAGGGCTGTAAAAGCACTATGAAGCGGTATATAAGTCTAAGTGGTATTGCTATAAAACTGGTCCATGAATGCATAGATAAGACAACAGTGACATATTTTTGATACAATCACAAACCCAATTATTTTCAATGGATTCTGTTTAGATGCCTTGTGGGGGGGGGGGGGGAAATGTCTCTTTCATTTCTACCCAAATAACAGACATCATAACTTATGTATGTAGCTGTTGTGGATTTTCCCAAGGCTGCTTTGTTAAACCTGAGATGCCAATATCTTAGCCCAGGTGCCTATTCAGAGGCTAATAATCTCTATTCTGGCTAATGATGTGCAGACTGGAAGTGTCTCTCATGCCTCCATATGTCTAATAGCAACACTGAGAAACTCTTGCATAATTTCAGTTTGTTGACAGATTTCATCAAGGTGCTTCTTCAGTTCACTGTTACTGAATGCTGCCGAAAAGTCTGGATCTTCATATAAGACAAAAGGTATTCAGATATTAGACTGCAGAACTTTTCATATGGGAAGATACTTTTATACTTGTCTATAAATTTATTCCACATTGGATTGATGGTATTGTCTAAGGATTTACATTCGATCTATAAAAATCTAGTAACACCATGAAATATAGGCTAACTTTAAATTATTTATGTTTAAAACCTGCTTTGATGTTACGATTTTTCAAGATCCTGTTAAGAAATTCATGCATATTCCTGTTTCTTATACATCATATATCTGTTCAACAAGCCTCAAGAGAACCTGTTTCCACCTTTTTGTGTCAGAAATATGACAAACTTTCAGGCATTATCATGTGTCTTATGTCCATCAGTCAGCCTTCTACTTTCAGCTGTTTAATCACAGGAGTTCTATTCCTCTTCAGGGGTGGGCTTCAGATCCTTTAGCAACAGGTTTGCTGCCCTGTTGCTGAATGGGTGTGGCCATGGTGGGCGTGGCCTAGTTGGCTGCCTGCACCATAAGCGGGGGATGGACAGATATTTTTCACCCTCCCCAGGCTCCAGAGGCTTTCCTCGAGCCTCCAGGAGAGCGAAAACAGCTTCCCCCAAGATCTGGAGGCCCTCTGGAGGCCGGAAACAGGCCTGTTTTTTTCCCTCCCAGACTCTCTCCGTTTGCCCTGCACTTACCTGGAATGATGAACAGGCCGTGTGGAGACTCCTGGGAGGGGAGGGGCAGGGTGGACATGGCCAGCCAGGGGTGGCATTTGGGGGTTCGCTGAATCCTGGTGATCCTTGGCTAGAGGATAGCCTGAACCCTGCCGAACCCCCAGGGGCCCACCCCTGCTCCTCTTATAATGACCCAAGCTTCCCTTTGGACCTTCTGTCAAAAATAACTCTCTGAAGTTCACCTTCTAGCTGGACCTCTTATACATTTTACTTCTGATGATTCTATTTGGGTTGGTTTCACTCTCTTGAGTCTTCCCCAACCAATATCCTATAAGGGTATATATTGAGTTCTTTACTGCTGCTAATAAAAATAGTTGAAAAAATTCAGGAAACTGGAATCATGAGATCATTGATACTCCTTTACTAAAAATAATTGAACTTCTATACAAGTCTGATGAAAATATCAGTGAAGAGAGATTAACATTTAATCAGAATTTTATAAAGCTGGAGTTTGTTTACACATAAAACTCCTGGGATTTAATTTGTTCCATTATTTTATTTATTTGAAAGATTTATAGGGTTTTTTTTAAATCATAGCAGTCCATACCTTTCTGTAATGCACAGAGAGTGGTTATGCCCAGATGCTGAAAACGAATCTCCCGGTGAATAAGATACTTCATCAGATATTGCTGAACCTGGTTCATGTGAGTTTTTAACAGAGACACTATCTCCTCTATGCAATGGATATGAAGAACAGAAAAAAAATACAGAACAGAATTCATTAGTTACGCTGCACTATTAAATCAAAACAACAATGTCCTTCTGCTTATGATGGCTGCTATTGCTTGCTTTTCTGGTTACTAATTTGTTAAGCTAAGCATATTTTAATATTGAAAATTTATAAATGTAGTTTACTATAAAGCTGTGCATTACAGCAAGCAAGACTCCGAGCTTCAGCCCTAATTCATTTTAAGTTTTATTTTGTGAAATAAAAATACAAGTGCTAAATCTCCTAAAGAGCTTCATCTACTTTGAAATTAAAGCATTAAAGTGATAATAATACTGCATAATTGTGTAGTAACTGTCTTCTAGGCACAATTAGTGCTTGTGTACGTGCAATAATAAATGCATTATTTTAAGAGAGGGGGCTTAAAGAAGCTTCATACTGCAATGATTTTTCAAATTAAATATCACTTCAACCTGCAGCAGTAAATCTATTAATATTTGAGCAGTGATAGCATATTTAACAGGATTTGCTTCCTTATGGAAGATTCTATTATGATGGTGCAAAATGTTTAATTGCGGAACCATTTGTTTCACTCTCTCAAACAAATTTTCATATTTAAATTAGAAGAATAAGGGCTCCAGGCAAGGATGCCAAGTGTGGTCAGGCACAAAATACCTGCCTGATGTCAATTAGATTTACATTATTAGTATATCATAGGAAAATAGATGATCATCTAGCTGTAATTCATTCATTTAATAAGTCTTTAAGAATTCCATTATGCTCTGGGAATGATATAAATAAAAGGATTTGCAGTTCAAGGCTCAATCTGTTGTCCCCTTTTTTTTTTTTTTTTTAACCCAACACATTTCATCACTTGAATTTGAATTTATATTTTCATTAGGCTGAAAATATAAATATCAGACTCCCTGTTGATACATACCATGCCTTACCAAGCGTTTGATCATAAAGGCAGCTTGGAATGAAAGCTCGGTTTGTTCCACCTGGTTAGCTAATTTCACCAAATGATTTATCAATGGTTCATCCATCAATGCTACAATATGCGCCGTGGTTCCTTCTAATAGTAGAAGGAAAGATTTAATAAGAAATTAAGAGACAAATGAACAGACCCCAACAGAACAGAGAAAGACTGTGTAGAACATTTGAAATAAATATATTGAACCACAGAGTCAAATACTTGGTAGGCCTCCCAAATCACAATCGGTGGAGAAATTAAAACAACCTGAACAGAAGGAAGCACAGCCTTTCCTTATACACATTTAGCAAAGGGTGCTCTCCATCTCCCTCAGTAACTGGTATCATTGTTCAATTGGTCTTATCAAGAGGAAGCTTTTTGGAAACTGTACTTAGAAACAGAAACTTAGCAACATTATTCCATGTGTCACACTCTGGAATGATAAAGAATAGGTCTTGAACTCCTCTGCAGCATCCATTCATGTACTTGAGAAGGGCAATCACACTTCTCTCCGGCATTTCTTCACAAAAGGGACCACACCCAGTTGCCTCATAAGACTTACTTTACTGCCTGTTCCAGTTCCAATTTCTATAATCTCTCTCTCAAAATATGGAACTAACCCCAGTAGTCAAGGTGGCATCTGACTAATTCAAAATTCGGTAGAATATTTCCTATGAATTGACAGAGGAATTATTTGATGAAATTTGCCCATGGTGGAATAGCTCATGTTCAAGGATACTAACTTGACTTTAGATAATACTGGTTTGACCAATGGCTGGATTTTACAAAAAGTCCTTGAATAATGACCACACATTCATGAATTTTTGATGTTATGACAGCGCTGAATAAGTGGTATTTGTGACTGGTCCCCAAAGTTCCAGTCATCTCAACACCTTTGTGGTCATGTGATCACAATCTGGACACCTGGCTTGCACTTACGATGGTCACATGAGCATCATTTGCAACCTTTCCTACCAGCTGCTCATGAGCAAAGTGAATAGGGAAGTCAGCAGGGAAAAGTTGCAAGTCGCTCTGCAATTACACCTTGTGAGCTACCTGGGATTACTTCACAACCAGTGATCTTTGCATGACAGCAATGTGGATTGCCAGGATTGCCATTGCTAAGTGGTATGGTCATACTGTACCATGTCATGCTTCAAGAGCTGCATTGCTTAGTGATGGGAATTCCAGTCCCAAAGTGTTTTATGATTTCTCCAGAACAGGTAGTCCTTGACTCACAACCACAATTCAGCCCAAAATTTCTGTCAAGTCAGACATTTGTTAAGTGAGTTTTGCTCCACTTTCTTGCCTCAATTGTTAAGTGAATCACTGTAGTTGATAAGTTAGTAACCTGGTTGTTAAGTGAATCTGGCTTCTCCATTGACGTTGCTTGTCAGAAGGTCACAGATTACATGACCTTGGGACACAGCAATGATCATAAATATCCACCAGTTGCCAAGCATCTGACTTTTGATCACATGATCATGGGGATGCTGCAAAGGTCATAACTCTGAAAAATGGTCATAAGTCACCTTTTTCAGTGCTATTGTAACTTTGAATGGTCATTAAATGAACTGTTGTAAGTCAACGACTACCTATCCTTTATACATTCTCTTCAAAGTGTTGCCCACTCACACTAAATATATGGCAAGATTTCAGAAGTGGTTAGCTGTTGCCTCCTTCCTAGGGCTGAGAGAGAGTGACTGGGTCAAGGTCAGCCAGTTGGCTTTGTGCCCGAGATGGGGAGTAGATCTCACAGTCTGCCAGTTTTAGCCTGGTGCCTTAATCACTAACCAAGCTAGTTCTCCTATTTAAATTAAATTTAAATATGATTCTATTTAATTTAATTTAATTCAATAAAAGTTGTCTTATCTTACATCTTATCTTATTTATATTTCTACCCCAAGTATTTTTTAAAATTAGAGCTTACAACTACTGGCTCAAAATTAATGAAATGGAAACGGATGGTCTCCCTAAGTTATATCTACTGGAGCAGATAAAATTGTAATCACAAACCTCTGGATTACTAAATCGACAAATTATATAAAGAGCTGTGGCCTCCCTGCCCCCTGTGTAACAGAAGGACAAAAAAAAAGTTGCCCAAAGAATCATGGCTATAGAAGCTCAAAACGACATAGTCACACTTTAGTAAGCCTGGTAGCCTGAAATGGCTGAGCACATAAAAACGCACCTTCCAAATGGACAACTATTTAAAGTCACAACTGCTAAAACATCTCAGGGAGACATTTGCCTGAGCAAGATTTGAACAACTTAATACAATGGTTAGATTTGGGAGATTCCATTCTATAATGAACATACCAGTACCTGTATTTATGGAGCTGAAGAGGTAGAAGATCTGACTCATATATTATTCGATTACTGTTTGTATAAGGGGGCGAGAGATAAGTACCTTGATCAACATATTAAACATATGGCCCAGTGGGAGGCCCTTATTAAAACAACATACCTCATGTGTGGCCAGAATTTGAAAATGACATTTAATACAGCACAATTTTTGACTAAAATGGTCCAACTGAGATTGGCATATGTGGGCCTGATTGGGGTAGATTGCAGGGATAATACAGAAATGGCATAGGGCCTAGCTATCTGCGAGACCGCCTGCTGCTACCGACGACCTCCCAGCGACCCGTGCGCTCCCACAGAGAGGGCCTCCTCGGGGTGCCATCAGCCAAACAATGCAGGCTGGTGACCCCCAGGGGGAGGGCCTTCTCTGTGGGGGCACCTACCCTCTGGAATCAGCTCCCCCCAGAGATAAGGAGAATCCAAGACCTCAGTGCCTTCCGTCGCGCCCTTAAAACCCATTTATTTAAACAAGCCGGGCTGGCTTAAGATGAAATTTTTAACTGTTTTTAAATGTTTTAAACGTTTTTAATTGGTAAATGAGTTTTAATTGGGCCAAATTTATATATCTTTTAATTGTTTTTAATATTTGTTCTGCATGTTTTTTAATCTGGCTGTACACCGCCCTGAGTCCTTAGGGAGAAGGGCGGTATAGAAATCCAATATAAAATAAAATAAATAAATAAAAATAAAAAATAAATGTGGGCCTGATTGGGGTAGATTGCAGGGATAATACAGAAATACAATTTTATGTCATTTTATTCTATTTTACATATTTATGTATTAAATTATTAACCTATAACTATTGTATTTTATCCTACTCTTACTTTAAATTGTTTGTATAGGATTTTATTGGTAATATGTGTTTGAACCTTGTACGTTGATATGGCCGATAGGCTAATTAATAAATAATAATAATTTAATTTAATTCAATAAAGGTTGTCTTATCTTACGTCTTATCTTATTTATATTCCTACCCCAAGTATTTGGCTTCTCACAGGTTTCCAATAAAACCATCGTCATCTGTATTATGCAGATCAAAACTTACATCAATATCAATGTTCAATGCCCGAAAAAGGCTTACGCATCAATGCAACAGAATTAAAGCCTCTTACCATGCTTCACCAGTTCAGCAAGACAAGATATCACATAGAAAAGGGAATCTTCTAGTATGTGGACACTGTGGATAGCTTGAAGAAGGCCTTCGATGCATGGGCTTTCTAGGATTTTCTGTAAATCATACAGAGAAGGTACTGTTTCAGTCTGGCAAACCTCTTTCCAGCTATAAAAATCAGCATCATGAATTAAAAAAAATAAACACGGCAGTTTTATGGCATATATCAGATTGATTCAAAAATCAAATTAAACTAAAATTTGCCTTTACCACAATCAGCATTGGATTTAATTTTAGAATTGGGTAGAAGGATGCAGGATGGGGGATTGATAATATACAAAAGATCCTTATGTCTGCAATAACCAATTGCGGTTGCATTGCTTGCTTTCTTAAAACATTTATGGCATAAGTTGCCTCCAAATTCTTTTATTAGTTCCAAATACGAGAAGAGATCTCCAATACTTTTAGGCCCATCTTGGATTTGGTACTCATGAACTCCAGAAAGCAGATTTGTTTGCTAATGTAAACTCTCTTTCCTCCTATATATGTTGTTTAAATAAGAACTATTACATTGCAAAATTTATTTAGTACTCTGATAATCTGTCATTTTTCACTGTAAAACTAAACAATTATTAAAAGCATCATAAGGATTTTCAAACTGTTTCCCAGAATTGATTAGACCAGTTTAGCTTTAACAATTCTTTACACAATGTGCTCCTCAGGAAAGTTAGCATCTGCAAAATTCATTGCTATAGATTTTCCAGAGGTTGCTATAAAGTCCATTACAGAAATCCATTCCACAGTGATAGCAGTAGCCAAATTTGAGATCAATACAGGGTGACCGTAATACAGTTCATAGTATACTGTAATTAGTTCATTCAAACTACAGCAGCAAGAAAAAGAAATAAGAACATTGTCCTTTTAATCTGAATTCTAAATTGATTTCTAGTATCTTTCTAGGTGCATTTCAAAGTGATGGCTGTGGCATAATGTTCTTAAGGGTACTAGGGCCAATATATGGGTGGGGGGAATGACTATATTTCGTATAAATCAATTCTATTAAATGGATGTTAGAGGACCAGATATGGAAACTAGAGGTAAACCTTTTATCAATACAATGCCTTTGGAAAGCAATGTCCAGAGATAGCTAGAGCATTGAACCTATAATCTTTTAGGCATTGTGTAATGACTCCAGACACTTTATTTGATATGAAATCTGGGCTTGTGTGTTTATGATGGCTGCTTCTCTCCCCTCTTTATGTGCTCCTTTTGTAAACACTCTAGACTGCACTCATAAATTATATGACTATCAACATTGTGGAAGCAAATTCCACATTGCATCTGGACGATGCAAACTCTTTCTTACCACGCAGGTCTATAGGAAAATGTGACCCTGTGTGTGTCAAGTTCTTTCCTCTCAGGTATATTCACAATTATTCTAGAAGCATTTCCAACTACTGTTAGAGATAGCATGTGAGCTAGCCTGAAAACTGCAGCTATGTTGGAAGGAAGGAAGGAAGGAAGGAAGGAAGGAAGGAAGGAAGGAAGGAAGGAAGGAAGGAAGGAAGTCCATGTGAGAGAAAACAACATGGAACAATAAAGAAAGGTAGCTGAAGCACTGAGGAAGACAAGATGGCAAACAGTAAAAATTATGAGCAGCCCAGAGGAAAGAATCATGCAACAAAGACAATGAGTAAAGAAGCAACAATGTGAAGTGCTAGGATTCCAAAATAGAATACAAAGGAGAAAGGCAATCTGAATAGCAATAAATAAGTTAATAGGAATAAGTTTAAGAAATATCTGTAGGAAACAACTTTAGGACTTTATGATAGCGAGGACTTCATGATAGTGAAACTAAAGTTCTACAGGTAGTCATTGACTTACAACAGTTCATTTAGTGACCATTGATGTTACAACGGCACTGAAAAAAGTGACTTATGACCATTTTTAACACTTATGACCGTTGCAGCATCCCCTTGGTCATGTGATTTACATTCGGATGCTTGACAACTGATTCATATTTATGACGGTTGCAGTGTCCCGGGCAACCTTCTGACAAGCAAAATCAATGGGGAAGCCAGATTCACTTAACAACAGTGTTACTTGCAATCCAACTGCAAGGATTCACTGAACAAATGTGGCATGAAAAGTCATAAAATGGGGCAAAACGCACTTAACAAATTGTCCACATAAATTTTGGGCTCAATTGTGGTCGTAAGTGGATGACTACCTGTAGTGCTACTGCTTTACTGAGCAACAAAGTTTTTGAAGGTAAAATAAATTCCTAGTTTCCTGCTTGCTGTCTGTACTATCTAGAAAACAAATCTGTGATAATAACATGCTTGAACAAAAAGGTCTTTGTTATTCTCCGTCTCTGCCTCTCTCTCTGTGTGAGAGTGTGTAGGTGTAGATGTATTCATATGTGTATGTGTAGGGTGAAGAACAGTGTATAAAATGGTCATAGTGTTTCCTTAGAGTGTAACATGAGTATCTTTTAGTTTTAAATTCTAAAAGAACTGTCTTAAAAATAACAACTTGAAAATGTTCAATTTAAAAAAAAACCTGTGTGAATGCATAAAAATATACCAATTCCATGTATGCTATCAGAAATATCTGCTGAGAATTAAGCAAACACGTAATATTTTCATACAATATCACTCAGTTGGCTGAATTGTGAATTGAATATGTGGATCAATATGCAAAACTACTTGAGACTTGCCTGTATGTTTTTAGAAAGGCTGAGATTTTTGATGAGGCAAGCCATATGGCCAACAATTACTGGGTCTGTTCTCCAGGTAAGCAACAGTTCCCCCAAAATTTGCAGCATCTCATCAGACATCAGGGCATCCTGCAAAGATTAGAATAGCGTTTAAAATACAGTAAGAGCACTTTTTCGATTACAATCTGCACGTAATATACAAAATTAGTATAATACAGCTGCAGGTGCCAGGTAATGTTGCACCAAAGAGCCAAGGTTGCCCAGTATCATCACAGACAGGGAGGGAGAGGGCCAGAGCATCTCTGTGCAATAATACCCAGTTGGGGCCAAAAAAACCTGTGCCATTATTAAATTGTTAAGCAATTAAAAAAGCCAGTGAGTGGTGCTATTCTTACAGCTGGTTAATTCAATAAACAGCAATATAAATACTTCCACTGAGTACCAATCATTCAAAGTTTTATCCAATCATGGATAGCTTTTTCCAATACTGGTAGTCCTCAACTTACAACCTCAATTGAGCCCAACATTTCTGTTAAGTGAGACATTTCTTAAGTGAGTTTTGCCCCATTTTACTACCTCTCCTGCCATGGTTGTTAAGTGATTCACTGCAGTCGTTAAGTTAGTAACACCGTTGTTAAGTGAATCTGGCTTGCCCCGTTGACTTTGCTTGTCAGAAGGTTGCCAAAGGGGACTCACATGATTCTGTGACACTGCAATCGTCATAAATCTGAGTCAGTTGCCAAGTGTCCAAATGTGGACCATGGGGATATTGCAATGGTCGTTGGACGTAAGAAACTTATTTCAGTGCCGTTCTAACTCTGAACCATCACTAAATGAACTGTTGTAAGTCGAAGACTTCCTGTACAGTACTAATAACTAAAACTGATCACAAATGCAACAAAAAGGAGTTATACCATTAATTTACTTGTCAGTTTGAAAAAAATCTCAGGTGGAAACTGGAAGAGACAAAGGATCTAAATAAGCAGCAGGAAGGAGAGAGCTATTAACCTATCAAGGTAGGTACATTTTTAATAATAAATATTCTTTGTTTGCAAGGAAACTGATAGGCAAGTAAAGTTAAAGAAGGTACCCTACCAATCTAAAGATAAAACATAGCGCAGAAACAAGTAAACTATGCTGAATATCTGAGTAATAAGGAAAATAGAAGAAAAAGGTTCCATCTCAGTTAGAGAGATGGAACGATAGTAGAAAAATATAGAAGAGTTATGAATAAAAACCCTGTTAATGGGACACTCTCCCATCTCCCCAATAAAATTCTATGAAATAAAGTATCAAAAGAACTATCATACCTCTGAATAACATAAAACTGTGAACACTTCCTGTCATATAGATATACAGTACGAAGCATGCCTGTTTGAACATTTGTCCTATCACAAAATGCTTTTAATCTCATAAGCGATCCAAAGGCGATCCAAAGGTATTAAGAAAAAAATGTACCTGGTTGCCTGAGTGTTGGGATAATATCTGGAGGAGAATTACTGAATTCTGCTGAATCTCTTTACTGCTAAATGTCAAGAGAGGAAGAAGGCGGGACTGGATATGCATGGCAACAAGACTGGTCAGAACAAATTCTGCAACAGAAGAACACTACTTAAGGCTGTCTGTCAATCAACAAAAATTGTTCTGCAAAAAGAACTTGAGAATAAAGCACTTCACCAAGTTTAAAAGAGTCAAATTACTTCATCTGTCTCCTAGAAACAGAGAATTCTACATAATATCAATACAGTGGTTAGATCCTGAGCTCTGTTTCATGAAAAATCAACAAAAAGACAAACTAAACTTGATATAAAAAAGCTAGTCTCTGATCAAAATAATTAAGCCATGTTAGCCCTGATCTCACTAAAAATCCAGGTAGTATTAATGTTATCATCAGAAGAAAGCTTAAAGCAGTCATGCCCCCTTCTGGCATGGACTGGAATACAGAAAGCTCATTCAAAGCCAAGGAGACACATGACAAATCATTATCCAGACTGAATAACATCATCAGAGGGATATAATAGTCAGAATAGCCACACTTACAACTAAGGCGTATGACTTTCGTAAATTAAAGTCCATTCCATAAATATTGAAAGTTTAAAGGTACACGTTTATTGTAAAATGTCTAATGTTTATGCTTGCATACAGGTAGTCCTTGGCTTATGAATATAATTGAGCCCAAAATTTCTGTTGCTAAATGAAACATTTGTTAAGTGAGTTTCGCCCATTTTATGACCTATCTTGCCACAGTTGTTAAGTGAATCACTGCAGTCGTTAAGTTAGTAACACAGTTGTTAAGTGAACCTCGCTTCCCCCTTGACTTTGCTGGTCACTGCAACTATCATAAATATGAGTCAGTTGCTAAACATCTGAATTTTGATCACGTGACCATGGGGATGCTGCAACAATCATAAGTGTGAAAAACGGTCATAAGTCACTTTTTTCAGTGCTGTCATATCTTTGAAAGGTCATTAAACTAAGTCATAAAGGACTATATTCTTCTTTCAGCTACAGTAATCAGAAAGGCAATATCTGGATCTGGTTAATAATGTTGAAGAAAATATTAGCATCAAGGGTGTATGGGAGTGGGCAGGGGTAGGTTCTAAATTTTTTTACTACTGGTTCTGTGGGCGTGGCTTATTTTGTGGGTGTGGTTTGATGGTCATGTGACAATTCTTTAGGATTTAACAGAGATACTGGTCTACCAGGCTTTTAACTGCTTGCAGAGCTGTACCAGTCTACCCATTTGTTCTTGGAGCGTCCTGGTCTACCCATTTGTTCTTGGAGCGTCCCGGTCTACCCATTTGTTCTTGGAGCATCCCAGTCTAACCCATTTGTTTTTGGAGCGTCCCGGTCTACCCATTTGTTCTTGGAGCATCCCAGTCTACCCATTTGTTTTTCAGCGTCCCGGTCTACCCATTTGTTCTTGGAGCATCCCAGTCTACCCATTTGTTTTTGGAGCGTCCGGTCTACCCATTTGTTCTTGGAGCATCCCAGTCTACCCATTTGTTTTTCGAGCATCCTGGTCTACCCATTTGTTCTTGGAGCATCCCAGTCTACCCATTTGTTTTTTGGAGCATCCTGGTCTACCCATTTGTTCTTGGAGCGTCCTGGTCTACCCATTTGTTTTTTGAGCATCCTGGTCTACCCATTTGTTCTTGGAGCGTCCCGGTCTACCCATTTGTTTTTCGAGCGTCCCGGTCTACCCATTTGTTCTTGGAGCATCCCAGTCTACCCATTTGTTTTTGGAGCGTCCCGGTCTACCCATTTGTTCTTGGAGCATCCCAGTCTACCCATTTGTTTTCGAGCATCCTGGTCTACCCATTTGTTCTTGGAGCATCCCAGTCTACCCATTTGTTTTTGGAGCGTCCCGGTCTACCCATTTGTTCTTGGAGCATCCCAGTCTACCCATTTGTTTTTCGAGCATCCTGGTCTACCCATTTGTTCTTGGAGATCCCAGTCTACCCATTTGTTTTTCGAGCATCCTGGTCTACCCATTTATTCTTGGAGCGTCCTGGTCTACCCATTTGTTTTTTGAGTGTCCCGGTCTACCCATTTGTTCTTGGAGCGTCCCGGTCTACCCGTTTGTTTTTCGAGCATCCTGGTCTACCCATTTATTCTTGGAGCATCCTGGTCTATCCATTTGTTTTTTGAATGTTCCGGTCTACCCATTTGTTCTTGGAGCGTCCTGGTCTACCTATTCGTTTTTCGAGCGCACTGGTCTACCACCACACTGCCTTTTAACACTGATCAGCTGTACGGCGGCCCTTTGAAGTCCTGCGGCAAGAGTTTAAACAGCTTTTTTCCTTCCAGCCGATCAGCTGGAACTCGGGAGGCAGCGAAAAATTGAGGGCGGGGCCAAATAAAAGGTAAGAATAACCGGGGGGGGGGGCAAGCTCTCGAACAAAGAGAACCAGTTCGGTGACATCATGTCATCACCGCTACCGGCTTGGCCGAACTGGGCTGAACCAGGAGGAACCCACCACTGGGAGTGGGGGAGAGTATGATGGACACTCAGTGCTTCCAGTAGCGTGGCCCCAGTTACACTGGCATGTGACCCTACCTCATGTGTTTGCTAACCACCAATTCAATCCAGCACTGAAATAGGTTCTCCACCTCTGTGCTAGGTTCACTACATACGTCAAATCTAAATAAGATCCTGAGGAGTGAAGGGCTTGAGGTTTTGCAGAAAATTATTTGCGGTACAAGCACAAAAGTAACACTTCAGGTCTTAAAAAAGGACTGAATTTGTACCAAGATGGGCATTTGGACTTGAATTCATGTACAGACTTAACAGAGTGAATGATACTAATAAATGTAGCAATTATAGAATCCAGTTAGAGATGCTTCACCAATGAAGCAAATGGCTCAGTTCTTCTGCAAAACTTATCTGTGCGTTTGTGTGCATTTCTCCCACCAATTAAAATCTTTGGGAAAGCGTAATGCTGCCCCTTATTTGCAATATAATGCCATTTTCTCTTAAAATATAATTAAGTACCCTGTAAATCCATTACGCTATCCAATGTAGAAAGTAAAAAAAAAACAAAAACCAAAACTCTGAAAAATATAAAGATTAATAGAAAGTTGAAGCAAAGGACATTGCTAGCCAGGTGGCAAGAATCCAGGAAAATCTAAGAGGAAATCTGACAGTAGTGCTTCTTTACTAGGACCAAAATAAATAAAGACAAGGTCCTTTCTCAACTATCTCATCCACCAGAAATCAAATGCAAGCCCCGCTGAATCAGGGGAGGCGGTGATGTTATCTAAGCGGACCCAGTTCAGTGTGGGGGTTAAGGCACCAGCTTATAAACCAGGAGCCCATGACTTCTAGTTCCACATGAGGCACAAAGCCAGCTGTGTGACCTTGGGCCAGTTCCTTTCTCTCAGTTCCAGAAAGATGACAGTGGCAAAGCACCTCTGAAACCTTGCCAAGAAAACTGCAGGGATTTGTCCAGGCAGTTGCCAGGAGTCAAGACTGACTTGAGGGCACCAAACAAAGACATCTATGTTGCTTTTTCCCATGTGTTTGCTGCGCTGATCAGAGAAGAGATGCTTTGTTCACATTTCTATGCGTTACAAGGCATCTCTTCTAAAAGATTTGCAGAGCTGTTGTGACAGTAAAAAACCCCCATTTTTTCTCAAATTTCTGTCAATGTTATATATTTTCGATGGGGTCACTGCTTTTTTCCTCACCCAAAGGATCAGATAGACTACACTTTTTTTTCTCTTCTTTTTCTCAAGAATTATCTAATAGTGTATGTGACTAACTGCGGCCTCTTGTTAGAAAAAGTAGCACTATAACTAATTTTTGTTTAGTTTAAACTGCATATAATTGGGGGAGTTTAGGATGATAAAAGAGTGTGACTTGACATCTGTAATCTGTATTAATGACCTTGAATACTCTAGCTAGAGCAATTTGGATTTAAACACACGCAGAGGAATAATTGCATTATAAGAACATAATAACATAGAGTGGTTGCAAGGTCAGGGACAGTTTATCACCAAACATTTCTTGTCAGCTTCTTCTAATTATTAGTATGAAACACTAAGTCTGATAAAAGTATTTTTCCAATTCATCAGTGCTAGAAATGCATGTCATGTACCAAGCCAATCTTACCATTTTGTTATAACATTATAATATTATACATTTAATATTAAATAATATGATATTGGTTTTTGTTTTTTTATAAATAGAGGACTTATGAGAAAAACCACCCTAGATCATGTAGATGTTCTTATAGCTGGACTTAGAATAAGTGGGCTGCTCTTCTCTAAACCTGTCTGACTAGTCTGGGACTTCATTACTGCAAGTTTTATTAAACCAGAAAAAGCTTCAACACAAAAGGTGTGCCTGAAACCAAAATATAACGTTCTTCCTATTTCACAGGGTAAAGAACAAGCTGAGAACATTCTTTCCAAAGGCTAGGCACAGTACAAACTAACATGGAGGGGGGGGGGAAACATTTTCTATTCTGTATAACTGGGGTACTGGTTTGTTGGTTGCCTGCTGGCAATTTTTCTTTTACTCCCATATTAGGTCTCTACTTACCATTTGTGGCTAAATTCCTGAGACAAATACAAGCCTGGTTTGAAATCTAGTTGAAGGAAACAAGCAAATCAGGAGGTGAGAAAAAGCACTCTTGTCTGCAAAAACAATCTAAGTGGCTGACAGGTTCATGTTAGTTTTATTTGAACACTTTCTTTACCACCCTGATATTTGGATGGAACATGCTCCAAATATGAGAAATGTGAGAGTAAAAAGATTCTCTGTCGCAACGTAACCCAGCTTTGATACTTTAAAACTATACCATCAGTGTTTTACATCTGTGTGAGTAGCAGCTTTTGTGGATTGATTAAATAAATACTGTAGCTCGTTGTAGTCCTTAAAAATCCTGAAATCTCCCCCACAAATCTTCTCAACACCTCCCAAAAGACCAAATCATTTGTTCTACCAATGTCAGTCATAAAATCACTGTCCATGTCCTATACCAGTGATGGCTAATCTTTTCCAACCGAGTGCCCAAAGCAGGCGCGTGCCCTGAACCCCCCAAAAATGCAATGCACGGGTGGCTCTGCACATGCACCCCACCCACCACGCATGCGTGCATGGCCCCTGCATGTGCCCCTGCGCATATGCACGCACCTCCCTGCACGTGCCCCTGTGCATGTGCATATGCCCCCCGCATGCGCACGTGCCATCTGCATGCACCCCAGAGACCCAAAGACCAGCCGAGCGGCAGGAGGCACGCACGCATGCGTGGCACAACTGACCTGGGGCAACGGCTCACGTGCCCACAGAGAGTGTACTGAGTGCCACCTCTGGCACATGTGCCATGAGTTCACCATCATGGTCCTATACCCTCCCAGGAAGGCTGCATAGACAAAGTATATTCCCCAGACCAAAAAAAGTTACTGCTGGCATTTTTATCCATATACAAATGGATACAACGTCATCATTATCCAACATTCCCAAGCTTTACCTTGTCCACACCTGAAGACAAGAGAGAAAGCAGAGTCTGCAGAAGAAACCTGTCACCAACGTGAAGCATAGCTTTGTGGTGCTGTGAATTTGTAGCCACATTACTAAGAGCAGCACAACTGTAGTACTGTAAGGACAGAAGACAAAATTGGTACAGAGGGAGTAAAGAGACAAGAGTTAGTCTACCATGGGTGGGAAAAATAAAGATCAGGTTGTCTGGTCTACCTCTGAATAACGTGTAGTAAGAACCTTTGACTCATAACAAAAGCAATGAAAAATATATACAGTAAGGAGTTTGAGATGGAGACACGTGTAGCTTAAAGTTCTAAAACTGTACTAAGAACCCATCACAAACCTATCAAGGACCACAAATGGTTGAAGTTAAGAGCTCAAGATCCTATCCAAAGCTCTGGGATGTCAAGTCAGAACTCTGTAAGCAGTGAATTCAAATGGAATTGCTTAGTTCTTGAGTAAATAAATGACTGTGGTAGATGTGAGGATTCTAATACCAGAGCTTAGGTTTGAGAGAAAAGGCCATATGTTATGCTAATCTAATACTTAAAATCAGTTTTCAATAGATTCTTATGGAATGCATGCCACGTGGAGAAATATATTCTTTTGCCTCTTTGCAGAAAACAGGAAAAAGTACAGAAAAGCACAGTGAAGTAAAAAATAAGAAAAGAAAATGGCTCCCAAAGCTTCAGCAATATCAGCCGGGGACAATTCCATATGAAAGCTTCCTTCCTATGTTTCTGATTGGGCACTGTAACATCTTTCTGGAAAAGGAAAAGTGACAACAATCCATTCAGATGAAGCTGATTTTACATAAATTGGGGCTTAAGTGTGAAGATTAGCTGATAAACTGAAATTCATATATCTCTTCTGTGATACTTAGAAGCATGGAAATTATTGTCTGCCTCAATTACTTCTACTTTCCACCTGAAGATCCTTGATGTTCTCCCAAATGGATTCCTATTAATGTTACCCTTAATCCCAATACAGTAAATCCATTTTTTTTTTACTTGATTGTGTACAAAAAGGAAGATTGTACAAAGAAAGTTTGGGGGACCTTCCTCAGGCATTTTTTTTTTACAATAATGCAGCCACTTTTGAAAGGGGGGCAAATACCCTCTACTCCCATGTTATCCCACAGCTGTAGGCACACATTTGCAATGGATGAGGGCAAAATGTCCAGGGCCATTTTTCTATATGGTAAAAGGATTTAAATATATTCCAGGGATTTAAAACATCTATTTTGCCCATAAAACATACAACACTCCCCACTACACCCCGCCCACAGCCAGAAAATCTTTTGAAAGGGAAGGAGGAGCACATCACTTTTTTCCCCAGCATATAATTCTCCCTTACCATAATATTGATGGAAAGAAAATAGGATATTGGTTCAAAATGTAAAACTTAAATGGCCATCTGTGATTACCGTACTTTTTGGAGTATAAGACGTATTTCCCCCCCCACCCCAAAAGAGGGTGGAAATGTTGGTGCATCTTATACACCGTATACAGCCATTTTTGGCCTCCCGAAGCCCCACCCTGTGTGTCCCAGTTTTGCAAAAAACAGGTCCATTTTTCCCAAAAACGGGGTGTGTAGTGGCTTTGGGAGGCCTGTAGAGAGCTCCTGTGGGCTGGGGAGGGCAAAAATGCCATTTTTGCGAAAAACGAGCCCATTTTTCACAGAAATGGGGCGCACAGAGGGTTTGGGAGGCCTACAGAGTGCTCCTGCAGAGGGCTTACCTCTTTGAAATCTTGGTGCGTTTTATACACCAGTGTGTCTTATAGTCTGAAAAATACGGTATGTCAGACAAAAAGTCAAGAACAAAAAGTAGTGCTAGAGTTGTTCCAAAGTACATTTTTTCAAACCTCTGAACAAATGCAACAAAGGAAACAAAATCACATTTGCTTAAGCTGCTAAGGCGTCTCTCACAATTTCTTTCAAAATATGAACAACTGGCTCTCAGATCAAATAGCTCTTATCTTTCCCGGGGAAGACTTACTCATCCATTAAACTTTATTTTAAATGTCGGTCACCATCTACAAGGTGTTAGACCAGTGTTTCTCAACCTTGGAAGCTTGAAGATGGGTGGACTTCAACTCTCAGAATCCCCCAGCCAGCGCTGCTGGCTGGGGGATTCTAGGAGTTGAAGTCCACCCATCTTCAAGCTACCAAGGTTTAGAAACACTGTGTTAGACAGTCTTGTCTTTTGTTGTGTCTTTTCAACTCAGTTGAGGATTCAGGTTCTGTCAGGGCAATTTTGAATTCAATGATGCATTATGTTTCCAGAACCATCAGACAAGTGTTTACGGTTTAGTTTGTTCAGTTTCAAAAGTTTCACTGAATGGATGGATACACATTTTACCTGAACTTCTGTGTCGGGAGACTCTAATAAACGGGTGAGAATTGGGAGAGCACTTTGACGAACCAAAACCCTTTGGATCCATTCTGTAAAGGAACAGATTAACACTCAAATGGCAACTGTAATCAGTTACTTGGATATTACCACTGCTACCCAAGTATATACTTTAGAACTAAAGAAAATGCATTTGTATTGACCTAGGGTTCCTTAAAAAGTATACAGCACAATCTTAGTCCCGGCAAACCTCTTTAATTCATACGGCTGTGAAGTATCACCATTCACAGTCCTAAAAGCTTCTCAAACTGTTTTTCAGGGGAGTGTTTACAAACACCCACCTTATCTCCCTTGGAATGCTGCCAGAGAACTAATTGCCACATGCAGGGCAAGGCTAAACTTAGCACAGAGTCAAACAGCTTTTCCAAAGCTTTTACTGACCAGATGAGTGGTGAAATCCAAATTTTTTTACTACTGGTTTTGTGGCCGTGGCTTGGTGGGCATGGTGTGGCTTGGTGGGTATGGCAGGGGAAGGATACTGCAAACTCTCCATTCCCTCCCCACTCCTGGGGGAAGGATATTGCAAAATCTCCATTTCCACCCCACTCTGAGGCCAGCCAGAGGTGGTATTTGCCGGTTCTCGGAACTACTCAAAATGTCCACTACCGGTTCTCCGAACTGCTCAAAATTTCCACTACCAGTTCTCCAGAACCTGTGAGAACCTGCTGGATTTCACCCCTGGACCAGATGAACTAATTGCTTCCTGCAAAAGCTCATGTCCTGTTCGCTTCTCTTTTATGTCTTATGGGAGGGGCCAATCATCTCCAAGCCTTACTCCCAAGTCGACCCTGTTTTCTTAATTGTTCCTGTTTTCTGGCAGCTCTGCGCTTGTGCACACTGGGAACAGCTCCCGCTGTTTTTCTGCCTTGCTGATGTCAGACTCTGGAGACTCCAGAGGCAGCAAAGAATTATCAGATGGCCTTGGCCCCCTCTCTGCCTCCGACTCAGAGCCCTCGTCTGAGCCTTCCCCAGACACCAGGACTGGCCCACGTTCCTCCCCAACCTCCTCACTGTCCAAATTTGTTGCCAGCTCTGCTGGCCGCTGGCAGGTCACAACAGCATTTTCCCAAAAACATACCTGCAATAAAACCAGTTTATTTCATTGCTATCATGTGTGAATGAACAATAAAATTGCTGAGTAATTACTTTGTTAGTAAAGGCTGCAGATAGAATTAAAATAATTATGCGGCTATCTTATTCTACATGACAACAAAATCCAGATTGCTTGTCCTAGAAAAATGTGTTCTGAGGAGGTAGCATTTATATGAAATTTGGACTCATGTAGTTATTAAAAAGTGGCTGGGAATTATTGTACTATATATAATGCTATATGTTTTAAAATGCAAAATGGCAATATGTTATTAATTCAATACGTCCACAAAGCAATAGAGTGTTCATAAAAATCTCCCCACTGATCCCACAAACAGAATACAGCTTTAATAGTCAGCAACCAGCTTCACAAATTCACTCTTTGCTGCATAGATTTTCTGCATTTCCTAAATTAAGTAAGCACGAATGTTTAACTTGACTCTGTTCTCTAAAAATTATTGAAATACAAATGTTACCAGAAAGTCCTCAATGGAACTTATCTCTAATTCTCTCTCTCTCTCTCTCTCTCTCTCTCTCTTTTTTTTTTTTTGCTATTCTTGCATTTGGCATAATTGAAATAAATCATAGCTGCTACATTACCTGATCGTGTGAGGTTGAAAATAGCTTGAATGGCATTTTGTTGAACGCCAATATCATGTGATTTAGAAAGGGAAAGTAAGGGTATAGTTCCTCCAGCTGCTGCAATTGCATTCCGACAGGCCTCTGAAGGAAGCAGCAGAGAAAAAGAGAAATTAAGGGAGGCTTAACTGTGTTGGGAGATCGCTTGGAAGCAATCATTCAAGATTGGAGACGGAACATTGGGCAAACTCTCAAGCCATGTGTGCTATGAGTATTGTTATAAGCCTGCAATGAGAACTATTGCTACAAATTGCCTTGGGATAATAATTGGCCAAAAGTTTTAATCAAGCAAAGCATATTAAATATGTATCCTGAAGTGCCATGCTGGAAGAGAACAGTTGAAGAGCCCTCTGGAATGGGGTATGACAACAGAAGAAGCAAGCAGCAAGGAAAAGACAGTTTGGCTGCCTGGTTGAAAGTTTCTTTCAAACACCAGTTAGCTGAAAACAAAATAAAAAGGCTAACTTAGGTTCGAGTACCAAGCCTTGAAAGCTGAAAGATGTTTTGAGGCTGCCATCTTCTTTCCTCTTGATATGTTTACGACTCTAGCCATCTGACACACATTTCTTTGGGCCCAGGGTGATTCTGTAGAATAGATTCTATGGCAACTGTTGCAATCAAAATGGCTGGCTATTTACTGCAGCCTTTATTTGGGAGGGAGAGAGAATATTCCCGAGAATCTTGAGGGATCCATGGCTACCTCATCATAATGGCCACCTGTTACCCTCTTCTTTTCTGAAGATCTCTATAGATCTTGCTTTGAAGATCTCTATAGATCTTGTTCTGCACTTCAAGATGAACTAAAGATAAACGAAGCAAATAACATTCCTATCCATGTAATACAAATGTACATATCTGCATAATTCAACAGTTCTTCAAACAAATTGGGTGGGGGGGGGTATATGTGTGGAAAATGGAAAATATTCATAGCTGTAATCAGTGCAGTACAGAGGTGGGCTCCTGGGGGTTTGGCAGGGTTCAGGCGATCCTCTAGCCAAGGATCGCCGGGGTTCTGCGAACCCCCCAAATGCCACCCCTGGTTGGCCCCTCCCGCCCCGCCCCACCCCACCCCTTCCAGGAGTCACCATGTGGCCCGTTCATCATTCCAGGTAAGTGCAGGGGCTGCACAGAGGGTCTGGGAGGGCAAAAGAACGGGCCTATCGGAGTTTCCAGAAGTCCGGGAATGGGCCTGTTTCCAGCTTCCAGAGGACCTCTGGAACCCGGGGGAAGCTGTTTTCACCCTCCCAGAAGCTCAAGAAAAGCCTCTGAAGTCTGGGGAGGGCAAAAAATGTACCCACCCCCACCGTGGTGCAGGCGGCCAACTAGGCCATGCCCACCATGGCCACACCCACCCAGCAACGGGACAAGAAACCTGTTGCTAAAGGATCTGAAGCCCACCCTTGGTGCAGTATAGTAATTATGGTGTTGAACTTGGGCTAGAGAGAGCTAATTTTGATCCTTCACTCAATCACCGTACTGGGGGCTTTGTGGTAGTCACTGTCTTCAGCCCATCTTTTCTTTTATAGAGTTGTTTTTGTAGGATAAAACTAGGGGAGACTCAAATGGATGTTGATTAGAGCTCAAAAAGTAAAAGAAATAACTGCAGGAAGTGGAATTGTTGCTGAACTTAACCATTACTGTAGGCTTGACTTTTGGGAACCCTCCTCACCTGAGTCAGCCAGCATCATTAAGCAGGCACAGGAATTACCCTGGACAGTGATATCATCCGATTCAAGTAGCTCTAGGATTGGCTCAAGTAAATCCATTTCTATGACATGCTCCTTGGTTACTGTTTGTAAACAAAGGTAGTAATAAATAATCTTAAACATTATTATTAATTCATGCTAAATAAATTTAATAGTAAATAATCTTACATACAAAGTTTAAAATGCAATACTGAAGAAATTTAGTATTTAAGTGATACTGAAGATAGCAAAAAACTATTGTCATTATTCAGTACTAGAGAAATGTGTTCCATTTGACTGGGACAGTCATGGCTAACCTTTTTGCCATCACATGCCGGGGGGGAGGTTCGCGCGCTCGTGTGCCCACACCCATAATTCTATGTGCCCCGCCCCATCCTGCGCATGCATACACAACCCCCCTTCCTCCCCGCTCCTGGTACGCGATGGCCAGGTAGGCAGGTTATTCTTTTTCACCTGGCTCCAGATCTAGGAATCTCTGGAGGCTGGGGAAAGCAAAAAAGTCACTTCCTGTCCCACCGGGAGTTGGAAAATGGGCCATTTCAGGCCTCCGGAGAGTCTCTGAGGGAGTGGGGAAGGCTATTTTCACCCTCCCCAGATGCATAGAGAGGATCTGGAACCAGGTGAGAAAGAAAAACGGGCCTTCCCCAACCCCCCAGGCCCTCCAGAGGCAGGAAACAGCCTGTTTCTCCACTTCTGGTGGGCCCAGAAGGCCCGAAAATCAGCTGGCTGGCGCGCACATGCATGCCAGAGCTGAGCTGGTGTGCCCATTGATATGGCTATGCGTGCCACCTGTGGCACATTTGCCATAGGTTTGCCATCATGGGACTAGGAAGTAAAATCCACTTTCAGAATTCCTATGAAATAAATCATTTCATTGGGGCAAGAATCTAACAAATTTATTATCAGCTATACACTTGAGGTGCAAAAAAAGCTGTATGTGTTCCTATCAATCTTGAGTTTTACTGTCCCCAAATCACCAGTAACTGGATCAACGTACAGTTTTTTTTTTTTTTATTGAAAAAGTTTTCAAATACAAATTTTTCCGCCCTTTTTTTTTTCCCCTCCCTCCCCCTCCCTAACCCCCCCCCCCCACCCATCCCCCCGTGACTTCTTCGTAACAAAAAAAAACCCTAATTCATAACAGATTACTTACTCCCTCCTCAAAATACTGACCTTTACTTACTAAAAATATTATAAATATTATAACATCCCCCTTTATCCATACTTTTCAGAAAAGAAGAAGAAAAAAAAAACATTATACTATAACTATTGTAAAATAACTTCTAATTTAACATAATAATGTTTTATATCTATATATTATTACAACAATTCAAAACCACCTTCCACTTTAAAACTATACGATAAGTCCTACTTTAATATTTAATCTTCTATATATATTACTATAACATTTCAAAGCGGCCTCCCCATAAAATCTAATTTAACATTTATTCCACTCTATCCATTTCCTCCACTCCCCTAAATGTATCACTTAAAAATCCCTTTTCTTAAACTAATCAGTCTGTAGCTAGCTTATTCACCCACTGTCCTGCAAATTTACCATACACAACAATTCTTAATATCTTTAATTCACTGCCCACACTACTTAAATATATATATATATATATATTCCATTATATCTAATTAAAAAAAAAAAAGACAATAACTTTAATTTTATAGTCCATATAATATCTTCTTTGAGGTCTTTCCACTGGATTGTTAAAACCAACATCCATAATAGGGTAACATAGCTTGCTGATGCAACAGTTTATTCAAGATCTTCAATCATATCTGCCCCTATCAGTAGTAAATATCTTCTTATATGTATAAAAGTAAAAACAACCACCCGAGTGACATTATAATTATATTCCATATAATAATAATTGTGGGTTTCATCAGGATTATTGATTTCCATCATCGTAGTGGGTAACAACCGGATCTTCTGCATGCCCCAGCATGATTCTCTTGCCTTATGATTCAAGATAATTATAATATATTTATCAACACAAAAAGAAATTTCAAAGTAGATAATTCAAATCCATCAGTTTGAGGCTCTTTCCACGTCCCAAAATTACGGCAATGCAGAGATCTGCTACTATCCTCAGGATAATATTGACCAATATGTCGCCTCCTCTATGTTTTCACATAATCATTCATATTTTAAAGTCACTGGCTTCACTGTTGCTTGGGTTAAAAATTTCTATTTTTGTACAACCTATTTCTTTTTTTGTTTTCTTTTTGTGGGTTTGACTTCCATCCTGGTTTCCTTTCTACAGATTGTATATCAACTGGTCGGTTTTCATTCTGCTTTGTAGATTGGTCTTGTTGATTTTGTTTTTGTGTCTCATGTTTCTTTTTTATCCCTTGTATATCCTCTAATTGGTTTCCATGCTTATCCTTGCCTTGATAAGTCATCACATTAAAATCAGATGGCACTTCTCTCAAATTTATAGATAATCCAGCTGGGGTATCCGATAAATCCAAAGGCAATTTATCTGGTACAGTCTCTGTAATTCGATATTTTCCCTTTATTTCCAGCTCCTTCTGCTTATCCTGTATTATACCTGAAGATGTTAAATTCATGTTCAACCTATTTTGATAAAATTCTTCCGCTCTTTCAATAGTATTTAACTGATATCTTTCTCCTTGATGTCTCAGTATAATACCAACTGGGGCGTTCCACCTATATGGAATATTTCTCTTTTTTAACTCAGACACCAGAAAACCAAATTTCTTCCTTTCTGTTAATATCTTAGGTGGGAGTTCCTTGTAGATCCATATCTTTCTTCCATACAATTGCAAATTAGAATTGAAGGAATTTTGCACAATATTATTCCTAATTTCCTTGTCCGTAAAATAAATCACCACATCTCTAGGCAGTTGCCTTTGCTTAGCAATCCAGGAATTTATTCTGAAAACTCTGTCAATCCTACTAAACACTTCATCAGGTTGAACCTTTAGAATCCCAGCTAGAAATTCAGAAGATATTTTCCTTAAATCATCTCTATTATTTTCCTGCAAACCTCGCAGTCTTATCGCATATTCTGTAAAATTATATTGTACCATTAGAACCTCTTGTTCAATCCTCTGTTGCAGATTTTCTACATTACCAGACTTTTGGTCAGCATCCATTTTAGGTTTTTCTTCTGAGCTATTATCCTGAGTGTTTATCAAATCATTTTCAATTTTTTGAATTCTATTGTCCAATTTATCTTGAATTTCATCCATTTTAGACTCTAGTAAATTAGTATTTGTATCCAACCGTATCATAAATTCTGAAAATCCATTAACCACTTTTAAAATTTTTCGCTCCAAAAAATCAAACTTAGATTTTACCAATTCTTTAATTTCCTGCTTAAATTTTTCAAGATGCTGATTCACAATCTCATCCCTTCTTTCAATCTCCTCTAAGAGAAATTCTATTATATTAAGATCAGGTTTCTGAGACTGAAGAGTTAAAACTTGTTCCTTTAAATTGTTGGTGGAATCCCCCCCCCTTACTTGTTTATCTGACTTTGTAAATCTCAGTGCCATGTTTCCGCCCAGGCAGGCTTTGTTAAAAAGAAAAGAAAAGAAAAAACAAGAGAAAAAACTTCTTTCCAATCAACAACAATATCAAGTCTTCAGGAAAAAAAAGAAAAGAAAAACACAGGAGCGAAGTTTTGTCTACAAATGTAACCAGTGGTATTTATTCCGCTACATTGTAATAATAGAAAACGGAAGGACTTTTCCTTTCTGCCTTTTCTCCAGCTGCTGCAAGCGCCATTTTAAAAGGCTTTTTTCCCCCCCTTTCCTTTCGTCTTTTCTCTTAAGTAATTTTTTTTAAAAGATAAGTAAAATACTTGCGGTTCAGTATTACAGATCCAGCTCACATTTTCTTTGAGTAATCTGTTAGATTCACAGGCTTGCTCTTGACGCCTGGCTCTGCATTAGCAGAGGTCTCCCAAAGCCCGGAGCAACGGCTGGGGATATGGGGCATCTCATCCGCTCCGTCCCAAAAGAAAAAGAAAAACTTTTGGGACTCTGCAGAGAGTTCTACCCACCCCTGCCGGCTCTATCTCCGTTTCCTCATGGAAACGGAGTTTTTTCGAGCCGCCGTTCCGTTGTGAAGGCGGCTCTGACAGGCAGTGGAAGCTGACGATCCCAAAGGAACGTCTGGCGGCGGCCAGCAGCAAACAGGAAGTCCGATCAACGTACAGTTTTAATTGGACGAGGAAAATTATTCAACACGATTGGAAGTTTTACTATATCCATTTTAATTATATGTAAATCAAATCAAATGAATGTGCAAATATAGTATGTATATTTTAATCTAATCCCTCTAGGTGCACAACTGATGCATTTCCTTTCCTCCAAATGAATCCACAGGGCAGTTCAAAAATCAACTTATCGTTCTTTAGGGGCAGAGTTGAAAGGAACTCACGTTCTAGGCAGGTCTTGTATTCAATTTCTCAGAAAGAGATTTCTTGATTATCCACTCACCATTTCCTTCTAATAAAAAACTGAGCAGGGATAAGGATGAAATCTGCTGAACCTCCAAATCATTAGACTTCAGCAAAGCATAATATGTTTCCAAATGCTCTTGGGACAGATGGATGTTTACTGCTAAAATGAGAAGAAATATTTGAACATTCAGAACACCAATCATTTTGTCTTGGAACTGTGGATGTTCAAGCACAGAAGCAGTCGTAACTAGGAGATATCTTAGTCCACTTTCAGAAGATGCCTTCCACCAATCTAGCCTATGTAAACCCTCCTGATTTATACACAGTGCAGATAACAATGCATTCTACCACACACCAGCCTTCATACACATAAAGTTCTCATGTAGCAGCTTCAACAATTCTAAGGCAAGGCCTCACAGTATATTGGATTAATAATTTCATGCTTTCCATTGGAGCAAGTTGCTAGAATCAAGACAGAAAATTCGTCCAGGATCCCTTGAGCTTCCATGCTAGAAAGAGAACTCTAATTTCCTCTACATCAGCGGTTCTCAACCTGGGGGTCGCGACCCCTTTGGGGGTCGAATGGCCATTTCCCAGGGGTCGCCAAAGCTCTCTCTCGCCCCCCCCCACGCCTTCACTCACCCTCACTCTCTGCTCTGTTGGATCGCCCGGTCGCCGTTCGCTTACCCCGCCCACTCCCAATCTATTGCTGCCTCCGGAGTCCCAGCTGATGGCTAGAGGAAAAAAAAACTGTTCAAATTCTTGCCACGGGGCTTCAAAGAGCTAGCTGCAAAGAGGTAAATTCCTGGAGCAAATTCCCCCCCCCCAGCTCTGCTGGAAAGCGAAATTGAAAGTAAGCAGGGTCTTGGCTGCAACATGACAAAATGAGGCAGAGAGATTTCTTTTTCTTTTTCCTCACCAAAAAAGGTAGGTGAAAACAATGGGAAATTTAGGGCAAGAGGAGGTTCAAGATTTTAAAACACAAAAGAAAAAAAGCTCTATTTAACTAGGGAATTGTAATAATTGAGATACTATTAATTGTATATTGTGTTGAAAGCAGAAATGGTTAAGTTGTGGTTTGGAGGAATATATGGGGGAAATTATTTGGTTTATTATTATTGGTAAATATAATTAATTGATTTGTAAGAAATTGGTTTGCATGGAAATAATTGGAATATTCATGTTCATATTGATTAATATACAAAAAAAGATAGTTATATAACTAATTGATTTATATTAAAATGTTGAATTCGTATTAAACAACTGTATTACATAATTAACCAATGTGAGGATGGATATAAAAATAGATGACAATGCGAAGGGGTATAATATAGAATAAAAGGGAAAAATTGAATTTGATTAAGATTAGAGATGAGGATGAAGGGTAATATTGGTTTTTTTAAAAAATAGATGAGGAATAAATATGGTAAAAAGGAAATATAGAAATTGTAAATTTAATTGAAATGACTAAATACTGTGTTGGAAGAAATATCCTTCTGGGTTCTGCTCCAAGTGGGGAAAAAGACACTGGAAACATGGAGACTGCTTGGAAAGATGTTTAATGGTGGACAGGATCACATGGCTTGATGGGGCCCATTGTGTTAGTTTCTGTTGCTATTGTGTTGCAAATGTCCTTTGACAAAGGATTGACTTTCTGCCTCTGGCCCATTAACAAAGGGTGGGGGGCAGGAAGGTGGGAGCTGCTTTGTCTGTAAAATATGCTTCTCCATTTCTCATCCAGGTAGGGAAATATAATATTCTGCCTTTTTAATATTTCCCGAAATATTTCATTCCTCTAGGAAAGGGGTGGGTGCTAACCTCCTACAACTGTTTAAATTTGTGAACCGGCCAAATACTCTGTTCAAAGAAAATACATTGTATGTTTGTATGTGTGTTTCTAATTATTGCTATTTATTGCTATTTGTTCTCTTTTATTCTTTAAAGTTTAACAATTCATTCTTTATCTTAATATCTTTATATTTGTTTGGGGTTGGCTTTCTTCCCTTTCATCTTTTTTATTGTACAGCAATCTTTCTCCTCAAACCTACCACCTCTGTCTTTTCTTTCTTACTTACTTTCTCTTCCCCCCCTCTTCTTCTTCTCCCTACTTCCTCTTTCTTTCTCCTTCTCCTCCTCTCTTCCTCCCTCTCTTACCCTCATTCCTACTCTAATTTTCCTTCCCTTCCTTCATCCCTCTCTATTGCTGTATCCTTTTATGCATATGGACTACTCAGAGGGCTGAAAAAGTTATTTTTGACTGGTCCTCGCACTTCTGACCAGTCCTCAAACTTACGACTGTCCTCACAATTTACGTTTTTGCCCTATCTTGTCACCATGGTGAAGGGAAGCAGTTGTGAAATGAGTGACACGGTTGTTAAGAATTGTACAATGGGCATAAATGATGACCAGTCATAACTGCGAAGACCGGTCAAAAGTGCGAGGACCTGTCAGAAATCACATTTTTCAGCCCTCTGGGTAGTCCTTTTGTGCACAGGGACTACTCAGAGGGCTGAAAAAGTTATTTTTGACTGGTCCTCGCACTTTTGACCAGTCCTCAAATTTACGACTGTCCTCACATTTTACATTTTTTGCCCTATCTTATACCATGGTGAAGAGAAGCAGTTGTGAAATGAGTGACATGGTTGTTAAGAATGCTGCACAGGCATAAATGTGAGGATGGTCATAAGTGTGAGGACCTGTCAGAAATGACTTTTTTCAGCCCTCTGAGTAGTCCCTGTACACATAGCCATGGCCACCTGGTCACATGACCAGCTAGCCACGCCCACCCACTCACATGACCTCCAAGCCACGCCCACAAAATAACACCCACACCCACAGAACCGGTAGTAAAAAAATTTAGAACCCACCCCTGGTTGGGGGTCACCACAACATGAGGAACTGTATTAAAGGGTCGCGGCATTAGGAAGGTTGAGAACCACTGCTCTACATCCAGTGTATAAACCAAAGAAACAGCCTGCCAAAATGTGTCCTCCATTAAGCATGATTCTATGGTGAAAAGTATAGCACTCTCTGGAAAACCAGCACAGAAATAAGAGCAATGTGACTCTGTTCTCACAGGCCGAGAATGTGTGTATGCACCTTTCAACTGTAATCTTAACTTCCACCTGAAAGTGAAGGACTTAATGTTACAAAGAAGCCCCTCTCTGAAAGTGTAAGTCCTATTTAACTACATGTTGGCTACAGGGATGGGTTCTACTTACCTTTACTACCAGTTCGCAATTGGACTGCGCTTCTGCGCATGCGCAGATTGTCCATTATGACGTCCGGGCGGGTGGGCGGAGCCTCCCGCCACTTTTACTACCGATTCGCAAGAACCGGACAGAACCGGGAGCAACCCACCACTGGTTTGCTACCCTAGTTAAACAGCTGCTGATTAGCAACTGAATTTATTATGTCCCAAGATATAACATTTTGCATCAGTGATACATTTCGATCTCTCCAAATGAATCTGCTGGGAAGCTCAACAACCAATTTATCCAGCGGTGGGTTTCACATATTCTTACCACCGGTTCGCTCCGCGCATGCATGCTTTCTGCACACGCGCCTGGCCTTCCACGCATGTACCCTGCCTCGAAAACGTGGCTAAATAGGATATCTTTATGCCGGAGCGGTGGGGGCAGGCCCACCAGTGATCTCCACTACTGGTTCAGCCAAACTGGTACAAACTGGCTGAATACCACCACTGAATTTGTTGTTCCTTAAGAGCAGGGATGAGAATAACTCACATTCAAGTTCTTGAAAGGAAGGTGGGATTTAATCTGAGAATTAAATTAAGTACATCTATAGAAAAATGGTTCGGTTAAATGGGATTAGTACATCAATTTTATATATGAAATTTTTCTTCTTTTTATGCACCAAAGTTCCCAGAGTCTTGTGAGTCAAGGGCTCCCCCTTCCCTGATACTTCTCAATATGCAAGCCAAAGAAAATACTTTTAAGCATTTGGTTGATTGGCCGTCTGCTAAAACAAAGCAAGGTTATGGCATACACTTGAAAGAAAACTGGGAAGCTTGTAATTGTGGAGTCTGTCTGGAAAGAACAAAGAATGCTTATTCACAGGGAATATGTGCGTCTAAAGCTTGTAACAATTCTGGGTGGTTAAAAAGCTGATAAAAGTAATAAAGAGACATCTTGCATAGCTCAGCTAGAAATTAGGAATAGGGATGGCCTGGATCAAATAGAATGTGTATTAGATAACTCTTGGAGCATTCATTAGCCAAGATTTAGGAATAGGGACAGCTAGAGGCCAATAGGACGATTGTTAGATCATTACTAAAATGTTTATTGGATGATTTGTTTTATATATCCTGCCTTCTGCTTTAGTGAAATGGTATAAAGCTTTCTTAATCCTTTGTTCTGGGTCCTGGCATTTTGCTGGCTGGGACCCCTTTTGCTGAAGTGCTTCAATAAAAGGAAACAAAACCTGCACCTCATATCTAGTGCTCTTCATTGGCTTCGGCACCAGACTCAGACCCAAATTGGGGACAACATAACATGGTCAGGTGATGTTATAAGGTGATCTAAAGGCCTCAGTCAGTCAGGATTCTCTTCTCTTCTTTCTGCCTTATTCTCTTCAGCTCTCTAGTTTCTACCAAACTATCTGTTGGATAGCTACTCTCTGCTGTAATTTTCACTTTGACTAAATTTTTTTGTATTTGCACTGATGCCTCATTCCATTTTGCTTTGACTTACTTTACACCTGTATTATCTTACTACAATCCACCATAACTCTCCTTCCTTTAGCACTCTTGAACTCCTGTGAATCCTAATATTCCATATAATATGTGCATGTATGAAATTCTGATGTTAAATTAGTCGATGTTTTAATTAAAAAAAAAACCTCTGTTCATCCATGTTCAGCTAGAGGGGAAGTGTTTCCAAGTTATTTCCTAGTTATTACACTGCTTACTTACAGTCTTGGCTTATGTGTAGATAGTAGAGAGCAGCAAGCATTTGCAAACCGGGATGATCAGAAAATGCCAAGGTCTTCAAGGCCTCTAAAGAGATCTTGCCAAGTGATGAAATTTCAAAACCTTAGAGAAAAATATAAAAACAGATTCTGAATTGTGTAAGTAGTAGTGAAAGTACTGAAGAATCCATAGAACTGAAATAAGTAGGTGAAGAGGAAAAAACCCTTTGACATTAAAATATTCTCTGTGCATGCTTTGAAAACATATGGATAGAACTGAATAAGCAATTGAAAAGATGCTCACCTTGTTCTTAATTCTTTAAAAAAAATAGTTTAGCATCCTTTCCTTCCCTTAGATACCCTTTCTTCTTGGTGTAATTTCCCTCCATCTTCTTGGTATAATTTCCCTCCATCTTCTGTTCTTACTGATTTTGGGTTCAGATTCTCTTTACTGAGGGAATATACAATCTGATCCAAATGAATTTAGATTGACAATAACTAAGATTTCATTCATCCAGGAGTTATCATAATCTCACTAACAAAATCCTGTAAATTGACAAATCTACTCTGATGTAATCGATTGTGAATATGTGATGCTGCATATGGGAATCATATAACCCAAAAGGGAAGTAAGTACATGCTTAATGGCTATGGAGATTCTTGGTCATCCAGGTTATGGTTGTCCCAAAGGTGCTTTTTCAAAAGGCAACTGGACTTTTGAGGAGGAAAACAAAGTCCAGCTGCTTTTTGACAAAGCATCTTTGGGATAAGTACATGCTTAAAAACAACCCAATATGGGAGACAATGGGAAAAATAATCTGGAAGGCAGGAGAGTTCTCCAAATAATTCAGTGAGGATTTTATGTATTTAGAAACATATAAGCATAAAACGCTGAGTGATTGCAGGGAAAGTTAATGATAGATTTCAACCCTATATGTATTTTAAGAGTTTCCTATAAACTACTTTGAACTTAATTTACAAAGAAAAGGTAAATATAAATGTAAAAGGATACAATTCATCATTATGTATCTCTTTATCAAAAACCCATGAGTTTTCTAGGTATGTATAAAAATTCTTTATGTCTCTCTGTGTGTGTCCCCATAATTCATTTGCTGCTAAAATTTCAGATATCCCAGATCCTAACATTAGGATTTTCCTCTTTTTAGTAATGAGTGTGGAGAATGTGGTAGTGGAATTGGAAAAGTAAACATTCTTTTTTGTACATCTGAGAAGATGATTATCTCAAAGTGAAGGTTTGTTCTACGAAAATAGTGCTTGGTAAGGTATGGTTGATTTTGCCCTTATTATTGTACAGCAGTTATTATGTGCTGGGTTCATGGTGCATCATGGTGCACCATGAACCCAGAGGCATCATGGTTCTTGCCCAGCCAAGGAATGAGAATTTCTGAATGAAAATGTAAAAGTCCATTGTGGCAGCTTTGGCAAGAAAAATCAAGGTAATTGACATTTAAGCAAAACTCTGCACATTTAAAAGCAGGGATTTAGTATATAAATCTAGAATTGAGAATCAACTGCCCAATAATTGTTTGGGATACTTTAAATTTAGGCTTTTTCTCTATTCCACCATTATTCACAAAAACAAAACAACCAGAAACACAAATAACACGACTTTATAGTACTTTAAAGCAAAGGAGCAGAGGTCTAACAAACAATTCAACAGAGTTGGCTGACACACTTTCAAAGCAGAAATGTCTCACCTTTTTCAATGTGTTGCAGAAATTCTTGGGCAGTTTCCTCTTCATAACGATGAAGAACAGGTTTGTAGAGCTGCCTCATTTCAACATTTTTTCGTTTTAGGCAAGGGCAGTCAGCGATCTGAGCCAAACACTCTCTAATGTCAAGCAACAAACCTGACAACAGTGTTTTCACTGAGACAGCAAAGTCGTAAAGCAATTGAACACACTTGGTACACAGTTGACCCATTTTTATTTTCTTAATCCAACAGAAAACCCTGAGAGCAAAAAGGAACGGAGCGTTTATACTTTGTTTATTTTATAATAAACATATATTTCATATATTTCTTGTACTGGAAATTTTAGATCTAAATAATGCCAAATATGATGTGGATGAGTTATTTAAAGTTCAAATTGTTCCCTGAGTGCAGACAGAAAATCTAACTCTGCATCTAATCACTCCAAATTAAGCCTTTTCCTCTATTTTAGACGGGAGAACAATAAATAATTAAACAAAAAATGAAGCATTCAGAATCACCCTTTGTCCTGATTCAAACAAAAGGTATTAAAACAAAGCCCAACAGTCCTAGAAAGCTAGCAACAACTCCTAGGATAACAAAGAAAGGTGATGCTTATATAGAATGACATCACAGGTGAGAGCAACAAATATATTGGTCCCCACCTCCTTAATTGATCAGCCAATCAGTGGAGAAGAAAACAAAAACTTAAACAGGTTGTTCCAGTTCCTTCCAGACAAAGCAATAGTGCCCTTTGACTGGCACAAGCCCAGAACAGCCCTAAATACCTCGTGTGTGCAAAACAGAAAAATACTTATACTCTTTTTGCAATTTTCTATGTTCTACATTCAAACACCAAGCATGAAGTTAGTAAAACTGAACATAAGAAACAAATATACCAAATATGTAGGCCCAGATTCTAGCTAAAAGTATTCATAAGCAGAATTGTTGTGGGGAAAATAGGCAGAGGAAATTGTGTTGGATATGTTCGCCACTTTGAGTTATTTGTAAAAATAATAAAGATGGATACAAATACAAAATATATACGTATATATAAGCTTCCTCCTGCTTATTGGATTGAACAAAAAAGATTAATAGCACAGTAACTTTAGTAGTGAATGTATGATAGAAATTAAAATTTGATGTATCTTGCTTCTTTGTTCTCTTCTCATTATAAAGTTGCTATGAAATTTGTGCCATGCAACTACAATGTGTAACCATAGTAACTAATTGATAAATACCATATGGTTTAAAAAATAATAAAGTATCAAAGTGGCAAAGGATGGATATGAAGAAGCTATGCATTTGTTATTTGTTGTTCTTATGATACCCTTGCATATTCTTATATTTTATTTTCCCCAATTCCTCCATATTTGCTTTCACTTGTACTCTCCTTGTAACCCTATCCCCATTTTCATTTACTTCAGTGAACTAAGCACTATTCTCATCTACCTCCAAGCAAACATATTGGCTATATTCATGTAACACACTGAATTGCAGATATCTTTTTTTTTTTTTTGGATTTGATTTATATGCTGCTCTTCTCCGGAGACTCAGGGCGGCTTACAATGCATTTTTGACCAAACTTATCATGCAAATTCAGCCCTTTTACTAATTTACGATTCAACCTGTCAAGTAAACCTAGAAAATTGGGTTGAGTCCATTATGATTAATGTTCTGAATGTCTCTAGTGCAAATTCAGTCATATAGGATTGCTCTGTTAAAAGATTATTTTTAATCTGAATCTGGCCACACGATGATCTAGCCCTCCATCTTCTTTCCACCAGCAGAAAAACAGATAATTCAGGGACACATGCGGGAATCATACTAAGGTCCTAACAACTAGTATTTTAAGGCACTAGGCTAGAAACTGGGGGACTGTGAGTTCTAGTCTCAAAGCCAGCTGTGATTTTGGGCCATTCATTCTCTCTGTCTCAGCCTGGGAAAGAGGCAATGGCAAACCACTTCCAAAAACAGGTAGTTGCCAGGAATCAACATTGAATTAAAGATACCCCCCCCCACTAGTATTTAGGAAAAGAATTGTTTCTGGGTACAGAAATTAATGATCATGTTGAATATCCATTGATAGGATATGTTCTCTATTAATTTGTCATATAGCTCATTTAAAGCTTTCTTTAAGCTCTTAAAAAAAGATAAATCTCATTTAAATCAAGTTTGATTCTTGGCGATTCGTATGTAGGTTAACATAGCTTTGTTGAAAACACACACAGTTTTCAAACACCAAAAACACTGTATTTTATTACACCTAGTTCCTTGTTTTAGCTTCAGCTAGAATAAACAAGTGTTAGGAACGACACCACAAAGACACCTTGCATTCTGCAGGCGATATGAAAAGCTATACTGTACGGCCATTCAGAGATATAAGAGAAGAAATCTCAAAACCTAAGCATTCCTTGAAATTATGCACGTTTGATAAAGACGTCTCCGCATGCGCACTGGAGTGGTTATCTCTGCTTCTCTCTGCCGCTTTCTTTCCCAGAAGGACACAGAAACATCCCTCGGCTGCCATCTAGCAGTCGATTGGAGTTTTTCAGTCTTCAAGGAAGGAATTATATCACGTGACTCTGAAAAACCAATCAACTGTAGTACTTTTCCCTGTTATAAGCGCCATCTTTCTGACGGGCAAGAGCCAGGTTGGCTGTTTTCCTATCTTTTTTCCGGCCGCCTTCCGGCAGCGGAAATGACGCACCCGTTTATTCTAACGTCGCAGAAAGCCCGTCTTCTCTATGATTTCCCCTTTCCTTTCCGTCCCCTCCGCCCCATTTCTTTTTCCTTCGTCGAGACTGGAAATGGCCGCCGGGTGGTGAGAGTCGGACGGGAGGTATCGGCCAGAAAAGGGTGAGCCACGACTAGGCCGGGATCCGAATGTGCGGTTTTAAAGATCGAGCCAGGGAGGGATTCAAGACCCCGGTGGTGTATTTTGTGGGGGGTGGGGGTGGGGATGGGTTCGACCGTTATACTTCCACGCGATGGTATCGACCTCGTTTCCTTCCCTCTCCTCTCTTCCCCTCCCCCCCCTCCCGCACCCCGCGTGTTGTGGCGCGCGAATCTCTCAGCGCGCGACGCAGCTTTTCCCCTCCCACTTTTTGCTCCCCAACCCCCCCTTCCCTTTGGCTAAGAATTTCTCCTGCCCCCATTTTCTCTCGCGCGAGCGCGCGCGGTTGGGGGGGAGGGAGGGAAAGGGAAGAGAGGGAAAAAAAAGGAGACGCGGAAGAGCTTCGGTTGCTCTCCACGCCTTTGCCTCTGAGGCCCGGTCAGCTGCCTTATCTCCTCCCTCCCTCCCTCCCTCCCTCCCTCCGTCGTGTCTCCCCCTCCCCCCCCCCAACAACCTCTTGTTTGGGCGCGGCCAAGGCAACCTGGGAGCCTTGTCGCTGTTTGCGGGTATTTCGGGACTGCCAGGAGGGAGAAGGAAGAAGAAGAAGAAGAAGAAGAAGAAGGGGGGAAAAAAGCCGCCTCTTTTCTGTGTTATTCTCAATTGCGGGGCTTTCCGTGTCGTTCTCAATGGCGGGGCGGCGATCCCTGACCTAGTCGCCCTGTGGCTGCAGGCGGCTTAACGTATCGGGAGAAGAGGCCGTGAAGGGGATTAAAAAATCATAAAGCCGTCAGCCGGGGTTGGCTATTGAACTCCTATATTAAAAAAAAAAAAAAAAGGATTCTCTGGTACGTTGCGCTGTTTCAAAACTTAAAAGAGTTCGTTTTTGTAAATGTCAAGGATCGTGCCAAACGGCTGTTAAAACTGCAGCGTGTTTAATGTGTATTTATTTGTATTTTAAGTACAATTTAAAATTTGTGTTTTGAGTACAAATAAATACATATTATAAATAAATAAAATACATATTATAAATAAATGTAAGTATAAATCTCTGAATTTCTCTGAGGTGTAGTAGGGAATAATTGGCGAATAATTCGTTTTAGTTTATGGTAAGAAAATTGGAAGTAAGAGAGCGGCATACAGATTTTTAAAAGGCCCGTTGTTATCTGGGGTGGTACTGGTTTTCCCTCCCTTATGCTTAAAATCCGATGCTGTCGATTATTCTTAGGCATTCTGTTTTGAGATTGAGTGGAGCTATAGGAAACATTTGTGTGGGTAGGGTTAGGGTTTTCTTTAATCTTTAATTATTAAGAAACTTTGGATTGTATCCAAATGTTCATAGATTCAGTTTCTTCAGTTAACAGAAGAAAATGGTTCCACCTCTCCCATTATACTAGGCCTGCCCCCCCCCTCAATTTTACCCAAGGGTCATAGAATTGGATTAAGTTGTGCAGGAGATAAGGTAAAGATAAAATTGTGCTAACGGGCTTTGCTTTTTAGTCTTTTAATAAAATTGGAGGCATATGTATTATGATCTATTTAGATTAAAATATAAAGTAATGTATGTCTGTTAATAATAAAATTGGGACCGCATGTTACCTTCTATTGGACAGGTATAAACTGTTGTGGAAAATATGGGTCGCTCTAATACTAGATCCCATTCCTCAAGATCAAAGTCTAGATCTCACTCCTCTTCAAGATCCAGATCCAGATCACATTCTAGAAAAAAACGTTACAGGTACTTGCTTTTCATTTTATATGTTAACTCAACTTAGTTGCTTTGATTTTTACATGCTGATTTTTAGAAGAACTTCAAAATACTGCTTAAAATTGCACACTTCTGGTTGCATTCAAATATCCTACATGAATCACACTTCTTTCCTTCTTCTTGCCCTCCATTTTCTATAGGATGTTAAAGTTTTTCCATTGACTCCAGGCTTTTGCTTGCTGTTAATTTGCTTTTTCTCAGTTTCATATCCTCCTACGTGGTAGTTTCAGATTAATTTCCCAGTTCTGCCTTTTCACTAAATGTTCATAGCTCAAACCATATTTGTTCCATTTTCCTAAAAGTGAGGTAGAACGATTTGCTGCCTGTTGAACAAGCAGACAGAGGATAGTGGATTCTTTTGACTTTTTTTTTATTATTATTACTGAACCCAGAATGTCTATCAGGATTCTAAAAATATGTGCTTTATGGTTAGTGGAGTTAGCAATGAGAGCTGCTGTTGATGGAGGCAGCAAAGAAAAAAACAATAATCAAATAAGTTGCAAATAGCCCTGGTGAATAGGGAGGGGGGAAGAGAGAGAGAGAGAAAGCCAAAGGTGTTTAAAACAATGGTAGATATGGAATATCTAGGCCAAGGAAACAAAGTATAAAATAGTCTGCTTAATGTAGGAGATAGGGGAGGAAAACAAAGCAGAGTTTCTTTTTTGTTGAGAAAGATAGTTTCTTTCAAGTTGAGCTTGACTCATCATGATGTTTAGCCAATAGCCCTGGGAAGTCTTTAAATTTAGATGAAATCAGCCAGGAAGGAGGCAAGCCTTAATAAATGTATAGTAGTTGTAGATATTTAAGTTTGTAGATACCAATGAGTCATTTTCCTGTTGTAGACATTTTACTTATTAACCTCTGAAATGTACCAGTTCAGAATACCAATCTTCTGCTCTCAACAAATAGAATAGTATTACAATGTCTACAGATAATACTGGGGAAATAGTCATAAATTTCTGTTAATTTATTACTTCCATCACACCCTGTCAATAAAAATAAAATATTTCTATTTGCAAATCTGGGCCAAGTGATATATTCTGGTGGCAATTCTTAACATCCTTGGGACTTGCTGTTCCAAAGTATCTCTTGCGTTATAGTACTTTCCATATAAACTTTACATTCTTGTTCATACTAATTAAATAATTTGCTGTGGATCTTGGGCAATGTAATGGGTTTTTTTTTGAAAATTTTGAAATTTGGAGATACTAACATGCTTTTTATCTTAGTTCTAGGTCTCGGTCTAGAACATACTCACGGTCTCGCAGTAGGGATCGTGTTTATAATAGAGATTACCGCAGGGATTACAGAAATAATAGAGGAATGAGACGTCCTTATGGCTATAGAGGAAGAGGTAGAGGCTATTACCCAGGAGGTGGAGGCAGATACCACCGTGGAGGTTATAGGCCTGTCTGGAATAGAAGGCATTCTCGAAGTCCAAGACGAGGTCGCTCACGTTCCAGGAGTCCAAAAAGACGTTCAGTCTCTTCTCAAAGATCTCGGAGCAGATCACGTAGATCCTACAAATCTTCCAGATCTCCAAGATCCTCTTCATCTCGGTCTTCATCTCCATATAGCAAATCTCCAGTCTCTTCCAAAAGACGTGGGTCATCAGAAAAACAGCCGAAGAAAACTGAGGCAGCTGCTTTGCAGGATAGCCCATTAAAAAGTAAATCCCAAGAAGAAGAGAAAAATACATTTGAACATGACCCTTCTGAGGCTTTAGATGATTTTAATAAATCAGCAGCAGCTTCAGCTGATATTTGGCCTGGCCTTTCTGCTTATGATAACAGTCCACGGTCACCTCATAGCCCTTCTATTGCCTCTCCACCTAGTCAGAGTTCTTCATGCTCTGATGCTCACTTACTCAGCACAGTCCACTCAGCAAAAGACACCCCTCAGCATTCACATTCCATTCAGCATAGCCCTGAAAGATCTGGGTCTGGTTCCCTTGGAAATGGTTCCAGTCGTTATAGCCCTTCTCAGAATAGCCCATTACATCACATTCCTTCAAGGAGAAGCCCTGCAAAAGCAGTTGCATCACAGAATGCTGCACGGGAAGAGACTCGCATGCGTTCCTTTTATCCGGAGGCTGGGGAGCAGGAAAGTGCAAAGGGAGGAAAGTTTCTGAAGAGGTGAGCAATAAAAAAAATAATGGTGCTTAATATTAGTCAACATAAAATATTTCCGTTATACTGTGCAATAAAAAGTATCTGCAAATTTTTCAAAATAACATTTTGGTTTTAGAAGGTAAGCAATACTTGATGTCTATGTTTCACTGAATCAGAAATGTAAATGTCTGTTTTTTTGAAATATAATGAATTCATAATGAATTTTGGAATATAATGAATTCATAGGAAATCTATAAACATTTAAAATACGCTATTTCACTTTGAAAAAAATTGTTTTGAAAATATTTCTGTATTTTTAGCAAATATAATATACCTTTTCTAATATGTACTTGCACATTAATATACATTAATACTTTGTTGAGTAGTACAATACAGAAGAATCCTTAGTAGGATTGTGTGAACTCCAGTGATTTGAGAATGATTTTTTCAGCAAACATTGGAATGTTATATCTCAAATTCTGTCCAACTTGGGGAAGTTGCTTCTGGAAATTTTCATAGTGCTCCTGAAATAATATGTTCTGAAGGGGGAACAATGCTTTGGAGTTCTCCAGAATATTCCATTCCTGAATTGCCAAAGTTTTCACATTCATACTTAATAAAAGAATCATTATTATGATTTACAGCGGTATGCCATAGACCATGCATAATTTACGTTCGACTATTAAATTTAACTGATTGCTTTGCAAGATAGATTTAAAATATTTTTCATTTATGAAGTTGATTTATCTTATGTATGAAACATAACAGTAAGCTATAGCTATGCATAATTCTATTCCCCTGCCCAGCTACTAAATTATTCAGAAAACAAGTTATATTTTTATTTTAAAAAAAACAAACACCTATAATAGGTCATGGCAGCAGCAGTAGGGAAGGAGGACTGTCTTCTATTTGTGGACTTTCTATATCTATCTGATAGACCATGTGATATAAAAGGCTGATCAGATGGACTTAGTCCTGTTCCACCAAGCTATTCTCATATTTTTATAAAATAGAATAGTGTTTTAGATGCTGATTTGTATTGAAAGCTCCTTCTGTCTATACAGTTTAACTTCTCTATCAAAATTATAAAAGGCTCAGAAGTAATGGAATTTGTGGAAAAACAATGTTTAGATTTTGAAATAATTAATTTTTGAAAAATTATTTTTGCATGTGCTTAAATTGCATTGGTTTTGGATTTCGCATTTTTCAATGAAAATAGCTGTTATCTTCTTTGCTATTTACAGGTATACAGATGAAGAATCTAGGGTATACCTGCTTGATAGGAATAACACTAGAGAAAAAGATGCTCAGAAAGATAGAGGATCAGAAAAGGGGAGGACAGAGGGAGAGAGAGAATGGGAAGACCAGGAAGCTTTGGAATATTATATGGATAAAGAGCCCGGAAAACAAAAATTTAATGATTCAGAAGGGGACGACACAGAAGAAACTGAAGATTATAGACAGTTCAGAAAGTCTGTTCTGGCAGATCAGGGTAAGAACTTTGCCGCATCTCATCGTAATGTTGAGGAAGAAGGCTCCAAATACAAGTCTAAAATCTCTATGAAGGCAAACAGAGAAGGTGAAGCATTTAGAGACGATAAGGGCTATAAAGTTAAAGAGACAACTAGCTATATAGTTGAAAGACCTAATTTAGTAAAAGATAAGCACAAGGAAGATGAGAAAGTCTCTGAAAGACTGATGAAGAAAGAGATGCAATCACCTGAACAGGTAAAGTCTGAAAAGCTCAAAGAACTCTTTGATTATAGTCCTCCTCTACACAAGAATCTGGATATGAGAGAGAAATCTATCTTCAGAGAGGAGAGCCCGCTTAGGATCAAAATGATAGCCAGTGACTCCCATCGACCTGAAGTTAAACTTAAAATGGCACCTGTGCCACTTGATGATTCAAACAGGTAATTATAATTTTAATCGCTTCTCATATCCATAGAAGAGCTCATTTTTCATAAACCTTATTTTCCTTTTTTTTGTTTTGTTTTTATTACACATCTTAGACCTGCTTCCTTGACTAAAGACAGGCTGCTCGCTAGCACACTTGTCCATTCGGTCAAGAAGGAGCAAGAATTCCGATCCATCTTTGACCACATTAAGCTTCCACAAGCCAGCAAAAGCACATCGGAGTCATTTATTCAGCACATTGTGTCCTTAGTCCATCATGTAAAAGGTATGTCTTGAGTTTACCGTATGAGACATGTATCACATGCTGTTAAGAGAAGAATAGTGGTATTAATTTTAGACTTAAATTCACCTCTTTTTTTTGTATTCATCTTGATTTTTTATACATGCTTTCCTGTTAAATAACATGCTAGAAAATTTTGTAAGTTTTTGAAAGCTTTATAGGAATAATATAACATTACTTGATCCTTTTCTTCTATAGATTCAGAAAGAAGAGCTATAGGAAATATCTAAGCAGAAGAAGATAATGCAGAAAGGGGATTTCTGTAGAAAAAAATGGGATTTTATACGGTGGAAAGAGAAAGCAAAGATAATTTCAAAGGACCAGATCATGTAGATGGGAAATAAGAGGGAAAAAGAATAATATAAGAGATAAAGGTTCTACTCTGTGGTGATCCAGTAGTAAAGAAATGAATGTGTGAAGAATTACACGTGAACTAAACATAAAACAAAAATAGTAGTGACATGGCCTTTTGGAGCCAGCAGAAATTATAAAGGTTACCATGAGAATTGTGCACCTACAGCATAAACTGTTATGCTGTAGGTATGTGTATGTTTGTATATGTAGAATTTCTGCTGCAGTATATATTAGCTACAGTATAGAACAATGAACAAGTAATTGATCTTACTGCTAAACACATGTTTTACAGTGTCAAATTAAGACTTGCATTTTATGTTACAATACCGTCAAATTGGATAGTACTGTATGTTAATTAAATAACTTTGCAGTGATACCGGGACAAGTTTGGATTTCACCTAATTACTTTATAAAGTTATGCTTCAAAATAGGACGGTTTGAGAATCCAAGACTAACAGCAGCACACAAATCCAGGGAACAAGTAGTGTGACACTCATTTACAAGTGTAAATAATGCCCTTTTGGTAGTGCCGAATGCATGAAACTATTTAAATAAAACAATCCTTTTGCTTCTCATGAAAGCTTTAATGGAAGACATATACTTAAAAGATAAGATGCCACTTTGGAATTCCAAATATCGCTAACAGACTACTTACCGGATCACATAATAAAGATAGAATGGTAATTAGGCAGATAAGTTTTGACTAATTTCAAGTACAGCAGTGGCATCTTGGTCTTTGGAAAGAGGCATTTTAATTTTTCTTTTACAGTACAATGAGCTAATGTTTGCATTTCAGTTTATTTGTGTGTCATTTGATTGAAAGAAATATGTAGGTATTATTTGTTTACATTGCCAGGAATGTACACTCTAATTCAAGAAAATATGCACTAAAATGAAACTAGTTCATTTGTAATTTTCTTCTTAAATGTATTCCTTCTATGGGAGCTAAAATTTTGCAATTTAATGATCAAATCCAAGAGTTCCATTAAAATTTAACACAACAAGTTAAAATTTAAGAGAATTTTGTAGAAAGCAATGTGTTTGCATATCGTAGACCTTCCTAGCCTAATACTCTACATTTATTTTGAGAGTTAAGTCTTAACTTTACTGGAGGATAGTCATTGGTGGAAAAAACTGACTTTGTGTTATATGTAAAAATAGGAACAAACTGCTAGACTAAAACTGGAAGCCTTTAGTTTTGATTGCAAATAGAGAAGGTAGTGGAAAGCACTGGAGAACTTGTGTACACCATGCCAGCCTATAAATTAACATGACCTTACAGACAGAGTCACTAATTCCTCTGTTACATATTAGGGGGTTGAAGGAACATTATTTCCAAGAGTAATTGGTATATAATTATATATCTAAAATATATCAAAATGTATTGTATACACATACATACACTGGTTTTCAATTATACAAATTGCTTGATTTCCCTTAGAATAGGCAAGGAAATAAACATGCATATGTGGCTTATGTTGGACTGTTTGCCTACCTTTCTCAATGTTAACTTCATTTACTGTGATTCTACTACCCTAATCTTTTATATAAATTACTATCTGAACCTGGAAATGTGTGATGGAAATTGAATGCTGCCTTGTTACATTATTTCCCTTATTGTAGCATTCCAGTTCAGAAACTTACATTTGAGTAATGCTAGAGTACTGTAGGGAAGTCATCATAGATGAACATAATGCATCCAATTTAAACAGATGCTATATTTATTTACCCTCATTAATTATATTTGATAATTTGAACACTCATCTTGAAATTGGATTATGCCATTCAATTCTGCATAGATAACAATATCATCTATCTTATATTGCTCATTCTGATGGAGTAGTTAACATTATCAGGTAAAGAAAAATCCTGAAAATGTGAAAATGCATATGAAGAGTGGTCAAATTTACTGATGAAAAGCCCAACAGTCCTGTAATTCTTTTTTCTAAAGTTATAGTCTTTGAAAAGAAAACACATTTTCTTTTTAAAGATGTCATAATATCATATTTTACTGTTCTGACTTTAAAGCTATTACTTTTTTAATAAAGGAGCACTAGGCAATTGTTTTTTACTTATTTACAATAAAAATTTTCTTGGCTTATTAAAAAGCTTCTGTATAACAAATACATAATTTTGGATCCAGATTTTGCCACTGTTGGCAGGAGCATTTCTTGTAAAGCTGCATGTTCAGAAGCTGTGAAAAACTCTGGAGGATTTACAATGTTTTAGAACCACATACCAAATTTTAGACACCTTTCCCTCAGATATATTTGCCTAGAAAATGTAGAAAGCTAACTGCTTTACATCAGTGGTCCCCAACCCCCGGTCCGCGGACCGGTGCCGGGCCGTGGAGTACCTGGCACCGGGCCGCGCAGCGGCCGGGGGACAGGAACGCTTCAGCGCAAAGGCTCCTGGGCCGTGCGCAATGGGCCTGCGCAAAGGCTCCTGGGCCGTGCGCAATGGGCCTGCGCAAAGGCTCCTGGGCCGTGGCCCCACCCCTGCGCGCGCTCAGCGGGCCGCGGCGATAAAAAGGTTGGGGACCACTGCTTTACATTACTCCAAAAAAAGCTGTATTTTCATATTTTATTAAGAGTTAAAAAGACTTATGAGGTTATAAAATCCTGTAAGTATGCTTGCCAAAGAGATCATTTAAGTTGAATGTTTTCAGTTAGTATATCAAATATTTACACATACCCTGTTGTTTTAACTACTGATCTTTGGCCAGTTTATTAATATGTCTCAGTCCCAGTTTGCTTCCCAAGGTTATTTAATTTTTTCTGCACGCAGTAAAAAGAATCTGTGGATCACATTTTTGTAAAAATGTAGTAGTAATTTTACATTATTGGTGCAATGCAGCTAGACTGAACAGCTCTTCTCTTACATAGAGCTGAAAATGCCCAGTGATGTTTTCTTTTTCATTGCAACTAGGTCCTGGAATGTGTTTTGAAATGGCAAAATCCATATTACAAAAGTAAAATAGCTGTTGAAAGATAACAGATGCACAAACAGGCAAAGTTGAACTTCTATCTTCCTGGCAAAAATGGCACAAAAACTGAATTGCTAGCTCAAATTCCTGTGTTTGATGGAATTATGATTGAGGCACTACCCTTGTAGTGGCCGTGTCAAGTTTTAATGATTGGTTTTGAGAGATGTGCTGGATGTTGGGCGGTAAGTTGATACAGATGTACATTGACCTGTTAAGCAGATAGTTTACTTTATTTGTAACATTTCATAGTCCTTTTTAATTTACACATATACTATTTTACATTTAAACACATCTGTTGAACTGGTCTTTCAGAATGTAGCGTGTGTGTGTGTTATCAATTTATTGGTCTTGGTTAAAAGAAAAGAAACTTTATGCTGTCAAGTTTGCCAGAATGCCAGATGTTAAAATCTAAAAGTTTTACCTTGGTGTTAATTTAAAAAAGAAAAAGAAATTGTGATCTTTAAAATAAAATGACCTGTGAAACTTCATTTTATGTATGCCTTTTGGAGAATAAATCCAGCTGAGTTCAAGAGGGTTTATTCTTACAGCAGTATGCATAGGATGACAACATTATTTTAAAATTGCAGTGTATGACCATGCTCCCTCTAATGTTGCAATATTTCGCTCATAATGTATTTGGCTCCTGTGGGTAAACAAGATGTGCACTATAAACTTTGACTGCTTTTTAAATTAAAAAAATGAACATTCAGTTTATAATGGCATAAAGAGTACAGATGTATAAGGAATTTCTAAACGTGATTACTACAAACAGATGGGGCAAATTTTTGTTGCTTACATTGTGAAGTCCCTGGCTCTTCTGCATTCTCATTTGATATATTGATATACTTTGGTTAATTAGTACTTATTCTCTGAAATTCTACAGAACAATATTTCAAATCAGCTGGAATGACCCTAAGTGAGAGATTCACTGCTTATCAGAAGGCTACTGAAGAACATAGCACCCGGCAAAAGAGTCCTGAAATACACAGGTAATGCATTGTCTTATTGTTTAGTGTAAACGATACTCACTTTTAAAATGATGCTTAATTTATAAAAAGCACCATGTCTCTTGAATATAGAACTTGAATAGAATAGAAGTTCCTGAGTAAAACTGCTATATCTGTTTTGATACATGAGATTTTATAATAAGGTAAGTGTGAAATGTATATTCATCAGTTCTGTTTTTTATTCCATTTAAATGGAAACCCATTTAAAATTGAAGGAAGTAATAAATTATGTCTGGGATTTAAATAATTGTTGGGTACATTTTTTAACCTAAAATAATATTTGTATTTCTGAAAAAAAATCCTCATGTATTCGCATACAAAGAATAGTGTATATTGTATGGTTTATCAATACTGCAGTTGGATTTTTGAATGGTGTGGAGGTTGATTTGTTTATATATACGTATGGCATTTTTAGAGGGGCACATTAGCATTTTAATGGTTTAGCTTTAGTCTCTCCTTTTTGTGTTTTCAGTTTTCCGTTTGGCAATTCTGGATGTAGACATAATAATTACTTTTGACAATCTTGCATTTAGAAGGATTGACATCTCTCCAAGCGCCCTGAGGAAGCATACCCGTTTATCAGGCGAAGAGAGAACCTTTAAAGAAGAAACTCAGAAAGTAGGTTCTAAATTGATACATTTTTTTTTCAGTTAAAGCATCCTGTATAGTCCAGAACTAAATATCTATCCTAAAACATCCTTCATAAAATTGCCTGTATAGCTTACTATCCTAAGTAATACTAAGCTTGATCTATTTATCATCTTTTAAGGATAGGTCAGTTTTGTGCATCTTGCATAATGAGCCATGAACATGAAAAGATAATTATATTCAGCGTTCTTAAAAAATAAAGGTCATTACTTTCTAACATTATTCCATGGAATAACTGAATTAAACAAGACTATTGTAATAACATTAATAAGAAATTATGCTGACATTTCATTTCCATGAAACACTTGGAAGTGTTTTTTGTTTCATTTTTAAGAATTTTTTTTAAAAAAAATCAAATTTATTTACAGTCTAATGTAGGGAACTTTTTATTTCTATGCAAAACAATCATGTTCTATATATAAAAAAACTATTAGGAAATTTAACTTTCTAGGAAAATGGCAAGATAGAAATCTAACAAATCTGTTTACAGTTTGTTATAATTGTCTTTTGAATCAAGTCTCATTTCCGGTGACTACATGAACAAGTCCCTGCAGTTTTCTTGGAAGTGCCATCTTCCTAAGACTGACTATCCCAAAGTCATTCAGATGGATTTTGTGCGTAAAACAGTACTAAAACACATAGTTCATAGACTTCTAATCCAGCATCTTTAACCTCACCTTTATATTGACTTCTATGTAGAATACTTTTGCTATAAGCAAAATTTACAAAATGTTTAATGGAGTTTTCAAGAAAGTATGCCTAAGACTATAAACACAAGAAGTGAATGTATTCCAACATTTGTAGTTGTAAAATATTTCAATTAAATGGTTTTGATCTAGGGAGATAAAAAATTAAAGTGCGATTCTGCTGATCTTCGACATGACATCGATCGTCGTAGAAAAGAACGAAGTAAAGAACGAGGAGACTCTAAAGGTTCCAGGGAATCCAGTGGGTCAAGAAAGCAAGAAAAAGTTCCAAAAGATTACAAGGATTATAAAACTTTCAAGGATGATAGGTAAAAAAGCATAATTTTGTAATTAATGTTCTAGTTAAATGTCTATGTAATTGTAAGCTTAATTGCTTTCAGTTTTCCCTTTACAATGGCACATCTAAATGTAAACAATTAAAATTATTTGTTTTACAGCAAAAATGTATTTGTCTTTTACACGGCTTATGGTGGATGAGGACAAAAACTTTGGAATAGCAAGCTAACACTGAAAAAAAATGACAAATTAATCTGTCCTATTATCCAGGCTACATCAGGAGTTGGACTTCAATGCAGTGCATTTCTGTAAACAGTTTGTGTAAGAACTTTGGTTCGTTATGCTTGATTCCGCACTTTTTCAACTCATAACACCCAGATTATGAGAATTTTACTGAAATTTAAATTTAACTTGGGCAAGGGGAGGGTTGGCAAGAAGAATTTCTTTTTTCTCAAAACTTGTAATATGAAATTATACAGGTTAGTAGTTTAGGAGCAACGTAACTATGCACAATACTTGCTGCAGTGATAATACTGGAAATAACTTTTATGCTTTTGAATTTGGTATTAATATTAGAAATCTATGGTCAAATCAATGCCAAAGGTATTTCCTATGAGACTATTGAATATGAATGTTTTATGTCCTGCTCTTTCGTATACAGTATATATTAATATTATTAAAACACTGATTTACTTGTACTTTCTATTTACTTCTCCTCAACTGATGTCCACATGGTTGTCAGTTACTGATTAGTTCTGCATCTTGTGGCAATATAATGTAGTTAAAAGATAATTGATATTATCTTTTATTTTATTGATATTTTATTGATATTTGTTAAAATAGATGGAACTAGGCAAAAGCTAGCAACTTTACTTTTAGTCATTTTTCCCTCCCATTCTGAAATTGTGTGAAAGCATGCATTTAAATGTAGCTTTTACTGGCTAATTAGCTATTTTTTATTAATAACATGCTAATGAGGCATAGCTATTAAAATTATGGATGGAAGCTGGATGGAGTGATAATGTTCCACATTAGCTTCAAAACAAGAACAGAGGATAACTTCTAAGAATACACAAAATACATCCAGTACGTAGGGCACAACAGCAAATAGTATGGTTTCTTATTTTTCAGTAAGCAAAAAAGAGAACAAGACCATTCTCGATCTTCCTCAACTTCCTCCCCATCTTCCTCATCCAGTTCCCGAGAAGAAAAGGACTGCAAGAAAGAAAGAGATGAAGAACTTAAACCCCATCACGAGCAGAAAGAATATCCAGGTTTTACGGGAGTTGGAAGACCTAGAGGCACATTTGTAAGTTTCTTCTCTGCAGTTATTTTTAACCGTAGTTTATAACCATTGAATTAAAATACCCAGTGTACATTTGAAGCATATAGGAATGCAAATTAGAAATAGTCACGTTGGACAGTAACTTGCAGCAAGGTGTATTTATATAAATTATAGGAAAATAATACATTAGTTTGGCATAAAGGGAAAGATAGGCAAGAGCATCTTATTGTACCTATATTATTATGCTACCTAGATAAATTGTTGCTTTAAATATTCACAAACATTTGTGTGTTTAAAGCCAAAGCATCATTAATTATTCTATTCTATTCTATTCTATTCTATTCTCTGTTCTTTCTGATTTCTTGCATCTGTTTGTAATAATTTACTCATAGGCATTTTCTCTGATTTGTTCTTCAGATTTGACATGTTGATTTCCTTTTTTAAAAATATTAAATCTGTATTGAGAGTTCACCAATAGTATTACCTTATATCAACATAGAACAGAACAGCTAGTGGCAAATGCAATTTACTGAAATTAGGTGGCACAGTTGTTGAAAACTGCTACATTAAATTTTATACACATTTTTAGTTAATTAGCAACACATGTTAGTTAATGATTAGAATTAACATTAGCTATTAAATGGCTATCAAAATTGCATTTAAAATAATTGAACTAATATTGTTATCTGAACTAATTATTTTTCTCATAGTTTCTTGAAAGTGTTAAAGTTAATTAAGTATACTGGACCATATAAGTTCTTTTTTTCCCTTTTTGATTTTTCTGTTGACCAGACTCAGTATTATTATATATTATACATTGTGACTTATGACTCCACAGTAAGTCCCAAAGTGTGACCTTCATTTTCTTCATTTTTCAAACCTAAAGCCTTTTGTCTGTATTGTAGGAAAATCAGAGGGGCTGACAAACATTGCAGAATTGGTAAAGCACTTAATCCTGCAGTGGGGACGTCCCCACTTGGTCTTTCCCTTTAGCCTTCCTTGGCATTTAGAGAAGAAGGAAGTGTTATTTTCGGATTCCAAGTTTTCTCTACTGCCTTTCCCAGTTTTGGCACTCTGAATTTAACAATGCTGACATTCTGGGAGGTGACTCATATTTAGAGGATCGCCCAGTTGGGAAAGGCTTCCCTAGTACAACTTCCTGCTGAGACCTGAAAGTTTTTCCGGTTGCAGTGAGCAATTTGGGGAAGTGTGAAGTGAAAAGGAATTACTGGAAATCACTTCTCTTATTCAACCAGAAAAAAAAAGCCTCCTCTATATCTGTGTGGGGAAGATGTTGCTACATCTGGTTATTAACTATCGTGCACACAAGACCAGTTTTTAAATTCTGGATTTTTCAGTAAATGCTGCACATAAACGTTATTGTGCAGCACTGAACCTTTATTAAAGGAGGTGTAAATAGCTTTATTTTAATTTTGAAATATCTTCATTTTATGCAAGTGTTAACAGAGGATTTTAGTTAATGCAATAATAATTTATTGCTATGTGTAATTAAATATATTTATTATTTAAATACATACATGCTTTGGTTAATCAGTTTCGAATAAGAGGCAGAGGAAGAGCCAGAGGCGTGTTTGCTGGAACAAATACTGGTCCTAGCAATTCAAACACTACTTTTCAAAAGAGACCAAAAGAGGAAGAATGGGATCCTGAATATACTCCAAAAAGCAAGAAATACTTCTTGGTGGGTGTCATATTATATGCATGCATCTTTTCTAAATCTTATTTTATAGCAGCAATATCTAAAGCTATTTCTGTTAATTTCAAGAATCTTTATTGAGTCCTCTGACAGTGAACATCAGTATTTGTATTTGCTTTTACATCCATTTACATAGTCTAATGCATGAGTGTCAATCTTGCCGTGTCACGTTGCCATCATGTGACTTTTGCGACGTTTCCCCCATTCATGGAGCTGGGGTGGGCGTGGCCTGTGTATGACACATCTGGCCCGCGGGCTGCCAGTTTGACACCCGTGGTCTAATGAAACAAGTTCTTCTGCCCCATTTCTAGCTAGTCAGTTGGCAAGAAGAGAGAAAAGAGCTAGCCTGTGCAGACTACAGCGTGCAATTATATATTTTGTTCAACGGATTGCTTTCTGTTATTTATAAGTGAAAATTTAGGCCTTCCTTAAAGCCGAGGAAAAGCCAGATAGTATAATAATATCTCAATTGCTTGGAGTTGACTGACATAATGCTATCCTGTAACTTTGGGTAATGGTGTTTGTGATCATGAAATCAAAGTAATTATTAAATACTTTAATAATGTGGCGTACGTAACTGCTTTTCAAAGAAATTTTCTAATGCTTAAATTTTTTTCGCTGTGTAAATTTTCTTCATTTTCACTTCCTGTATTTTCCCTTTCATGAGTAATTAATGCTTCTCAGTGAATAGCAGGTGTGTACACAAGCACTCTTTCGGTAGATACAATATATTCTATTGCTGTAATGTTTATTAAACTAATTGTGTTTAGAAAAAATAGGATTTTGATCAGCTGTGACTTTTCACCTGCTGGAGGCACTCCAGCAGGTGAACATTTTAAAAAAAATATTTCTGATACTTTTTTTTGGTAAAGACAGATTTAAGACCTTCAGAAAATAAAATCCAGGTCACAAATAAAAAGTTTGCTATAATATTTAGAAAAGATAATACTGCCTATTGTCTCTCTTTCTTCTGTGGTCTACTCCTAACCAGGTATAGCTTTCTTGGATTGGATAGAAGTGGAGTGATTCTTCTCGGATCAATCAGCCATGTCCTCCTCTATGATACTTACTCTGTTTCCTGTCTGGTTTATATTTTTCAACTGATGTTACATGGTTGCAGAATGTATTTGGTTGTTATCAGTTTGGGTAGTAGGTTCTATTGTGGAAATAGTTTTTAACACTGTTGTGCTTTTTAAGATTATTTGAGATTCTGCCATCTTATTTATTTATTATTTATTTAATATGCTGCCTGTCTCACTATCCAAACTGACTCCATATCTTCTAGTATCTTTGTATCTTCCAGTATTTCACTCTTTGTACATGTTATATTTTGAGTAACAAACCACCAGCAATTGAGTCTTCGGACAAAGGTGGCATACAAGTTGAACAAACAAATAAATAAATAAATTTCTATTCATGTATGAAGGAATTAAACTGTAGGGATATTTAGGATTTTGCCCTTTTCTTTCTATCCCCCCCCTTTTTTTTTTACCATCTCATCTAATAAAGAATTCTGAGTAACTTAAAATTACTGTTAATTTGGTTGGCTTTAATAATAATTGAAAGAGCCAGTTTAGTGTAGTTGTTTGGGCATCAAATCAGAAGACTGAGTTCTAGTCCTGCCTTAGGCACAAAGCCAACTGGGTGATCTTGGGTTAGTCACTTTCTCTCAGCCCTAGCAAGGAGGCAAAGAGCCTTGGTAGTACAGTGGTCTAAAGCACCCTGTTATTAAGAACAGCTGCCTGCAATTACTGCAGGTTCGAATCTCGCCAAGGCTCAAGGTTGACTCAGCCTTCCATCCTTTCTAAGGTAGGTAGGTTGAGGACCCAGTTGTGGGGGCAATAAGCTGACTTTGTATAAATATACAAAAGAATGAAGGCTATTGCTTAGCACATTGTAAGCTGCCCTGAGTCTCCGGAGAAGGGCGGCATATAAATCAAATTAAAAAAAAAAAAAAATTACTTGGGGGCAGGGGAAACCTTGCCAAAAAAATCCAGGTAGTCTCTGAGAATCAAACATGATTGAACAGATGAAAAATAATAATTTGTGTTACTCATTTTTTTCTGTAGTTTTCTTTAAATTTGTTATGTGTTGTTTCTAAAATTTGTTCTTCAGTAGACCTATTTTATTTTTTTGCACTCCATAAACTAAAAACCAGATAGTTAAGGCACAGAACGTAACATAGAATATGTAACAAAACTTAAGATATAATATTAAGTTATTAGAAATGTGTATAAAGAAAGACTAAATTTGTTGCACTTGCTCATGGGCATAAAGTTGTCAGTTTCCCAGTGGGTGGGTAGGTTGAACTGTTGTGAAATAATGTGTCTAATAATGTGTCTAAAAAATACAGCGAGCAAACATACAAAAAGAGAAAGAAATGGGAGTGTGTGCAGAGAGTTGGGAGATAGAGCAACTTAGTGAAACCTAGGGTGATTCAACTAAATTGAATGTACATTGTCAAACTGGTTCTTGGGGGCTTTTGTTTACATTGCTTGACTTGGCGGAGAACATGGCACCAACTGGAAAATTCCAGGGGCTATATGCCTTACTTCCCATGCTTCCCAGAGTTTATATCTTTGCTTAGAATTTTGAATATAGACAGGGCAAGTTTCATGTTTTTGTATCTTACCAAATTACTGATTCATTTTTTAAAAAAGTCACTCTTAGCTCAGCGCTAGAGCATGTGTCTTATATATATATATTTCTGCACTAACTTCAGGGCATGTTGGACCTGAACTTGGAATCCTTGATTAACCAAATACAGTGTATTGAAATAGCTTAACTAATGATTGAATTTGGTATATATGTTATCTTTTTATCTTTCAGAATAGTAAGATCAAAGAATTCAACTACAGTAATTAATTAAATTGATGATAAATACAACTGCTCTTAGTGTTGCTTGAGTTCTACATTTTCTTCTAACTGGATTCCATTTACTCTAGCATGATGACAGAGATGATGGTGTTGATTACTGGGCTAAAAGAGGAAGAGGACGTGGTACTTTTCAGCGTGGCAGAGGAAGATTCAACTTCAAAAAATCAGGTAGCAGTCCAAAATGGACGCATGATAAATACCAAGGTGATGGGCTTGTAGAAGATGAAGAAGAAACAATGGAAAACGAAGACAAGGAGAGACGTAAGGAAGAAAAGGTATGTATTGTGTTGTATCAGTTAGCTTTTTGTTTTTGTATTGTTGTATTTCAAATAGGTTAAAATACTGTACCATAATTGTGCATATATTTAATTTTTTTTATACAGGAATAATAACACTGAAGATCAGTTGCAGCTGAAAAAACTATTTGCTATCTGCGCAGCATTTTTAATATGACTTGTCGTCAAATGAATGTAAGCATTTTACTTAAATTTTACTGTTGGAGAGTAGTTTAGTTTTGGTTTTGTTTCTGTTTTAATTCTTTTGTAATCTCACTAGTAATTGTTGAAGATTATACAAAGCAAGTAGTAAAGGTATGATGCTATTTGTCATGATCAACTTTTTAAAATGTTTACTGTTATACACAGTGTAACTTTGTTTTGTCCAAAAGATCTGATTTTAAACAGAGTTGTACTTCATTATCCCCTCCACAGCTATGTTTCGTTATTGAAATAAAACTTAGGTCTGCGCATTTAGATATTGAGGCAGCATTTTAAAATAAATCTGTACTAAATCTTGGAGCTAATAATTTCCTGGAGCTTTTTGTTTGTGTGACTTATATTTAAATTGCAAAATTGTATAATCTAGAGTGGGAGGCTTATATTTTGTTTAATTCAGCCATCTAAGTAATTGTGGCAGCATGTAAACAGCACTGCAAGATTAAAAGTTTGCCATGAGTTTTCACAAGGCTTGTTCTTGGATAGGTTTGAGAATTAGAGTATCCCAGTAAAATGAGTGTAAGTAGGAGGTTGTAAAAATACTTTGGGGATCTTATTAATTTTCTCATACATTCACATTTCTAGAAAACGATGGGCGTTCTCTTCTGAACAGATCTAGATCTGACAAGTAGAGCTGTAGCTTAACAGGTGCTACGTTTCTCCGTCCACATAATCTTACTTCTAATGGGGAAATGCTTCAACTATTTGTGTAACAGCACTAAAAGTAGTTTGACCTTCTGCATATTCTATTCTTGTGAGAAGACCTATCCTACATTCCAAACGTTTAGGCGTACAACAGAAAGAGGTAAATTGTAGTGAAAAGTTGCCTTTAACACAAGCATGCTTTGAGTGTATTGTTTCAGTGTTTATATGCCTAATAGACATAGTCTTATGTAAAACACAGGATGCAATTCATTTATAAAATTTAAACTGTATATAATGAATGTGAAATGGAGTTATTATGCAAGAGCATTAGATGAAGTTTCATTGACATCTGGTGAAAAATATTGGCCACAAATTTACGGGAATACTGATTTAGCTATTATTGCATCAACGTTTTCCCCAATTTGTAAAATAATATTTCTGTGGGTTTTCTTTAGCAAAATAACCTAAACTATGGGATATCTTAGTCGTGTTTTCAGTCCTTGGTGGAATAAAGATGTGAAAATTTAAAAGGAAATGAGCTTGTTATTACAGTTGAATATTACAGAAGCTTTATATATCTACTATATCTGAAACCATGAAGTAAAAGAATGAACTAGATTAAAACCAGAATCATATGAACTAGAAATTTTAAAAATTACAATTTAACCTTTTTTTCCAATCACATGTATTTTAAACTTTTGTTGAAGTCTTGAAATATAAAATTGAACAATTCCTATACTCATGGTGCCATTTGGATAACCTGTAAGAAACAGAAGTTAGTTTACACTAAATCAGACTTGCCTTTTACCTTACTAATGTCTGCCATTTCAGCCACCAGATTTTCAAGCCACTTGAACAGAATTTTTATCAAGCCTTTCTATCAGATATTAAACTAAGTGTCAGTTACAAGTTGAGGCTTCCCTTATTATGACAGTTTGAAGTACACCTAAATTGATAATTATAATATCTACATCAAAATGGATCTATTATGACAGATTAATATTCACGTGGCCTTGCCACCGTAATGGCCACATGAAATCACAAATGAAAATAGATTGCAATGTTCTTGCAAGCATCAAAATATCTATCATTTCCTTTGTGCCCAATGGACCTTTTGCCCCATCTCAGTTGGAGGGATGAGTTGGTGTATGGATACATATTTATAGAGCTCAGTATGTAGCATTTATTTGCAGCAATACTTTTTGGCCTTCCAAAATTCCCATTAGGCTGGTGAGCAACTGAGAGAGCTAATTCATCATCCTGGAAATAGTTTGTCACTGGCCCACCACTGCAATTCTTTTAGGCCCCTCCCCCAGCACATGTTATCCAAATTTCCCATGTTTCCCACACCCCCAAAAGTTTTCTTTCCTTTTGACTTTAAATATACATATGTACCTAAAATTGACAGACTAGGGAAAGGAATGATAAATCCTTATGCTACAAAGGTATTTGACAAAATTTATTATCAACATTATTTTGCAAAATTTGGCTTGTTTTGTAAATGTAATCATTTTTATAAATCTTGGTAGTTGGAATTGTTTTGGAAACAGGCACTCACTTAGGGTGCTGCCTCCTTTTTGTGACTTTTCTTTGTAGCTATTAGCATGCTATAAATAAAATCTTTCTGAGTGTTAAGAGAGAAGATAATGTATATCAAGTGACAGAATATTTAGCTGATGAAGTATTCTGTTTCATATTGTCATGAATAATTTTAGTTCACCACTAAAGTCCTTGGATTATGGATGTATGCAACATTTGGGTTTAAATTGCTTCAAACATAAAACAGCATTTCTCAAGCCTTTTGGAAGAGTTCCATCATAATGGGATTTTTTGTAATATCTTATGTTCACAATGGTTTGAAACAAAATTTTTACATACTTCAGCTTCGAATCTCTTTCTGGCTATTTGGTTACTGACATAAATAAAAATCCTTGGGTTAAAATTTACTAAAAAGTTTAGTTCTCGTAATGGCATATGAATAATGCATAGGTTAACAGGAGTGTGTTATTGATGGTTAGGTGATAATCTCTTACTTCTTTTATCGTGACCTGGTTCATAACATTAAGCCAAAAAGTAAGTTTTACTGACCACAATAATTAATCTTATGCATAATCTGAATCTAACTGGTTTATTACACTATGTAAACTCAGTCAATCTTCATTACTGTTATAACAAGTTTTTTTTTTACAATTTCATTTATTTTTAATAAGATTTCTAGGTTGTCCAGTCCCAACAATTTTGTATAGGTTAACAAATGCTAACAATTTTTTTTTTAAATGAGGATAATGCAATTTAGATGTTCAACAACTAATTCTCTCCCCCAGTAAAGGATAAACTACCACCCCATTACCTCGACTTTAACTGCAACCCTACAGCCTGAGGAAATGTAATGTTTTTAATGCTATTTTAAAGGCTGATAAAGTGGAAACATGAATCTCAAGGTGGAGGGATGCAGAGAAGGTTCACCTCCTGGGCCCTGCTAGGTAACTAACTGATGGAACTAGAAATAGCCAACTGTATCAGATGTTATAATGTGGGCAGAAACCATAGAACACATATATCCCTTAGCCATGCTCTATGCCAAATAGGGTTTTAAAAGTGACAATTGGTTCCTTAAATTGTACTCCAAAGCAAACTGAAACCAGTGCAGTTCATGAAGCATGGATGTCTGGGAGTATGGTACAACCTGCCCAATTCTCACGCAGCTGTGGAACCACTGGTATCTTTCAAGTGATTATCAAAACAACCCCTTCTGCAGCACTTTGCAATAAGAAGGGCCTCCCAATCGAAGAAAGGACACAACTGGTGAACAAGATTATTGTGAAAGACCTTCCTGAACACAGCTGCCACCTGCCTCTCAAGCATTGAGGGTTAAAGATGGAAGAACTTGCACTAGGAGTCTCAAACACCCACAACTAATCTTGCTAGAGTTGAGGCTTAGTTTGTTCTTCCTCATCCAACCTTCAGAGCAAGTGCTGTAAAAGTATTGATGTTATTTTTTTGTTGTTGTTGTTTTAATCAGGGAAATTGAATTACACAAAATAGTAAAAAAACAAATACACAGAAGAATAGATGGCCTTATATTGCCTAGCAAAGTTAGGTAAAACACAATTTCCCACAGGGAAAAAGTATGAAGAGTAATTGTGTTAGTAGTATGTGAAAAGGTGTTCTCCAATTTCTTTTGACCCTAAAATAAAGGGCTGGATAAAACAAAAATAGGAAATGATGAACTACTGTCTGCCAAGCAGTCAAGTAAAGGGGGGATGGTATTTATGCACATCAAATCAGCAAACAATATGATGTATTTGAAGACAAAAAGGTTACGTGTTTTATAGTGCCATGTTTAGGGAGCTGCAATTGGCTATAAGTCTAAGATCTGAATGTAAGTGTAGGTAGTCTTTCTAATAAATAATTGTATGGATATTCCGAGGCTGAAAAAACATTTTAAAAGATCTACCAGTAATGGCCTGTATCCTCTATATTACATACAGAGGAAAATCCTGGCATCTCTGGAACAACAAACGAAATAGGTTTGGATAGTAGGAATTAATGCATTTGAGGCAGCTCGGATTGCAAAGGACATTATAGCGATAGGAATCAAGAATCCAAATTTGAAAATAGAATAATGCACTCATAGGGGAAAATGATACACCCAAAATCTCTGGAAAAGAATACATTTTTCATTAACATTTCATTAACATTTCCATATGTAAAGATGTTACATATATATCATTTACATTTACATTTACATTCTTAACAAGCATTGGCAAACAATCTTTCTGTCCTGAAAGTATCCTAGGACAAATCAAAATATAATCTAAAATTCGGGCCTATACATCATTCTAAGCCAGAGGTAGGCAATCTTTAGCGTCTAAGGTCCATGCTTTGGGGATGGAGGGACAATATAAATGTAACAATGAGTGGAGTACATACAATGTGGAAAAAATACCCAAAAGACAATACTGGCACAAGACCACTTTCATGTTTCCAGAAAAATGTGTAGGTTAATGCTCAGCTTCATTTAAGAGTACTATCAGCAAATGAACAATAACTTCTGTCAGCTAATAAACAATAACAGCCTTAAAGAAATTATTTTTTACTTTTGTAAAAGAAAAAAAAATAGACTAAATTTTACTTCAGATGAAAAAAGACTAGTAATGGTTACTAGCGATGCACATCAAAACGTTCAGTGAGAAAGTAGTTATCTAAACTTGGTATATTCTTGCAGTCAAGATCAAATAAATGGACAATAAACCATTAGCAGCAGAAGCCATAGAGCTCGTAGAGCAAAGCCGATTTTTCTTTCCGGTCATCAGTGAATTGAGTTCAACATAGGCCTCGGTCACGATCTCGTGGACATCGGAAGCCGGAAGTAGGAAAGCAAGAAAATGCTTGATGTTCACAGAAGGTTGACTAAGCAATGGGGGGGGAAGGGAGCGATGCGGTTTAATGGGTGCAGCAGAACGCGAGCGACATGCGGCGGATCAAGTGGCCGACAAAAAGTCAACGCCTTCTGCAAGGCCGAGCAATAGATATGGCACGTCCTTAGATATTCAGCAACCGACCTTCTCCCCAGTTTGGAAAAAAAATAAGGTTTCGCTTCTGCATGGTAAATTACGGAAATGCCGTGAGCCTGCTTAATAAAGCACTTATTTCTCCCAAGGTATCTATTTTTATTTTTCCTCCCTCGCGCATAGATCTATGAACAAAAAGCAAGCTCTGTGATTGGTTGGAGCGTCAGATGCTTCCTCGCTCCCGCTTGATTGGCTACAGCGAATCAATCGCGTTTCCAATCCCGCCAATCAAGAAAAAGGGTGCCAACTTTTGATTGTCGCGCAGGAGAAGCTCGCGCCCGCCACCTTCTCTCTCGCCGCTTTCCTGTAGGTTCCAGCGGGAAGGTTCGCGCCACTCCTGGTGGGGTTCGTCAGGATCCCGCGGTTCTTCGACGGGCTGGCAGCTCTGAAGCCCACGTCCACGGTGGGTCCCGGATGACTTGCGTCTTGGCCAGCTTGCACCCTCGCTCAGCTTCTGTTTGTTTTTATCCGCCTGTGGCTAAAGTGAATTTTAGTATAAAGATAATCCCACTGGTCAAATCCAGTAACAAGTTAGCCTTACTGAAGAACGGTTCTTAAATCCCGGCTCAAAATGTTTTGGGAGTGGCTGTATTACTGCGACTGGCATAATGCAAAACTAATCTATAATCATGTTGATTGTCTCCTTTCAGAATACACTATCTATCTATCTATCTATCTATCTATCTATCTATCTATCTATCTATCTATCCTTCCTTCCTTCCTTCCTTCCTTCCTTCCTTCCTTCCTTCCTTCCTTCCTTCCTTCCTTCCTTCCTTCCATCCATTTCCAGTGCAGACCTAGAATTTAAAATTCCCATTGGAGTCACGTTTAAGTCTTTTAAAAATTTGATTGCTGCGTGACTTTGTAAAATAGTGTTGTTTTGGTAGAATATGAAAATATTTATTGTAAAACATTTTTGTATAAATTTTAAATGTAGTTAAATAATTATATAAACACTATAGTTTTTTTTATTTTTGTATTTGATATTTTTCATGTCAGTTTAAGAAAAACAGTAAATGTTATACGGAGAACAAAAATGATATTTATGTTTATGAAAGGATCAAATGGGAAACTTCTAATTCAGATATGTTTGGTGCTATCAGATCTGGGATGTAAAAATCTGAATGACTTCCAGATACCAGCAAAGAATTAGTATACTATATCTCTTTTCTACTATTTTGTGAGTCTGAATTTTTATTTTGTCAAACTCAGAAGTAAAATTCTGATATATTGTTATGTGCATAAAATACAAAAAAACAACAACAATGTGATTAGAATTAAAAATTAATACGGTAAAGTGTCATCCATGTAAATAATTTATAAATTATTTTAATGGTATGTTGATATCTGGTACTTTGGTAAATGGATATCCACTGAACTTGTATAAGATCATAGCTTGTACACATGCAAGAACACCTAAAGATGTTACTATTTATAATATTGAGAAAGTGAATCTAAGAGAATGGATCAAAGCATCATTCCAAACTAGCCATCTTGCATCCAGAGATGGACATATTGAGTAATCCAAATATAATTCATAAATTTCATTCCAGCACAGGAGGAATGACATGGAAGGTTTTGCAATTTCCCCCTGTGTGAGAAATTCCACATTTTCATTTAATCCATAGTCAAGCTTTGGCCTGACCAATAAATGTATATATTGCACTGGAAAATTCAACAAACAAAGGTTCTTGTGATTTCTGGAATAGTTTCCCATTGATTCCCACCCAATTTTTCCACTGCAATTTTTTTCCCCAAGTCGGTATCTCATGATTCTGTCACAAACATTTTGGGAAAGTTTAAGAAATATGATTTATGTATGTATGAATATTAGACTATATGGGAGAATGCATACAGTATATAGGCAAACTTATTTCTTGTAACTTTAAATCAGTCTCATTTTCCTAGCATTACATTCTGTTGTTCACAATAGAATATCACAAGCTGCTTTGCATTATGTTTATAAATTGTTTACTGGCGCTAAACTGAAACTAAATATGTTGTAAAGGTTAATCTAAAATACATATTTTTCCTTGCAGCTAAAGTAAATTGTTACTGAACTCTTCTGGCATGTTCATCAATTTTACTTTGTGTCTGTCTTAATAGATTACACTATTCTTTAAATGTCTCTGCTATTGAATCTCTTACGGCAATTGCTGGAGTATTATGGTGTGGTCCCAGAACTGGTAAGAGAGATATATCTGAATAACAAATATGTGTTTGCATGATTTTTTTATATTAAAGGGCCTACAATATACAGTTCCATACCACTTGTCTTCTGAGAATTTCAGCCTATCTCTATACAAATTGTTTTAAGTTTTAACGGTGCTGAAAAGTGACTTACAAACTCCTTGCACATAATCGTACCAGTGTCTCCATGGTTACATGAACAAAATTCATGCTCTTGGCATGTATTTACTATGGTTGCAGTGTCCCAAGTTGATGTGATCTCCATTTGCAACTTTCTTTAGCTTCTGAAAGACAAAGTCAATGTGGGAAGCCAGATTCATTTAATGACCGCAACAAAAAAAGGTAAAATTGGGCATGACTTAACAACCACCTGACTTAGTGATAGAAGGTCCCAATTGTGATGGAATAGGATTGGGGGTGTATCTTTCAAATTGATTGGCTGTTAATAGCCATGAACCGAGTGTCACATATTTCTGAAGCTAAATTTACTTTAATCATGCTGCAAATGAAAACGAGAAGTGGTAAGAAATTACAACCTTGGTAGACACATATTTACATTATTTCGAAGCAGCTGCCTGCTATGTTTTACTATAGATAATTTTACATTATAATTTTTATATCTCTTCATTTTAAATAACATACCTGTTGAAGTGTTTTTTGCAGCCGACTTATGGTAGCTCTAAAGTTACAAAAATTGTACCAACAGAAGTTTCCATTTGGAACGAAGTCACTTATTTTGTTATTATTTTTCTCCCAATTCAGGCCTTGCAAAGGTGTAAATTGTATCTAAATGGCTTTGTTCGTATGACTGGATCTCGTCTTTCTTCAAATACCTTTTCAAGAACATACTTCCAAGAATTATGTATCATTTCCAGGAATTGTTTGGTGAGGTCCTCAATGCTTTCCCCCCCTTTTATTCCTAGAGGTTATATAGATATTTGTATATTGATTGCATCCATTCCATTACATATTACCTTTTCAGCCTTAGATAGATTGCTTTCTTCATTGGTCATTGCTATTAATAGGGAACAAAAACATACTGACATTTACCTAGCATCTCCAGTAACAGAATTCTACCCTGTTAGAGAGGTGGTGGTGGTGGGGGAAGATAGTTTAATCTGTACTCACAATCTGTACCTCTATAAAACTGGAAGTTCCTATAGGATACTATGGAAGATGGCACAGGCTATAAATTACCACCCCTTTCCATTCACAGGGCTTTCTGGTATCTTTCACAGAATCTTTTGCAAGCAGAACTTGAATCTAGCTTTTATAAAGTGACGTTTTTTAAAAAAATTAATAATTCAGAAAATACAGGTAGTCCTTGACTTATAGTGACCGTTCGAAGTTACAATGATGCTTTTTAACGACCATTTACTTACGACCATTGCAGCATCCCCAACCATTTTGGTCATGTGATCAAAATTCAGATGCTTGTCAATTGACTCATATTTATGACGGTTGCAGTATCCCGAGGTTTTACGATCACCTTTTGTGATCTTCTGACAAGCAAAGTCAATGGGAAAGTCAGATTCACTTAACTGTGTTACTAACTTAAAAACTACAATGATTCATTTAACAACTGTGGCAAGAAAGATCGTAAAATGGGGGCAAAACTCACTTAACAACAGTGTCTCACTTAGCAACATAAATTTTGGACACAATTGTGGTCGTAAGTTGAAAACTACCTGTACTACATTTTAAATAATTATAAGTCACATTTTCCTTACAGTTTCAGATATACCGAGATTTAGTTGATATATCATTAAAATAGTCAATTAACTTTTGTTTGATTTTTTTTTTCATTTAAAAATGTTTCCATTTAACTTCAACAAGCTTCTCAACCCTTAGATATCCTGGATTTCAGAAGGAAAAAGCTACGGACCTACCCGAAGTTTTGTTCGTAGATTGGGAGCATGTCTTAAATTAATTCCTTTTTCAAGACCTCACTTTCAGGTATATGAGTTATTTGTTAAGGGTAAAATTAATAACTTGATAATTTATATATTTTTCAATATTGCTATATATAGCATTTAGTAATAGAGAAAACATATAGCATAAATTTGTCATTTGGGAAAAAGATGCACATGAATTAATAGAAATGCATTTTAAATAAGAGTGGCCACTGTAAAATAATAAGTAAAAGAGATTTAAATTTATATGTCATAGTCACCTAGATTTCTTATGAATATATAATTGAAATATCAAAATAGATAATTGCAGTTTACAAAAACTGAATTTCAGACAATGAATGAATTATTAACATTATTAACATTAAATTAGCCTCTTGCTACCTTGAATAATGTTTGAATGCAATTTGTTAAAATTTGTAATAACTAATATATATTTTGTTGTGTGCTGCTACTATTGTACTTCAGCTGAAAAATGTTGCAACTGTCATTAAAAATGAATCGGAAAACATTATATTACCTTGTCATCTTAGTTTTCATTCTGAGGGAGATTAATAAGGCTTTTAATCATTGTATCCTAAATATCTTTATAAATTATACAGGAAATCTTACTTTAGGTAGCTCCTTTCCTAAAAATGGATGAGTAGAATTTTGGAAGAGTTAAAATTTTTGAAGGATTGGTATTATTACTATTAAATAATACTAATAAGGAGTATATCTTAATTCTTTTGCTTACTCTTATCAGAAGTACTTGCAGGGGACATGAGGGGTAGAAATAACAAAGAACAGGTGGTTCTTGCTTAATGACCACTCATTCAGTGACCGTTTGAATGCATTTTTGTACTTACAATGGTTGTAGTATCTCTAAAATCATATGATTGCAACCCAGACATTCAGCACCCAGCACCCATGTTGCAGTGTCATGTGGTCATATGATCCCCATTTGCAACCTTATCTACCAGGTTCCTACAAGTACTGTAAGTTCAGTGGGAAAGCTGGCAGGAGATCACAAATAACGGCCACATCATGTCCATACCTAACCACCTGCTGTGATTTGCTTAACAATGGTAACCAGATATGCCAGAATTTCTATCACTAAAATGTGTTGTCATGTGATGTCATGATTTACAACCACTTTACTTACTCTGTAATTCTAGTCCCAAATTAGTAGCTGTAAGCATTGCAATATCACAGTGCAAGTGCTTTTATTCCTGTACCACGAGATAGAAATAGCACTTAGACATATACCGCTTTACAGCCCTCTCTAAGTGGTTTACAGAGTCAGCATATTGCTCCCCAGCAATCTGGGTCCTCATTTTAGCAACCTCGGAAGGATGGAAGGTTGAGTCAACCTTGAGCCTGGTGAGATTCGAACTACAAAATTGCAGGCAGCCAGCAGAAGTAGTCTGCAGTACTGCATTCTAACGACTGCGCCATCACGGCACTTAATGGCTCTGAATTTTAAGATCATAAAATTCAGTGTTTGCATAGCAACATGGTTCATTCTAATGAAACTGGGATACTGCAGTCTGTGCTGCTTAATTGCTTCTTTCCTATTGAAAAGGGATAGTATTAGAACAAATATGCATCTTTTGGACTACTGCTAGAAAGCTAATAATTAAAAACAATTGTTTATATAAAAGTGTGTTTGTGATGCTTTAGCTGGTCCAAAATCTGAAGTCTTTAGAGGAACAATACAGCATCGTTAATTCTGTTCAACCGTCTCTTGTCGATGCCCTGTGGATGGTAGATGAAGACAGAAATCCATGCACTAAATTCAGGCAAGTAAAACCAACTAGACTTTTTCAAGCATTGTCAGGTGAAAGCCCAAAGATAACCCAGTAAAATCCAATTTATTCCAATCCTGTTTTTGCTTATACCTAATAGGCAGAATCTTGCCAAACTACAACTATAATCCTCTACCCTGATAGAGTTATCCTGAGGGATTCCAGAATGTGGCTTCCGTGAACCTCTTCTCCCCTTTCCCCATTCATTTTGGGATTGCACATTCTCCTAATCCGGGTTTCTCTCTGATGGAATTTACTGCCTCCCACCCCCCACTGCCCCCCGGAGAGCTGTGTGCTGCCAAGACTCCCCTTCACTGATTCTCCAGGTGCATCTTCTATCAGTGGCATATCTATCAGTTAATCACTATCTTTATTCAGTCAGTGACTAGCGATATGCCATAATTAAGAAAATAAAAATAGTAACATAGGGCTTAACCCTGTAAAATTACAGTGCTATAGGGAATTGGGAAGATTTAAATAAATAAGATAGCCAATCATAATTAACTCTTACTGTTGATTAAGTATCTGTATTTTTGAAATGGAATTGTTTTACGCATACTGTCATCAGTTTATGGAGTTTGAAAAATCAGTGCAATGCAAACTACAGAAGCACTGATGCTATAAAAAGTACATTTGCTATTCTTTTCGGAGTGCTATTTATAGCCAATTATTTAGAATAAACTCTTCTGAATTTAGTGCTACTTCTGTGAATATATGATTGTATTGTAGACATTTCAGTTTAAATGTTAGGCATGCGCGAGTTCGCTTTATTCCAAATGTCTTGGCTTTTTGAATGCTTACACAGTGGTATCCTGATATTTTCTAGATTTGAGGAATGGAGAGGGGTTGCCACTCCATCTGTACTTCCTTTGCCAATTTCTTCAAAAGAAAAAAGTGAAAAAACAACTGTTGCGGGTGAAGATGCATTCCAAAAAATTCATGTTCTTGAAAATGAATTAGCACATCTTCGTAAACAGATTGCTGCAATTTTGGCAGCAGACAGGGCAGTAAATGATCAATCCCGTAAGTCTGTCTATGTGGATCCGAATGAATGTGTTTCTGTGTTTCTCTTGTTCCTAATGATACTAAATCATATTGCCATCTGACGACAACTTTTATATAGAAAATTGTCTTGCTTATAATTGCTTCGGGTTATGTTTGCACTTAAGATTTACTCGTTTTACCAGCAACAGTAAGGAAAGATGAGCCCAGATTCTTTCTAAACATAAACATCTAATTAATTTACTGGCATGGGGGGATGGTGGGAGTTTGAGTTTGAATCTAAAGAATTGCACATTTATTTCTACTTATTTTTAAGAGATTTGAATTAGTTTCTAAGATCGCAATGTGCCACTTGACATATTTCTTTTGAAACTGAGGAAGTGTTTTTAAACAGATGGCATGGAAATTTCTTTTCAGAGGAAAAAAATGAGTTCTCAAATTTTGTGTTTTATTATTAATAAGAATGTTAAAGAAATGTAGCCCAGGGTGAGAGATGGGATCAAAATTATCTAATGATCCTTGTTAATTAGTATCAAGACCACTCTGATGTGGTCTTGCTTTCCTTTCTTTTGATTTCATTAGCTCCTTTCTGATTATCCATGCTTTCTGGTTTTCAAATGTAGCACTGTTCTAAAATAAGCAGTCATTATCTGCTATTTACATTTATCCATCAACACTGCAGATGCCTATTTTAATATTAGCTCTTTTTTCTAATTGTTTAATAGCTTCAGATATTGGGATTTCGTCAAACACTCCTAATTGTTTCCTGCAGCCAGGAATGTTTTCTACACCAGCTCCTACTTCTCTTTGTAATGTAATCATACCTCCACCTCCAGCACTGCCACCTTCGTTTGGGTTAAAATCTGATTTTGATTCCCATAATTCGGCAGTTCAGCTTATTAAGCAACGTCGGGCTATAAAGACTGAAAGGATTAAAGATAAGGCTGAACTTCAGCAAGTCAAAGCTATTCCTGATATGATGGATGTTCTCAAGGATATAAATAATGTTAAACTCAGAGCTGTTGAGAAGTAAGTTGAACAAAATGGGAATTCTTTTTTTTTTCTTTTTTTAAAAGTGCTACGACAAACTTACAAAACTGTACATGGCTCAACTTTTACTTATCTGCACTCTCCCATGAGAACCAGCCCAGATATTTCAGTCTAACCAAGGAAAAAAAGTGTGTGTCACTTTAAAGGAATAAAGGAGCCTGAGACTCTGTCACTGCCTTTCATTGGCTGTCCTGATCCTTAGGAATGGCAATTGATTCTCACCCTGACTGCTTCCCCATGTTGTTTAGGCCACAATTTTGCCTTGGTTTCATTACAGCTTGGTTGGGTTAATTTGATTTTGTTTTTATTAGTTTGTGGGCCTTTCATTTTTATGCCTTTGATTATTGTAATTTGTTCTTGTCTATTGTCCTTGTACATTGACAAGAGTCCTTAGGGATTTAGTAGTTTATAAAAGTAATAAATAAATTCCAGTCTTGCAACGAATATTCCTTTCTGGAATAGGTTTACTTGGAAGAGCTAGGAGATTAGTTCTTGCTTTCAAACTGTATGGAGAGTCCTCGAATTATGACCGGTTGCTTAATGGTTGTTTGAAGTTACTACAAATTTGGAAAAAAAGCTACTTAAAATCTGGCCTTGAAGTTACAACTGCTACACCACCCTTAAGGCCTTGTGATTGAGCACTTGTCAACCAGCTTAAAGTAGCCGCCAAAATTGTGGAAACAATTTTGGGAAAAGTGTATTTTCTAAAACTAGCTAATAACACCACTTTTTTGGGGAGTAGTGCCATAAAATTATATATCAATGAAAAGGTAATTTAATCAAGAATGTAATGCAATAACTTTTATGAAGGATTTGCTATTAGAATAGCAGTTACAGTATAAAGAAGAAAAGTGAAACACATAGAAAAAATGAGCTATAGAAAAATTATCACCATAGAAAAAATGAGCTATAGAAAAATTATCACGTCAGTTAATACTTAGTTGGATAACCTTTAGCATGAATTACGGCCTTACAACACCTTCCTATGGAGTGAACCAAATCTTTTAGTTCTGCAGCTGTTATAATGTGAAACCAAGATTGAATGATTGTTTCTATTAACTGGGTTTTATTGCTGGGTCGCTTCTGAATAACAAGTTTCTTTAGTCAGCTCCATAGATTTTCAGTTGGGTTAAGGTCTGGGCTATTCCCAGGCCATTCCAGCAATGGAATATGATTATCTTGAAACTCCCCCCAAAAATGGTGTTATTAGCCATCAAACCTCAAAAATACACTTTTCCGAAAAGGTTTCCACAATTTTGGCTACTGTATATTTATGACTGGTAGCAGTTTCTTGCAATCACACACTCATTTTTTGTGACTTTTTTGCCATTTTCTAGCATAAAACACCTATTGGATGAATTAGATTTGGACATTCAGCCACACAATTCATTTAACAAACAAGCGATTCACTTTACAACCAGTGTAAAATCGACTCCAGTCACATGGTAACTCACGACTGCAATGACTTACGATAAAAATTCCAGGGTCAGCTGTGGGTTGTAAAATGAGGAGTACCTGTAAGAGTAAAAAGTAGCAGAGCACAGTTTAAACATCAGAGGACTGACTGCTCTATAGCTGCCTGGAAAATAAAATAAAAACAAAATATTGCTACAGTTCATAGGGCAATCAAAGGTCCTTTAGAAAGGAGGATGCTGAATACATTAGAACAAAAGCGGATTAGAAAATATAACACACGTTTTAATTTTTCAACAGCAATGTCTTGCATTAGAAATTGCAAATGTTCTGCTTTTCTTTCTCCAGATCTCCTGGAGGGACACCTCTACCCAAAAGAAATAAAATAAAGCCATCTCAGTGGGACCCAGCAGCTTTAATAGCAGAAGCTCTTAAAGAGAAATTTGCATCACAAAGCGATGATTCATTTGACAAAGAGAACAGTTCTTATGGTGCTTCACCATTTTCTAGTCCAGATACTCCAATGGTATGTGTGTGTGTGTAGACTGGTTGTCTCAATAGAAAAACACTTAATCTCTCCCCTGGCTCAAGCTGATGAAGGGAGGAGAACTTGTGGTTCAGAGGTTAATACAACTGCCTCACATGCAGGCAGCCCAAGTTCGAATTCAAGTAAGGGTATGGCTAGCTGATGAGAGCTAAATAGCTTGAAATAGATCTATACTAGTCTTTCTTTATTTCTTTATCAGTGAAATATAAATTTATATATATAGTTCTTTTCTTAGTTCTTTTTTCATTTGAATTTTTTTTTTCTTTTGATTTATATGCCGCCCTTCTCCGAAGACTCAGGGCGGCTTACAATGCGTTAAGCAATAATTAAGATTCATAATCATATACTATAGAGACAAAAATATTCTGGGAATGAAAAATTGAGATGAATATTATATAGATAATCCAGGGATAGAACTTAATGACCACAGCTGTAGTTGTATTATTGTATTCCATGAAACATTGAATATAGGGGAGCTGTTCACAGCTCTACCATTTGGAATGGTAGTTCAGAGTCTAGAATTATTGTACTTTCTCACAGTGCTCTGAATAGGAAACTTGGATTTCCCGCTGTCTCTAGTCTTTTTTGTAATGCTTGATGATGGATGCTTTTTATATGCTCTGTAAAGTTTAATACAGATAGTCCATCATTTAGTGACCACAATTGGGACGTCAACTTTTTTGCTCAGCAAAGTGGTTGCTATGTGAAAAATCACATGACTTCAACTGCTTTCCAGCTTAAAGCTGACAGTACTAATTGGTTTCACACCTTCAGCTTTTATTTGCTCCTAACCACTTCCCTGGTCTTTGGAATGCTCACCCTGGCACAGACCATTAGCAAGAAGGGAATTAATGTTTGTATTTATATTTATACATATTTATATTTATTGCGGAAGAAGGGATTATGAGAGAGTAAGCAGGCACACAATGGAGAATACACATTGAAAGCCATGTGCTTTTTGCAGGCAGCTGCAAGGGCGCTGTGCGAACAGCTTGGTGTATTTCCCATTGTGTGCCTTTTATCCTGTCTTTTCTAAGTTTTCTGTTCTGTTGGGAGTTAGTGGATGGGTCAGACACAGGAAAGATTGCCTACAGAAATCACTTGCTTTCCTTCCACATCTTGGAGAGTGGAGAGATTGGAAAGGAAGAGATTATAAGTGAGTAAAGCACACAAAGCACACCGAGTTATTTACATAGCATGTTAGTGGCTGCCAGCATCAGCCCCTGGATTTCAATATATATTCCTCATTGTGTGCCTGCTTACTCTCTTGTAATCTCTTCTCTCCAATCTCTGCTCTACAAGAGGTGAGGGAGAAAAATAACAGGTCAGGAGTAGACCCAATATTGACTAATAGCGATCATGTGATTGAGTTACAGCACCATAGTGAAATGCCTTTCTAAAAGGCTTTTTATCACATGTTGTTTAATGTAGACAACTAACTGTGATAAGTTACATCAATTCAGTTTATGACTGGCTTTGGTGGATAAATGACAGTAGGAATTAGAAGGAATTTGATCAATACAGGATTTGAGAGCAATATTACACATTGATTTTGGTCCTGTTTGTCTGAGCACTTTTGGAAGATATTGAGTACATTTCTTTGTTGATGATTGTGGTTCCTCAGAGCTTTCTTTTGTCCTTTTGGCATTCAAAGGCCCCTGATTTTCAGATATATAAAGTTCTAGGGTTAGACACCATCACAATGCTTGTGATAACCAGCCCTGTCTTATCAGTGTATGAAATCTGTGATGAATTGAGATAAACAGACTAATAGGCGAGAGATATTACTTGTTCTGAGAAGTAAGAACCAAGAAAAATTGGTTTTACAACTTCTGCATGAATTGTTCTTTTTAGGGTATAGATTTGATGCTCGGTTAAGTGAACCTTTGCTCTCTTTTAGCTGGTATCCATGTAGCACTCTTCCTAGACTCAGGAAAAAGTTTCTACTGTGATCCTTGTCTTAATCATTTCCCATTTAGACCACTATTGTGGATCCTACATGGTTCTGCCAACGAAGTTGTAAATAAGGTAAACTAAGGTAACAACTCAATTGCTGACAATATTACGTAAATCACACATCAATTCCATTGGCTTCCATTCTATTTCAATACATGCAGAAAATGGTAGTATAGGTTTTTTCGTTGAATTTAATTATATTGTCTGCTTTTAAAAATGAGTTATTTATTCTTACTTTAGCTTTAGTATATTTTAATTTACTAATCTTTTAATTTGTATGTCACCTTGAATCAAAAAGCAATACAATTGTGAATAAAATGTTTTTTGATTACAGGTTGACTGTCACATTTTGAAACCAAGCATGAAGTAGAGACTTAACAAAACTGAGAAACTAACAAATGTATCATCTTCAAAAACAAAACTTCATGTATAGCCACGATGTTGATCTTGTGTGACCAGCTGTGACTATTACGACTACTATTCTTTGATTACATTGTACAAAGGCTTATAAAACTAATTGGTCTGAATTGTGCTAATGGAGTGTTTACATGAATCTTTTTATTGTATTTTTTATTAGCTATAAATCTCTACAGTTTTTTAATATCAGTTTTATGATATTGGTTGCAAAGTGTTAGTCAGATGAGTAATGTGTAAAAAGATAGTAATAGGGAAACAAAATATAAATAGAGGGAAAAGTTACATTTTAACCTAGTTTAAACAAAAAATACTATATTGTTTAAAAATGACACCTTCCTAAAAAGAATGTTATTTCCTTGATATATGGAGTCTTTCTAAGTTTCCCTAACTGATGCTTACAGCATTTGCTTCCTCTTGTATATACTGTATTTTTCGGACTATAAGACGCATTCTCCCCCCCCCCCCCCCCCCCCCAAATGGGTGGAAATGTCTGTGCGTTTTAAAGAGTGAATACGGTTCTGTTTTTGGCCTCCCAAACCCTTTGCACGTCCGTTTTTGCCCTCCCCGGTGTCCAAAAGCACTCTGCACTCTCCAGAGGCCTCCACGTGTCCCGTTTTTGCCCTCCCTGGCAGCTGGGAGGCTGAAAACAGGACACACGGAGGGTTTGGGAGGCCCGTTTTTGGCCTGCAGAGTGCTTCTGGATGCCAGGGAGGGCAAAAAATGGGATGCGGAGAGGCCAAAAATGATTTTTTTTTCTTGTTTTCCTTCTCTAAACCTATGTGCATCTTATAGTCTGATGCGTTTTATAGTCCAAAAAATACGGCAAGTTGTAAACTGCAATTGGGTGGAAGATTATGAAGAAACATTGGGAAGTATATTGATATTTGACATTCATGATATAAAAGTTACTAATATGACTTCTTAGTATCTCTGTAAATTTACCCTCTAAATTAGCTTTTTAAATGTATGTGCAGACCATTATACCTCTTCATAGCTTAAATGTATCAAGTTTCACAGTTCTTGTATGTTTGTCAAAGTTCATGCAGGGTCATAAACTCTCATTAATAATTAGCCCCTTGTCTTGTAATGCCCAGATGCTAAACATAGGGGAGTCATCTAAAATTAGTTCACACATCTCCACAAATAGTTAAATCAGCTTTGTCTGAGCTGGTTCCAGAAGCATTAGGCAGCATTGGCTGCGAATCCCAAGACTTAAATGTTGCCTATTGTAAATGTATGTTTACCATTTCTGCTGGTATGTTCTCATTTTTATAGTTATTTTCAACTTCGTTCTCAGCAGTGATCCTTTTAACTGGATAACTTTGATAACAAGAATAAACCTAACTGAAGATAATTGGTTTCCTTATCAAATATGTAGGTGCTTCTTTATGGCAGTAACTCATACTTCGCTGTTGTATGTTGTTGCAGGCTTCTCTCTTGGGTGGGAAATAGTTCTGCACTGATATTTGCAGAGATGTACAAGGAAAGGTTAGCAATTATTTGTAATTTGCATTGGGATGTTTCAACATTGACATCAGGTTATTACTAAACAATGTACTACAATTTAATCAGCACTGAACTAATATATTTAAGTGCCTTCCTTAGTAGTTCAGTCTTTAATTTAATTTAAAGTGGCTTGTACGTAGCTTTTTTATTTTTAAAAGTGGGCTGTGCCAAATGGTTACCCTTGCTAGAAGAAAATAACTATATGATTTAAGTGTATGATTTAGAAATTTATTCAGCTTAGTAAGCTAGTTTCTTATTTTCCAGAATGATAACATGATATATATCAGAACATTTTCTTCTACCTATAGAAAAACTTGAATGCTGTTTCTTTCAGGAAAAGACAATGTCTAATTATTATTTTTGAAAAAAAGAACAGCGCTGACATAGAAAAGGGAGGATGAAGCTTGAACTTTTGCCTGCTAAATCCCTTTGAAGTTTCGATCTCCTTGGAGATGAAGTGGGGGGGGGAACATTCCTGTGAACTGACAGGAAAAGAAATCAGGAGAGTGACTTGGAAGATAGTCAATGAGAAGCAGAGAATTGGGGATCGGAAAGGGAGGGATTGGGGGGCAAAGGTCAGTATTGACCGCGCAGAGTCATGATCCGGTTGCTGTACTCGAATAAAGAGAAAATTTCCTTAAAGATTGGCAGTTTGGAAGGTCATTTATTTTGAGGTAGCATCAAAGCTTGACAATTGGATAAGTTGAAACATAACATGTTCGACTTCTGCATGGTTGCATGTATTGTGTCACTGATTTTTTCTCACTGTCTAATAATGATTTTTAAGACGCAAGTTGCATATTGCAGTTTTGCATATATTCATTGTGGTTCAAATCTTAATAACAGAACACTACAGAAAATGTCTGCTGTGATCTAAACTCAGAATTTAATTTTGTCTTAAGTGCTCAACTATTGCAACATACAAGGAATGGATTCATAACAAGAAATAATAGGGATGGATTTTTAGTAGGATTCTGGCTTTTGATGGTTTTTATCAATAACATTTTGCATGCTTCTGGCTTAAACTTATTATGCACAATGAACAGGATACAGGATACATTCCCATCACTCACCTGAAGTATTTATTTCTTTTAGACACCTTTTCAGAGTCTTTAGAACAAGCATCTATGAAGATTCTCAGTCATTCAGGTCATGGCTGCCCCAAAAGTGCTTTTTTCAAAAGGCAACTGGACTTTCTGGTTTTTCTTTGAAGACATTTCGCTTCCCATCCAAGAAGCTTCTTCAGCTTGTTCTTCACAGCTCCTTCAGAGCTGAAGAAGCTTCTTGGCTGAGAAGCAAAACATCTTCAAAGAAAAACCAGAAAGTCCAGTTGCCTCTTTAGAACGAGTAGCACATTTCCAGAAATGTGTTATCTCATGCAAATAACCACTAGAGGGCAGTAACACACTATCTGCAAACAGTTGTGTCCTCTGTAGAGAGCCCTTCTCAAAGCTGTTCATTCCCAGTTTCTAGGCCTAGGCTACATCTACACTAGGTGTGCAGGTAATTTGGTTATATAGTTAGTACATATATTATACTTTGAATTTTGGTGGACTGTTCTGCCTCAATATTAGTCCCTCATTTCATTTCCTCCGCCAAATCCTGATTGATGCTATTGCTCAGTCTAAATATCCCTAAGTGGCTGATGGTGCAATTTGCTTTGGGTCAAAGCAAACTTTCTATTTGTTCCTAACTGTATTGTGAGTCAGTTTTTCTTTGCTCAGGATGCTTCCTGTCCTATCTCTATTCCCTTTACTATTTTGCCTATGGACACAAGTATCTGTGGAATGAAACTTGGGCCATCCTGGGCCATACAGCTGCTAGGTATGTTATATGGAAAAAATATAGTTTGGAACACATATTAGTCCATAGGACCAAAATAAATAACAATAACAGCTGGAATAGAAGTACAGTGCTGCTCTTCAGACTTACGTAGACGTTAAATATGATTCATACATACAATTATACAGGTAGTTCTTGACTTACAACCACAATTAATTCCATAATTTCTGTTGCTAAGTGAAACATTTGTTAACTGAGTTTTCCCCATTTTATAATCTTTCTTGCCACAGTTATTAAGTGAATCCCTGCAGTGCAGTTGATAAATAACAAATTGGTTAAGTGAATCTGATTTCCTCATGGACTTTGCTTGTCAGACAGTTGCAAAAGGGGATCCCGTGACCTCACGACACTGCCCCCGTCATAAATATGAACCAGTTGCCAAGCATGTGAATTTTGATAATGTGACCGTGGAGATGTTGCAATGGTCGTAAGTGTGAAAAACGGTCATAACTCACTTTTTTCAGTGCCATTGTAACTTTGATTAGTCATTAAACGAACTGTTGTAAATTAAGGACTATCTGTTATAGAAAAGAGTGAAAAATTGGATACCTAATTTGAAATTTACTCGTAGGTGTAAAGCCCTTCAGAAGCCTTGAAGTTGAAGCTCTTCATCGCTATAGGAAGAGCCATGGTGGAATGCAATTGTGTAGAAAGATTTCCCATGGCAATCTGGTAGAAGGCAAGCTATACTTCGCACAAACAGCATTTGGAAGGGATGAAAATTCTCCTATAGCTTCAAATACCAAGTTTAGGAAAGCAGAAAGCAAAGGTCTTTTTAAATGTAAGACATCACCTGCAGGTACATATGCACCACATTACTGGGGTTCTTATATGGTTTTTATAGTTATTTCTTGAATGGTATTGTTTAGTGTTTAATAAAAGTTTTTTAATTGGTGTGAGCTGCCCAGAGTCACATATTTGAGATGGGCAGCTATATAAAATAGAACAAAAAATTCCTTGGTTTGACATAAATAGTACTATATTTAAAAAGTCTCAAATATCCCTTTAGTTCTTAGTACCACTGCTAAGCAGCCATAGCATTTCACACAAGCCTGAACTTGACTATAATACTAAGCCTTAAGGTGGTTTTCCAGTGTGTGTGTATATTTGCTTTAATACGCCTGAACCCACCTTGGCCATGTAATTTGATCACATTATGTTCCACAAAGCATGTCCTTAAAATTGTGATACGCTGATAGCGGCAAATTAGCACAGGGTAATTATATTTTATTATTGTCCTGACTTAATTCTAGTTTCTTTTGAGTTTCTATTGCTGCCATTCATAGGACTACAGCAAAAACAAACCAAGCAACCAGAATCATGTTTACAGATTAATATGGTTTTTCTCTAGAGTTCCCTAGCTACCCTTCCTTTTCCTGTTCATCTCCTTGTTGACAAAACCTCCCTTGCCTGCCAGCTTGCCTAGTTTTGTAGCAGCCTCGGAAAGTGAGAAAAGTCTTAAAAGGCTATTTACTTAATAAGTGTTAATTTTTTTTTAGAAAAACTGTACTTGTACTTTATTTTGCACTTGTTATATATTAGTCACCCATATTTGTATTCATCCACCTTCATTCATTGCTTACAAATTCTCAATTCTATCCTTATTTTATGATACATGCAGTATTTTTAAGCCCATTACATGAAGCTTAGGTTTATCTGTCGCCTGACACACCCCACTCCCTCTTCCATATAACAAACTGGGCAGGAACAGGCTCTTAAAAATGTCATCCTTTTTTTTTTTTTTTTTTGACAAACATTCAATTGTAG